TATTGAATAACCTCATACTACAACCAGTAATATTAACTAATATATCATTTCTTCAACATCACCTATTACCAATGACCTAGTCATATCCAATATTAAGCTCTCAAACAAACCTACACCAGTACATCTAGCCCAACCTTGATGTTCATCTCGGCCAAGACGTCCACCCAGCTACCTCTCATACCGTCAAGTACTTCCTCTTCACTTATTCCTTTTTTGTTAAGTACCTATAATCGAAAGTGCTATCTTATGATCATTGTTTTGCCTCATACACTCACTTCTATTCAAGTGTGTCTTCCCAAAAAGAGTCTCATTCTTATGCAGATGCATCCAAGCATGAATGTTGACAATGTGCACTGCGCACGAAGCTTGATGCATTAAACTTGAATAAGACCTGGTTCTTAGTCCATTTTCTTCCTGGTAAACACTCAATCAGTGGCGAATGGGTATATAAGATAAAAAAGCTGATGGCATAATAGAATGGTATAAGGCATAGTTAATGGCAAAAGGCTACACTCAACCATTAGCTAAATTGTTAATCATTTGTGTCCTTCTAACTATTCCAGCAGCTAATCGATGGTTCATCAAGCAGCTGGACGTGAATAATGCCTTTTTATATGGGGACTAGTACGAAGAAATCTTCATGGATCTACAATAAAGAGTCAAAGTGATAGTGGCTCTCCTGGTCAAGTTTGTTGCCTTCATAAATCCCTTTATGGTCTGTGCCAAGCTAGTCGACAATAGTACTTTAAACTAACCATTGTTCTTCTTTCTTTGGACTACATTCAATCCATAGCTGATCATTTGCTCTTCACTAGGTCCACTTCTTCCTCCTCCACCGTCTTACTTATCTACGTTGACGATATAGTGCTCACTGGTGACAACTTAGATGAGATTAATTGGGTTAAATCATTCCTTTATGATGATTTCAAAATAAAGGATCTCAATGACCTGAGATATTTCTTAGGATTTGAGATTTCTCGTTCAACATCTGGTATTTTCGTAAACCAACAAAAATATGCCCTCGAGTTGCTTAAAGATGCTGGCGTTTTTGCTGCTAAACCACCCTCTACATCTAACTCATTCTTAGGGCAACACATTGGCGGACCCACTTGCGGGCAAATGCCCGCAAGTGCGGTCATAAACTTTTTGATTTTAATTTTTTTTTTTTTTTTTTTTGTAGATTTTTATTTGTCTCTTGATTCAATATATATATTAGGAGTAAATAATTTTTTAAGTCCCTAACAAAAAACATGATTCTCAATTTAGTCCTTTACAAAAAAAAAATTAGTCTCGAGGTCCTTAAAAAATTTAAAGTAGATCAATTTAATTAAAATCGTGGTCCATCACAAATTCAAAAAAGACCTACACTAGTCCCACAGAAAGACCAAAGTGGGTCCATAGGGATCAGGTGACTAATTTTTTTTTTATAATGGACTAAAGTGAGGACCAAATTTTTTTTAGGGACCAAAAAGGATATTTATTCTTATATTAGTTAGCAACGTAACAACGTACGAAGATGATTAAAACAACGCAACAACGCACATTGATTAGAAAGAAAACTTATTCTTCCTCCCTTGTCACGTACTCATTTCCACGTTCTCTTCATCCTTTGTTTCCTTTTTTATTTTTATAAAAAGAGATTATTGATTGTAGGTCTGACATTCTCAAATAAGTTAATATCTAGAGACGAGACTTTCACTGTGATTTTGTTTTACTTCTGTATAGGTAGTGTTAACTTTTTTATTCACCACTATAAAATAGAAGGGATAGGTTATTCTACTTATCATTTTTTTGCCTACCTCTACCTACCACCCTCCAACACCGTTAGATCAGAATCTTAACTAACATTTATCTTTTTCTCTCTTCTTGAGATTTTGATCTAACGGTATTGGAAAGTGGTAGGCAAAGGTAGGCAGAAAAATGTTAGGTAAAATAACATATCCCAAAATAGAATGATGATGTATGGATGTACTGGAGTATATTCTCATATTTGTTTTGAAGGATTGATAAGATTTAGGGGGAAAATAATTGGTCAAACTATTGTCTGCAGCTTGTTATGGAAGCAACTAGATTATGAGCGGGTTCAAGCGTTGATTTAAACTTTTATATAAAAAAAAAAATTCTGGGGCGCTGCCCCCGAACCCCGCCACTGATTGTGCGGACATAAATTTTTTTTTCTGGGTCCGCCACTGGGGCAACATATTGTATGACCTTGAGGCTTCATCTTACAGAAGACTAATCAGATGCCTTCTGCAACATACCCAGACTTATCATTTGCACTAAAGCAGTTAAGTCAGTTTGTCTCTAAGCCCACATTTATTCATCAAGCTATTACTGTGCAGGTCCTAAGATATGTAAAAGGCTTTCTCCTGCTCAAGGTTTATTTTTCCTGGTGAACACCTTCTTTGTTTTTTATGGATTTACAGATTCCGATTGGGCTTGCTGCCCCGACAAATACGACCCATTTCTGGCTTATGTGTTTTTCTTGGCAGTGCTTTGATATCTTGGTGCTCTAAGAAATAGTTAACGGTGTCTAGGCCTTACTAGCTCAGAGGCAGAGTATAGAGCCTTTGCCGTTATGACATGTGAACTGCAATGGATATGTTATTTATTCAATGATCTTTTAGTCCCCCACTTTAAGATAGCAAATGATTTTTGTGACAATCGTTCAACCATTTTTCTTGGTAAGAATCCCATGTTTCATGAACGTTTTAATCACATCGAAATTGATTGTCATATTATACGTAAGAAGATTAATTCATAGTGGTTTACTCCAGCTTCTGCCAATTTCATCTTCTGGTCAGCTCGCTGATATCCCCACTAAGGCGTTGCACCCTGCTCCATTTTGTACTATTATCTCCAAGCTAGGATGATGCCGAAAGCGCATAGAAAAGTGGCTAAACAGAAAGTTGAGATTTTCTCAAAAGAGTAACCCTCCGATTCTCAATTTCTATTAACAAAATATCAAAATTCAACTCCTAAAATAAGGGTCATAAGCACACTTTTATAGACTAATTACAAATTGATTCAAAATTCAAAATTCTAAAATCCTAAAAATAAGGAAAATTCCTAAATTAAACATAACGACAACTAACCTCTAAAAATAAATAAATAATTACAATTAAATCATTCAAAATACTTTCCAAATCTTATATCTCAAATCATGCCAAATGTGTTGCTTTCCTTTTCTTGTCAAACAAATCACAATCATGTCTGATGCTTCATTTAAACTTGCGTTTGATTGTAATTTGTTATATTTCAAATTACTTCTTCTTTTAACAAAACAGTTTTAAAAACAAAAAAACCAGAACACAATCAAACAGGATCTAACTTTTCTATTTTATGTTTCCATGTATAGTTAGCGTAGCTTACGTGGATTAGTTAAAGTTCTCTCTCTTCTACTTTTCTTTATTCCCTTGTCAGTGTACGAGTTACGAAATGTGTATGTACACTAGTATTGTATGTATTAGAAAATCAGATTTTGCGAACCACTAGGGCTAGCCTCTGTGTAGCACCGATACGATACGCGACACGTGACACGACACGACAAGACACTCTGACACGTCAATCTTAAAAAAATATGGATTTCGACACGTTAGGACACGTTTTAATATTAAATTATATTTTTAATTAATATAGCGTATATTTCATTTAATATTCAATAATTTAACAAAAAAATGAAACTAAATTAATAATACCCATCAACACGTTATAGAGGTGGGAACTTTAATAAAAAAAATAGGAACTCGGATGAGAGAGAGATAATATCAGATAGAGAGATAAAATCATATAGAGAGAGATCAGAGAGAAGGAGATACAACAAGAGCGTGATAGGAATTAACAACAATGATGCTGAGATGATCTCTTATCTACTTAAGGGGAAAAAAAAATTGATATGATCAGGTGGAAGCTTTATTAATATATTTTAAACTTGTAATTTTTTTTTTACGAAAATGCCATTTGACCGTGTCGGACACAGTCAAATTCGTGTGTCGAAATGGTCAACGTGTCGGGAATGTTGACCGTGTGTCAGACACCGTGTTGGAACGTGTTAGAGCGTGTCGGACACGACACTCCCTGTTTTTTGGAGTGTCCGTGCTTCGTTGGCTAGCCTAGTGGTGTGGGTGTGTGTAATAGGGTGTGTGTGAGTGTGTGTTTGTATTCGATTCCTGTAACCTCCAAAAAAAGAAAATCAGATTTTGCATTAATGGAGATAATAAGGTTTCCTAAGAGTGAGAATGAATGATGAATGTGCAAAGGAAAATGGAGTCAAATAATGTGTTTTCACTTCTTTGAATTGATATATCATAACATAATTAATTATAAGCAAACTCCAAGGTGTAGCTCAGTTGATAAACAGACTATAGCTCAAGGGCGTTCCCTTATGGCTGATGAAGTTATGGATTCGATTAATACGAAAAGTACTTTGGAGCCATTGGTGAAAACTGTTACTCCAATCTACAAAGGGATTAGTCCTATCGTACGAGATAGGAACACCTCGAGTTTACTAAAAAATAATAATTTACAAGCATGATTATATGAAGTTAACACTTAACACTGTTACATTTTAATGAATAATATACCTTATAGAAACAACATTAATATTTTACTCTAATGGGGCATTTGGTACGCGTCATTTTTCAAGATTTCTGAGAAAGTAAATTTTTCTAAATTTTAATTTTTTAAATATTATCGTAAAGTGAATGTAAAAATCATATTTTTGAAAATCGAGATTCTCGGATAAATTTTTTTTCTCCTCTACCAAACGCTCAATTAATTTATCCAACATATTTGTATTATAATTCAGATATCCTGTAATTAAATATAGATATTTTTTTGAGATTTTTCTATTGTAAACTAATTCGGTTGAATTAGTAACAGAAAGCCAACAAAATTTTATTGCATTCCTTCTTCTTTTGTTTTTTTCCCTCCCTCGTACGGAATTCTTAATTTAATTACTAGAAAATTTTCGGATTAAGTAAGCGCTAGTATATAACAACTTGAACTCACAAACAGCTCTTCCGGGAGAGCGTTTCTTCAGATTAAGGCAAGCTCTCAAATACCCAAAAACCCTAAAATAAGTATCTAAAATCAAAATTAAATTCCAAAAGCTCAAATCCTGAACCGAAACCCTAATCCTGAAATCCTTCGATTTTATCGAATCGGTTCCCTTTCAAAACCCTAGTTCGTTCCTCTTCGTCGAAGATGGACATCGAGCAGAGGCAATCGGAGCTCATCGATCACTTCGTGAAGCAAGCCTCTGCCGCCGCCAACGCTGCCGCACTCGCTTCCGTCCTTGTCGAAGCCACTTCTCATCCTTCCCTCTTCGCTTTCTCCGAGATTCTCGCCCTCCCCAATCTTCTACAGGTTCCTTTTTCCTTACTCTCTCTCTCCGCTTCAATTTTTTTTTTTTACTCTTTTTGTTGTTATTATTATTATTTAACGTTTTGTATACATTGCTTTGTTTGCATCTAAGCGTGGATGTTGATTGCTAATTTTTCCCCATATATATATATTTTAATTGTTTTAGGGTGTTTGTGTTCTCTGTGATCATGAATTTGAGTCTATTCTATTTTGGGTGCTATAAAATCAACCATGTTTTGTGGTGGGCATTTATATATATATATATATATATATATATATATATATATATGAGTTCGCTTTTTTTTCTGCTGTAAGCCAATACCACGTCGTTTTGGGACGAAAGGTGTTTTATAATTATAATTATAATTTTTTAATATTTTATTTTCAAGACGACGGCTGTTTAGGAATAAATGCAGATAACTTATATGCAGCAACTGCAGAAATATTTTTATATATATATATATTTGATGATTTTGTCTAAGATTATTATTATAATTTATAAAATCATTATTTTGTTAAGGCTCTTTCGGCTGGCAAATAAACTTTTCGAGGTAATATGAAAACTTCTAAGTAACATGAGAACTCCGTTTTATCTATTCAATTTGAGAAATTCATGTCTGCTGTAATTTTTTGACTCATGATTTCTTGCAGCTTGAAGCAACTGAGAATGCAGTCTACCTTGATATGCTTCGGTTGTTTGCACATGGAACATGGAGTGATTACAAGAGTAAGACTAAGGATTTACCTTTCTGTTTTCTTTTTCTTCCAGCATTTCTGTCTTCTGGGTGAATTTTTCCCAACTTCATTGATTGTTTTTTCTTTTCCCGTGGAATGTTGTTGATAGCTTCGATCAATATTGTAGCAACCACCCAGCACTATACCATGACATGTGTATGGTGAATAATGTATTTTGATGTTAATAATGTATACCATGACCTCTATAAGGATTATTATATGGAAGAGGATGATTGAGAAATGAGGAGAACCAATAGTCTAGCCATTTATGTTGTTTTGGGTTTTTGAATTGTTCTTACTTGTTAGTCTATGGTGACATTATCATGTTTAGATCCTGCTTTGATAGTTTTAGAATTTCTGTGTGTCGTTTTTTCCTTTTATAATGCATTCGTATTTTATTATTTGTGCTACTTTTGGTGAATTTTATTTGCTGGAAAATGTTTCTATCATGTTTATTATCCTCGATATTATTTGGTAGTTTTTTTTTTAAATATATTCTGCCAGGCTTTTAAATTTTAATATATATTACAGTCTTAACTACTGTTTTTAACTTCATCGCCATGCTTCTACTTTTGGCCAACACTATCCACCATACAGTTATGGCTTTTGGCTTGCTGCCATTTGTTATTGACTTCACTAGCCTCTTATTGCTTCTTCTCATAGCTACTTCTAATGTTACTTATATTTACATGCGGGCTTATTATAAGGTATGCATGCCAGGATGGAGGTATATTTTTCATTTTTGTGATTGGTAACAATCACATCCTACTAGTTTTGAACCCCAATAGGTTCTGCATATTGTTTTGTGATGTAAAAAGCCTTTAAAGTATACATCTTGCATTGTTTTTATATTGTAAATAACCAATTCAATCTAAAACCTTAAGGTGTTGGGTGACGGCTTTTTAATGGTTTATATTATTTTCTAACAACTCCTTCACACAAAAGCCCTTTGGACTTGAAGTGTGGATATTGCGTAGGTCCAATTTTTGGTTTATCTTGTGTGTATTTAATTCCATTAGAAAGTGGGGGTGATGATGATTGAACTCGTGACCTTTTATGGTCATTGAAGCTCTGATACCATGTAAAGAACCACTTCAACCCAAAATCTTAAAGTGTTGGGTGAAGACCTTTTTAAGTAGTTCTTTACATGGTATCAGAGCTTCAGTGATCACGAGATTACGAGTTCGATCTTCACCGCCCCCCACTCACTTGTGGAATTAAATAAGCATAAAGTAAAACCAAAAGACAAAAAAAATTGAGCCTATGCAATATTCACGTTTCAAGTCCAAAGGGCTCTTACGTGAGGGTGTGTTAGAGAATAATATAAACCATTAAAAAGGCCTTCACCCAACACCTTAAGGTTTTGGATTGAAGTGATTCTTTACATATACTATGTGAATAATATCATTAGGAGAATTTATAAATTTAAACTCATTTCATAATTTGTTATTTTTGTTTTGTGAGTCTGTGCTTTTTATAAAAAAACTATTTATGCCTAAATAGAAAAGGCATAATGGTACTTGTTAAACAGTTTAAGTGGCTTACAGGTAATGCTGATCGTCTTCCACAATTGATACCTGAGCAGATCCTAAAGCTTAAGCAACTTACAGTTCTTACACTGGCCGAGACATACAAGGTATTGTCTTATTAGCTACCTTGTTTTGCTGCTTTGCTTGACTTAATGATTGAGGGTGATTACTGATCCATTATAATGTGAGAGCAAGCACCATGTGACCTACTCCGGTCCAGATGACTTGCTTTTCTATCATTGGTATAAGTTATGTTATAAGTGGAAACTAATTTAAATTTATTAGACACGTCTAAATGTTTCATTTTAGTTTGTGTTCCAGTCATGGTTTTTTCAAGAAATTTTCTCGGATATGTAGATATTGGGCAGCCTTGCAGCATTTTTAATTTTCTTGATGTTCCTTTGTGTTTTAGAGCTTGCCCCATCTCCCTTTACGTCCCTTCAACAATAATTTCTGTTTGAGATAGGGAGGAATTTATTTGTTTGTGGTTGCCATCATACTTTTATTTTATTTATTATGTTTGTTAAATAAAAGCATCTTCTTTTTTCTGGGTCATCATCAAGGGACTTGATAAGTTTTCTTTTTGTGCCATCAATTTCATATTTAATTTATGTGTTGTATTTGTTAACCCAAGATGCCCCTTTTTTCATGGTCATTCATTTTGATATGTTTGATTTGCTAGATTGCTGAACTTGCTTGTAGTTATACAAATGAAATGTCTCACCTCTCATTTGGGGGGGGGGGGGGGGGGGGGGGCTAAAATTGTGTCAAGTGTGCAATTTTTTCTGTCCTTTGATCCGTTTAGCAATGCTTGCATCTGTAATGGTGTCTCTTTGCCCCTAGACCTATCATAGGATAAAGTTGCGTTTATGGTTTCTCTATGGTGTTTTGCTCAAGGTTGTTTGAGGGTTTAGTTTTCTCTAATTTTGAGCATATCTTATCTTCCACTTAGTCCTCTTTACTTTAATCATATTTCTTTTCCTATAAAAAATGGATAAATCTTCCGTAGAACCCATTCCTTGATTTTTTGTATAGGGATTGTTTCATCCAATTCATCATTTTAAAAATGTGTTCTCTTTTTCTTTGAACTTTTGTAGAATGTCTTGTTGCTATATTTGGTTTTGCTGTTTGAGTTTTTATCCTTGTCTTCCAATATTAGAAATTAATTTGTACAAATTCATAGTTTTTGATTTTTCTTTTAGGTACTACCCTATGACCAACTTATGCAGGAGTTAGATGTTACCAATGTTCGTGAACTTGAAGATTTTCTAATTAATGAATGCATGTATGCGGTAGGCATCATTCCCTTCCAGAGAGTATATTTCTGCTCAAGTGTGGAAAAATTAATGGAATATGCATTTATGTTATCATAATGATGATTATTGTTTATTTTTATTACAATAAAAAGATTCACTAGTAGAGGAAGAGGAATATTAGGGTGGTAATAACATCACATCTTTCCGATGGAATCCGGAGAGAAAAAGTAATGTATCTATTCTGAAGCTCTCCAATTCTTATGCAAGAACCATCAGCAAAAACTATAGGAAATCCATAAATCACTCAAAATCTGCCAAGGAAATGTTCACAATGGAAACGTTTGGGGATTATGCCTTATAAGGTCTTTGCTTATGAAAAAAATAAATTGTCTTTATCCTATTCAGTATTACAATCCCAAGAATAGCTTTACACTAAATGGGATCTATAAAACAGCGCTGTAATTGTTATATGATTAATCTCTGTTTAATAATTTAGTGCCTATATGGTACTTGTCTTTTTTTTTTTTGTTTAAATTTTAATATACTTGCTCTTTGCTCTTATCATTTTGTGTTATTTTTTCATTCTGTCCTTCTCCTAAGGATTGTCAAATTAATTAATTGGAAACAATATTTAATGATCAGCGGATATGTTTTTTTAACTTATCATGCTCTCTTCAGGGAATTGTCAGAGGAAAGCTGGATCAGTTGCGGAGATGCTTTGAGGTCCTAGATCATCATCATCTATTAATTTTTTATTTTTTGGAAAAATGCTCTTTTAATCCCTTTCTAATTTTTTTCATTTAATGAGTCCTCTATTAGGAATTTAGTTGATCTTTGAGGGTTATTTCAGGTCCAATTTGCAGCAGGTAGGGATTTGAGGCCTGGTCAACTGGGGAGCATGATACAGACTCTCTCTAACTGGTAATCTATCTTTTTGAAGTTGGGGCTTAATTAAGTTGTAGTCATATGTCTGATTAATAGTAAATCAATTACCGATATCTGGAAATAAAATATATAAATTTCTTTATCTGACAGTAAACATGGGTAGTGATACTGGACAGCTGTAATATGAGTGTAAACTTTTGATTTCTTTGCTTCGTTACTTCAGAGCTTTGAAATTTTCAACTACCACTTTTGAAAACAGCTTGTATTTTAGTCTGTTTAGCATCCAAACTCGGTTGAAGTTGGTTTAAACTTCCAATTATCAGCTTGTCACAATTTTGTATTTTATCGGAAGCTTTTGATTCTTGTTTTGCAATTCTGCTTGTGTTGTTTCTTTGGTTCGAAACTTCTCAAAATGGCATTTTGTCTACATTATGCTAATTTTTGGGATGTGATATGTGGAGTTTCTCTGGCAATTACTATTAAAATTTAATTCATGATTGGGAAATATAGGTTATCTACGTCAGAAAATCTGCTTGTTTCAATTCAAGAGAAGATAAAATGGGCCGATGCTATGAGTGAAATTGACAAGAAGCACAGGAAGGATGTGGAAGAGAAGGTAGAAGAAGTGAAGAAGTCCATTTTCAAGGTCGGTTGAATTTATTTTTATCTCTTTATTTTCTTCAACAAATTTTTTTCTTAAATACAGATGAGAAAATGTCCCATAAGAATGCTTACATGTAATTATTTTTTTTTTTTTGGATACAATGGTGGGAATTGAACACGTGACCTAATATAAACTACCCAAACCCCTGACCACTAGACCAATCCTAGTGGCTTACTTTCATGTAATTTTGATATTGTATACATTTTCTCCATTATGTGGCTCTCTATGCCAGAATTGATATTTCTACCCTTCGCTTCTGTGCCTTTGACTGATGCAGGATGGTTTTGTTTATAAAGGGTTTGTACTGAATATGTTGAAGTTTTCATATATCCTTTTGTTTATCTGTGTGTGTTCTGGGTTTGGTGTTCGAATATCTGGTGGGTGTATGGTGCAAGCTGGATTTCTCATGAGCACTATTTGTGAACATAAAATAAACATGATGCAAATTGACCACTTAAAATGATTAATTTCTGTCTGAGGACTTTGAATATATTCACGAGCAAGGTTTCCCATTCATTTTTCCATCCTTTGTCCTATTGTTTCTATGCTCAATAATCTTTGGTTTGGAGTTGTATCTGAGCAATTGAATTCGATCATTTTGTTTTGTAGGAGTGGAAGCCGAATCCATATTATCTTTTCTTTTAGCTCTTAGCAAGTGAAGCTTAGTACATTTTTTTTTTATCTTAATCATAGCAATAACAGAATCCTACTAAGCCATCTCAAGTTTACCATCATAGCAGCTAGTCATCATAACTACTATCCAGGAAAACTGCTATTGACAGCTTCTGTATAGCATCCCTGCTTTAGTCTAACTCAAATATCTAACTGATTGTCAAACCATTAAAAATGTGATACCCACTAATCCTTTTGTTATTTTATGTCCCATTTTTATTCTGATGATGGCTTAGAAGCCAAGTATGTGCAGTCAAGCTGCATTCTTGTTTTCATTATAGCTTAGTGTCATTGCATATTCCTGGCATTCGTGGGTGGGATTGGTTTGGCTTTAAGCTTATCTTTGAATGGAACCAATCATTATCTGTTAGATTTTGCAAAAGAACGGTTTATAGAACTTTGTTCGTCTGAGGAGGAAAAGCCTCACTTTGTTCATTATTTTATCAAATACAAGAGGAAAAACATTATTATTATTATTATTATTAATATTGGATTGGATTGGTGAAATCAATTTGGAAATTTTCCACTGTGGACAGGACTGTATTTAAAAAATATATTTGGAACCAAAATTGAACGTCTCTAATTTTGAGAAAAAAATGTCAATCTGATGATTTAGTTTTGTTTGATTGGGTTGGTCTGCTTCACGGTCCACTCTAGCTACTATATATAGTTATTTGGGATGGCGAAGTTTGGCTACTGAAAGACATTTATGAGAAAAGACCATGTACTATTACGAAGGAAGGGAACAAAATTATGATGGAAAAATAGTAGGTAAGGATGATAACTGTTTGCATAAAAGCAATATCCAAACCGCCTGCATATCTCCATATTAATGACTTCAAATTTTTAGGGAAATTGTGTTGCGCAAACGCTCTTATTCTTTAGTATAACCAAAATAACATTTTCAGTTGAGTGTTTAGCCATAACGTATGCGGCTCCAACATCGAGGCTGTCCTCTGTGTGGATTTGTAGTTTTATCAGATAATATAGAAGTATCAGTCTTATTTATACGCACAGATAATTGCCTGCTCTTCTTTATTTTTGGAATATATTGGTCGACGAGTCTTACTTACGTCGTGGCAGAAGTTACACCCTATAAGCAGGCCGACATTGACTTCAGAGGTCATGAGGAGATCTGCTCTGAATCTGGTGGAGTGATGGATTATGAAGAAGACCGAAGCCGACCAAAGAGGTAATTTGAGACAACTTTGTGTATATCAAAGTCAAGTGTTTTGATTAATTTTCTTGAAAACAATTGATTTTCTACGTTGAAATTTGCAATGAAATCACCTGATTGCAATATTAAAAATGTTTTTGGTTGCTGATAGGGTCTATGATCTTGAAAAAATGAATGAAGCTGGTGTTACTTGAATATCATAGTCACTTTTGTATAAATATTTAGTGCTAAACTTCTTGGTGGTGGTAGTCTTTTAATGCTAAACTTGTATTGCATAAGCAGAGTCCATAAATGGGAATGGATATTAGATATGACATTATAAAGGAAGTTAGATATAAATGTGTTCTGTAGCATCCATTTCAATCTCGAATATGATTAAATGCTGCAAATTATTCCTCGGCTTGGAAAATTTGCAGGAGGCGGCATCCAATATCTTGAAGATTGTAGTAGATAAAGGAGCTCCTTGGATGGGTGTTTTAATAGCTTGCCTGACTTTTATTCATGGCATGCGTCAATTGAGAAAATATCAGCTTTTGGAGATAAGTACACCTATCATCGATTATCGCACTTGTCTGTCACACCACCAAGCCGAGATAGGAACAAGGGATAAAAGGTGGAAAAACCTGTTTATTTCTTCAGGGTTGTATTTTGGAAATTGATAGTTTCTTGAACCATTGTCAATCCTATATTGAGTTGGCAAGAACAAGCTGAGATGGTGGTGCGGCTTTTGTTTTTGGTTGCTATATGCTAAACTGCTTTTCTTTGTATTATGCTTAGTATATGCTGGCCCAATTGCATTGCTTTACATTATGGTGATTATATAGTCCAATATTTAGATACATATTAGCATAAAAGGATGATGACATCTTGGTAAAATTGTAGCTGGTGTTTGAGGACACTTGTTGTCAGAAGAGTTCGTTTGAATGAGTTTTTTTGGAAAAAGGGTTTTTTTTATGCCTTGCTTATTTCAAAAGTTTTTTTTATAGAAGTTAAAGTTATTTAGATTTTGAAAAAAAGTTTGGCTTTTGAAAAAAATTTGACTTTTGACTTCTATTTTTTTTAAGCTAAATTTTTTAGCTTTAAAAAAAGAGAGCAAGTATTTGACTTTTTTTTGTGAATTTTTTTTTTTGAAGCAAACATCCAAATATTAAGTTGCAGCGAGAAGGGCTTTTTTTATTATTAAAAACAACAGTTTTGAAGGAAAAAAAGTCCATACAAACAGGGATCACTTAATTTTCTTTTTGTTCAATGCTACTCACAACTTCGAAGAGAAACAAAGTAAGAACTGTTTTAGCTTGCGGTTTAATTGTTCTCTTATAAAAAGGCAGTTGTGTTTGTGTTTCTCGATTGTTGCGTGCCTAGCTTTGCTGTCTTGCATGTTATTGTAAGACCAGTTAATCTTTTACTTATATGGCCCTGCTATGGGATCGTTAAGATCGATGAGCATTTAGAATATGAATGTAGTCAGAATTAAATTTAATCTAATGATATGTGATAAATTATTATGGTGGTTATGATGTTGATAGTCATCTTTCTTCTATAAATTATTATGTTTTTCAAAATAGAAGTGACATAATTTTGTTGGATGATTTTAACTGTTTTATTAAACAAACTATTTTAATTATGTAACTAAACAAACTTTAGGTAGTTCTACGAAAGTGGTTGACTTGTTGGATGGGCCAAGCTCCTTTTAGTCACATGCTTGAAGTTGTTATTACCACAAATTTTTTTAATTTACATATCAATATCATTACGATTTCTGCATACGTATTGGACCTGATACAGGTGCAATGTTTCATCATTCAAACCCACGCTGTTTAATCTTTTTAATTATTTATGTATATAAAAAAAAAACCCGTAATATGGGTAAAAGGGTTCATACTAGTCTAGGCTAGGCAGACCCACCCACGCACATAGACTTCCATGCTCTAAGAAACTTGCATTTTAAAATCTTGAGAGTTGACCCTAAGTCAAGCAATGCCGTAACATACAAGTAGGCTCAGTCAACGTGGCAATGCCTCAAATCCTACGTTGACGCGTGTTGTACAAGTCAAGCGGGGTGTGACTGTGAGAATAAAAGAGTCACCACCAACCAACGAGCAGTTTAGTCAGTCACATAACATTCAAGTTTAGTTTGTGATACATAAACATAAACATAATAATAACTCATAAACAAAGTTGGTTTGGAGTTTAAACATTTCGGTCTGTGCACATTAAAGCAAACAATGCATGGGAGAGAAATATGGACAGCCTTTTTTCTTATTTGTGGTGTGAGTGTGACTACTATGTTGACTCCATTCGAGTTAGGAGGATCTGCTGCTGCTGCTGCTGCATCATCATCCCAGCTTGAGCTTGACTTTGAAGCAAATGCTTTACTCAATAGTGGATGGTGGAGATCATACTACGATAATAATATCTCCGAACGCTGTAATTGGACAGGTATAGTTTGCAACGACGCTGGAAGCATAACAGCAATCCAACCCCGGTACTCATATGAAAGAAGGGTTGAATTTGCAACACTCAACCTCTCTGCTTTCCAGAATTTAGAACAGCTTGAGCTCTTCGAAATTGGAATACGAGGGAGGATCCCACCAGAAATCGGTATTCTCCCTAAACTCACTTATCTCGATTTGTCCAACAATGCTCTTGAAGGTGAGATACCTCCTTCACTTGGAAATCTTAGGCAATTAGATACCCTAATCATCGCTGGCAATAGCATTAATGGCTCCATTCCTCATGAGTTGGGGTTCCTCAAAAATCTTGTTACACTAGTTCTATCTGCTAATATGATCAGTGGGAACTTGCCTATTTCGCTTACAAATCTCACTCGATTAAAAAATCTTGACATTTCCATCAATCGACTTGAAGGTGAGATGCCACCTTCACTAGGAAATCTTAGGCAATTAGAGACCCTAATCCTCGCTGACAATGACATTAATGGCTCCATTCCTCATGAGTTGGGGTTCCTCAAAAATCTTGTTACATTAGATCTTTCTAATAACACGATCAGTGGGAACATAGTATCCTTGTTCGCTGAAAGCCTTGCAATGCTAACCACTGTCGAGCTCAGTCACAACCGCATTGGTGGTGAAATGCCATCACAGCTTGGATATCTTCCAAAGTTCACCTCTTTGGATCTAAGCTACAATAATCTCACGGGAATGGTTCCCCAATATCTCCTTCATGTTGATTTCGTGGACATGTCCTACAATAATTTGAAGGGTCCAATTCCAGATGGCTTCAGACCTTATGCGCTAACAGGCAACAAGGATGTATGCAGCGATATTCCAAATTACCAATTGGCATACCAATTTCAACCTTGCTCAGCTCACAGAAAAACAAGCATGAAAGTAAAACATCATCTGCTCATAGTTCTTCCCATCCTTGTTTTTCTAATAGCCGCCCTCTTACTGCTTGTGTATCTGAAATTGCGTAAAGTACGTGCAACAAAGAACAAATATGCAAACACAGCAGCAACTGAGAATGGTGATTTCTTCTGTGTATGGAATTATGATGGAAGCATGGGATATGAAAACTTAATTAGAGCTACAGAGGACTTTGACATGAAATATTGCATTGGAACTGGAGGGTATGGGAGTGTTTACAAGGCACAATTATCTGGTGGCAAGGTTGTTGCCTTGAAAAAACTCCATGGTTTTGAAGCAGAGGTGCCGGCTTTTGATGAGAGTTTTAGAAATGAAGTGAGAGTGTTATCAGAAATAAAGCATCGACATATTGTGAAGCTTTATGGATTCTGCTTGCACAAAAGAATCATGTTTTTGATCTATCAGTACATGGAGAAAGGAAGCTTGTTTGCTGTCCTGTATGATGATGTTGAGGCAGTGGAAATGGATTGGAGAAAGAGGATTAACATTGTTAAAGGCATTGCAAATGCTCTTTCATATCTTCATCATGATTGTTCTCCTCCAATAGTGCATAGAGACATAAGTAGCTGCAATGTCTTACTGAATTCAGAGTGGCAGCCCCGTGTGTCTGACTTTGGCACGGCCAGACTCCTCCAACATGAGTCATCCTATCGAACTATAGTTGCTGGAACCATTGGATACATAGCTCCGGGTAAATTCTTCATTGCTTTCTTTTCATTTTTTATTTTTTTTTCTTTTTAGTTCTCTTGCCCTTTTTCCCTAGGCTCTTGTGTTTACTTGATTCGAAGCCTAGTATATACATGTAACATGTAGCTGCACTAATTTGTAATGCTGTGTTGGTTTGGTTCTCTGCTTTTTAAAGCCAAGCCCATTTTTCTTAAGCAAGTCACTTACATGATTTGATTATTCTCACCCTAATTAGTTGCTATAAGGCTTTGTTTGGGACTTTAGAGGGAGAGGGAAAGAAGGGGATCCAGGGGGAGGAAGGAGAATGAAGGAGAAAAAAATTGAAGGGTATTTCCTTCCTTTACTTGGGAGTTAAAAAAATGGTAAGGGAGAAAAGTAGAGGGTTAATGAGATATTTTTACCATTTTATCCTTTTTTAAAAATTAATACAATTATTACATTTTACAAATTAAATTAAATTTAAAATTTCTAACAAAATTATTTATGTACTTTTTGCAATACTAAAAAAGATCGTATTTTCGATAAAATTTCTATGTTGCAAATGACGAAAATTTCGTCAGAATATTTTACGTCGAAAAGTGACGGAATTTTTTCTTGGATGAAAATTTTTACAAAAATAAATTTTCTATCGAAATTTTGGACGAAATTTAATTTTCTTCAAAAGTTTTGACGAAAATGATTTCCTCCATCAAATGTTTTAAACGAAAAAGAATTCCGTCAAAAATTTTTACGGAATATTTTTCGTTCAAAATTTCGATGGGAATGTGGTCTGACCAAAATTTTGACGAAATTTGTTTTGTCAAAATTTTTGAGGGAAATGTTTCGTTCGAAACTTTCGGCGAAATTTAGAATCTGTAAAGAATTTTGACAGAATAATTTTTTCCTCAATATTTTTTATCGAAATATTTTTCGTCAAAAATTTTTACAAAAATATTTTCAGTCAAAACTTTTTGACTGAAATGTGTCCCGTTGAAAATTTAGATGGAAAAGTTTTTTATCAAAAAACTTGATGGAAATATTTTTCGTTGAAAATTTTCGATGGAAATGTGTTTTGTTAAAAATTTCGATGAACAAAAAATTTTACGAAAATGTTTTCGTCGAAATTTAAATTCTGTAAAGAATCTTGATGAAATTTTTTTCTGTCAAAAATTTTCAATGGAAATGTGTTTCGCTGAAAATTTTGATGAAAATATTTTTCCTTAAAATTTTCGATGAATATTTTTTTTGTGAAAAATTGAGGCAAATATTTTAAAGAAATTTAGATTCCGTAAAGAATCTTGACAAATTTTTTTTTTTTGTCAAACTTTTTTACAGAACTGTTTTTAATCACAAATTTTGAAAGAAATATTTTTTGTCGAAAATTTTTGCGAACAATTTTGATGGAAATTTTTTCCCTAAAAAAATTTGACGTAATTCATTTCTGTCAAAAATTTTCGATGGAAATGTGTTTCCTCAAAATTTTGGAAGAAAATATTTTCGTTGAAAGTTTTAACGGAATTTAGATTCTATCAATGATTTGTCTGAATTTTTTTTCCGTAAAAAATTTATGTCAATGATTATGGTAAACTCTGATTCCGTCTTTAGTTTTGACGAAATTTTTTTGACATGTATGATTTTCATCAAAAATTTCATAACTATTTTTGTCGAAATATTTTTCATCGAAAAATTCTGTCGATATTTGAGACTTTTCTAATAATGTCACATTTAAAAATGATTTACATTTATCTAGTTTTCACATTTTAATGCTAAGGGTAAATAAGTTATTTTTAATATTTTTTCTCTTAAACCCTCAAATTGGGAGAACTTTAATTTTAGGAAGAATGAGGATTTTGGAGAATTTAGTAAAAATTTCTAATTCTTTCCCTTCAATTTTTTAAACTCACAAAGAAAGGGAAGGACTTACTAAAATCCTATTTTTTCTTTCCTTCCTCTCCTAAAACCAACTTCCAAACAAAGAGAATTAAGAGAGGAGGTTAGGAGGATTGAAGAGAGAAAAAAGAGGAGAGGAGCATGTGTTTAGATTGCTTGTAACACTCCTTTGTAGGTGACCATTTGATGTTGTGAAATGGTTGTATATGTGTGTAGATTGCTTGTAAGAATCCTTACAGTTTTGTTTGTTGACTGTGGAGATTTTACCATGGTTTTTTCAACTCTTACGTTGAGGACATTTTTCCATGTTAAATATGGTGTCTGATTTTTTTGGTCATCTTTTGATCTTTGTTACTGTGTTTGCTGCTATTATTACTATTCCGGGGGGGGGGGGGGGGGGGGGGGGGGGGGGGGGGGGGGGGGGGGGGGGGGGGTTTCCTTATTTATGAGTTTTTATCATGCTGAACTTATAGAAATCAAAGATTTTATTTAAACCAGTCAAATTTCAAATATTCTCTTTTCTTTTTCTGTTTGATCCTTTAACATGCTTTATGTTGATCTGATCGATGCAGAGCTTGCCTATAGTATGGTTGTGAATGAAAAATGTGATGTCTATAGCTTTGGAATGGTGGCACTTGAAACTTTGGTGGGAAGGCATCCTAAGGAAATACTGTCATCACTTCAATCAGCATCTACTCATGCCATCACATTATGTGAAGTACTGGATCAACGCCTTCCACAACCAGATATGGAAGTTTTACCAGACGTAGTTCGTCTTGCCATTACTGCATTTGCATGCTTAAATCCCAATCCTTGCTCTCGGCCATCAATGAACTGCGTGTCTCAACGTTTTCTAACTCAGCCAAAACCATTAACCATTCCTTTGGGTGAAATTTCATTGCAGCAGCTCATGAACGAAGATTTCAAGAATTATTTATAGTTGTCAATTCCTGAAAGCGGAATTCAAGATGAAGTTGATGCTGCCACCATTTAGTAAAGACTTTGTCAAAGTTGATTTGCATGAATTGTTAGAAAACCTCATAAAGTTTTGTTTCTAAGGTATCTCATTTATGTATAAACTTCATAAACTCAATTCGGACCGGTGTTGATGGATGAATTGAGTTTTAATGTTTTTCTTTGTATTATGCTGAGTATATGCTGGCCCAATTGCATTGCTTTATATGGTGATTATATATTTCAATAATTAGATACATATTAGCATAAAAGAATGATTACATCTTGGTAAAATTGTAGCTGGTGTTTCAGGACACTCGTCAGAATATGGGCCCATTTGAATGAGTTTTTGAAAAAAAGATTTTTTATACCTTGTTTATTTTAGAAGTATTTTTTTTACAAAAGTTATAGTTGTTTAGATTTTGAAAAAAAAATTGGTTTTTGAAAAAAAATTTGATTTTTGATTTTTATTTTTTTTAGAATATAAAATTTTTAGATTTAAAAAAGGAGGTTTTTGGTTTTTTTTTGTGTGTCCTTTTATTTTATAGAAGACATTCAAATTAACACTACGTTGTAGTGAGACTGATTTTTTTTTTTTTTTTTAAATCCATCCAAACAGGTTCTAATTAACTCAGTATATTGCTTGGATGGGAGCATTATATCTAATTTGGCTCACTTAATTTTCTTTTTGCTCAATGCTACTCACAATTTTGAAGAGAAACAAATTAAAAGCTGTTTTAGCTAGCGGTTGAATTGTTCTCTCATAAAAAGGCAGTTGTGTTAGTGCCTGTTTGCATTTTTTTTTTAATTAGAAACTACTTATAAGCAGAAGTTAGATCAAATATGTTATGATTTTTTTTTATAATAAATTAAAAAATTTAAAATCAAAATTTCTTAGGAAGAGTTTTTTTTTTAAGCTCTTATTAACTTCTCTTGAATTATGTGTTTTTTTTAAATGAAGAGCAATAGGAAGAGAGAAAGAATTTTATTGAAATATATATTTTTAAACTAAATTTTTTATGTAATCACTAAATAGTTTTTAACTTTTTTTTTAGTTCTTTTTTTTAATTTTAGTGTATAAATAACTTCTAACTTAAAGAGAAGAGATCCAGACAAACTCTTTTCGATTGAGCCTAGCTTGGCTGATTACCATTTTCTCGATTGTTTCACCAATTGACATATTAAAACATTGTCATGCTAATTACCATGTTGCAATGGAAAAGTTTGGGCATACCTGAACCGGAGGGTTTTTAGCTATGTTGTTTTGGTGTTAAGTTTTGCTCTAAAGTAAAGAAGATTTTTTTTTTAATTAAAACTCTCAATTTAAAAATCGAAATTGCCTCAATCAAATATTTTTGATACTATAATTAATTCTTTTATCTTTAGGGTATTGCAAGAATTTTGAATTTAATTGTGTATTCCAAAGTAATACTTTTAATAGTATTTTAAATTTAATCTAATGATATGTACGGTTATGATGTTGATACTTGATAGTCATCTTTGTTCTATAAATTATTATGTATTTCAAAATATAAAAGTGATATAATTTTGTTGGATGATTTTAACTGTTTTATTAAACAAACTATTTTAATTATGTAACTAGACAAACTTTAGGTAGTTCTACGAAAGTGGTTGCCTTGTTGGATGGGCCAAGCTCCTTTTAGTCACATGCTTGAAGTTGTTATTCCCACAAATGTTTTTAATTACATATCAATATCATTACGATTTCTGCATACGTATTGAACCTGATACAGGCGCAATGTTTCATCATTCAAACCCACGCCTGCTTAATCTTTTAACTAATTTTATATGAGATATTTATTAACTAAATCCTGCCCATAAACTTTTCATTTTAGACGAGAGAATCTTATATGATGCAACTATGGTGAGAAAATAAAGTATTGACATTTGACGATAAAATAAAATTTATATCAATTAACAATGCAACTGTGGTGAGAGTAGATACTCTAGAGGTGAAGAATGTAGAAGTTGTTTTGCTTCATGGATAAAGGAAACATTTTATCCATGATGAAGAGAGTAACACATTACACATGCTTAAATATTATGCAAACTTTCTAATGATATAAAATAATAATAAAAAAAGAAGAAGCACTATGTAAGAAAGAAACCTAATTTTATATATTATCTGCCATTTTCTCATTGTAGTTGGTTCTCCTACATTGTCATTTTCATTGCCTGAATTTATAAATTCTCAGGCCTCTAGCCAATCATGACTGCCACATCGATTGAAAACTTTATGGATAAGTATAGCCACTAACTGCGGTGAGTTAATTTAAGCATTCACATAATTAAATAAACTCAGCACTCTTACGGATACTGACACGGGACACGACACGCCGACACGTTAATTCTAAGAAATATTATATTTTGACACGTTGTGACATGTTTTGATATTAAATAATATTTTTTATATATAACATAATTTATATTTAACACATACAATAGCTTATAATAAATCATATAACCAATCAAATATTCAAATTTCATAACATAAATATAAACAAAAATAATTTTTCGTATCTTGTTAATTTTTCATGTCAAATTTTATAATAGAAAAAATTGATTTATAAATGATTTTTTTTTATTTTTAGTTAATAAAATAAAATTTAGACTAAAAAAAAATATAAAAAAAAACGTGTCCGAGCATGTCCAAGTGTGTGGAAACGTTGATCACGTGTCGAGAAAAGTTGACTGCATGTCGGAACGTGTCAGAGAGTTGACCACGTGTCCCAAAATGTTGACCGCGTGTCGGACGCGTGTCAGAACGTTTCGGAGCATGTCCGTGTCGGACACGTATCCGATACGCACATTTTTTAAAAATGCACGACTCCGTGCTTTAGAGCTCTCAACAACCTAAAAGAATCTTATATATATAAAAAATTCCTGGAATGAAAAAAAATGGTATTAAGTCTGACATCGCTCCAATTGAATTAGTTGGATAATCGTTCCCTTGGTGGATATATCAAAAGAAATTTTTTTTTTTTTAAACAAATATTGAATGGATATGTTAGGAATTTCATATTGGAATAAAAGAGTATTGTTTTAAATACAAATTTTAATGGATATTTGCTAGAATCATCATAGTTCAAAAAAAAATATATATCTACTTTTCGCTTTGGTGAGAAATGGAGCTAATTAAGCACACCAGAAACTCAGCATAGAAAAATACCTAGATAAACATGCAAAGCATACCCAAGATATAGTAGCCTTACTTTATGCAAGTATTTAATCTCGAAACATGACTGAAATCATGAAATTTAACACTGGCGTAATATTTGAGTGAAATCTAATAAATTTTTTAATCAAAATAGCAAAGTAAACTAGCATGCTTAATGATTCTGGCTAAAGGTTATATTATTTACATAAAACCTTTTATGCAGAGTTTAGTATAAAATGATATCGGTTTCTGAAAATAAAATTAAAAATAATTATTTTAAAGACAAGCTCGGTGGGTGCTTAGTTAATTAAGGTGAGGTGTGCCTCATAATGCAATACATCAATATTCAATATTAAATGGCATTAAAAAAATGGCAACTAGACAAGAATAAAAAAATTCATCAATAGGGTTTATTATTATTCAAGTGAACAAATCACACGTGAGGACAAATAGTGCCACTTCAAAGTTCAAACTTCGATATACGCCACTCCAAAATCCATGAAGTTTCAAAGAAACAACCACTAAAAGAATATATATTATATATTTAAAAAAAAAATAATATTTAAAATAAAATATCATCACGTTGTTCAATAGTCAGTTTTCGAAAAATATAATTATATAATGAGAGTTCGGTGCTATAAATAATACAATGAAGCATATAGTTAAAGGCTCATAAGTGCATTCAAAACCCAACACCAAAGTTAGCTCCAAAACATGACTTCCAATACCATGGATTCCGAGTTTGCATACTTAGAATCTATTCAACAATACCTACTTGGATATGATTCAAAAAATCTGATCGATGTTTCAAAACCTAAAACCCTCAAATCTGCATCTCACACCTCATTTTCAAACCCTAATTGTGATGGCAATTTGGATAACATTCATGCAATGGTTAAGGTCGCGCGTGATGTTCACGCGCCGCCAACATGGAAGCATTATAGGGGCGTGAGGCGGAGGCCGTGGGGGAAGTTTGCGGCGGAGATCAGGGATCCGAAGAAGAACGGAGCTAGGGTTTGGCTTGGGACTTATGAAAATGAAGAGGAGGCAGCTTTGGCTTATGACAAAGCTGCTTTCAATATGCGTGGCCGAAAAGCCAAGCTGAATTTTCCTCACCTAATCGGCTGTGACGTGGCGCCGGAGCCGGCGAGAGTGGCGGCTTCCAAGCGGAGGTTATCGGAAAGTCCTCCGCCGTTGTCGTCGCCGCCATCTTCGGAGGATGGTTCAACTTCACAAGGGACAAAGAGGAGGAAGAAGAATCTAGCTGATCTACTGAATAAGTTAGCCAAGAATAGAGGAAGCCAAGCCAAGGTGGTTGAAATGGGGTTAGAGGAAAATGTTGATCAATGGTTGAACATGAATGACCTCAATGATTTTAGTCTAGTATGGTGTTCATAGAGTATAACCTTGCTTCTGTTTTAATTTGGGTAGTTCTTAAGTTTGACGGAATTGTTTATATATGATTGAAGAAGTTTAAGTAGTTACCCCTTTTTAGTATGGTTCGATTATTAGTTGTAAAATTAATACTACAAATATGTAAAGTAAAATTTGGTTAGTACAAACTTATCCAAAACGACATCTATTTATCCAAAAGTTTATTTTTAGCAAGCTCCACCTTCTAATTCTGACAAAAAAATTACTTGTTTCTAAACAAGTTTTGTTTGAAATGGATCTTCTAATGTGAAAAAAAACATGACATAGTCATGTGAGAAGATCACAACCATACAAAGGTTTATGATTTTGTAACTATCTATTTTAATATATTTTTTCTCTTCTCCTTTATTACCATAGATCTACCTTTACATGATTATGATTTCTCACATGACATGTTCATGTGATTTTTCACAGGATCCAGATCCAGTTTTGTTTAAGAATGTTTTATTAGTAATATGATACTTAATTCATTTATCTAGTAATGTCATGTAACTATACATGATTATTTGCAAATAGTATAACCTCAGGAGAGAATTGGATATCACTCTATGAATCAATATCAACAATCAAACCCACAATTGGAGCTCTGCAGTTTGGGCAATCTGATATTAAACATGTCAATGCACTTGAGTACACCTTACCATTTCACCTTTCCCAAGCAAAACATGCATTTCAGTTCTTGTTCAAGCCCCTGAAAGATTTAACCAAAACTCAACAGAGAACAACAAGAATGTAGCTAGCCAACCATGGGAAGTGGGAACCCTTGTCCTTCCTAGCCACATTATAGGCTTCCATGTTTTCATAGGTTTCTTTAATCATTACTTCAGCCAAAATTCTTTCCATTAGCTTTTTTTTTTTTTTCTTTTCTTTTCCTACTTGTCATGCTCAAGTAAATGCAATGGCCCTTTGTAAGCTTTATATCATACCTGATTCTGAAGTTCCAAGTTTTCTTTATGCAAAGTTTAGTTCATCTTTTAGATGTATGAACTTTTTTGTCTGAAAAATAAAATAACCAATTCGTCATATTAGACAAAAAATAAAGATTTTGGCTCTTTCATTTCATCTTGTAACCAAAATGACAGAGCCATTATGAGAAAATGGATGGGGGTGACATACCAAAAGTTGAAGTGGCCAAACACAGTTGACACTCTGATTGTGATCATCCCCTGCGCAGAACATCATGTGTCCACTCTTTGTCCCTTTAAGATGAAAGAAAAAGCTGAGACTTGAATTCTGGGAGTTATCAAATGGATCTTTTCATCTTCTATTTTGTTTTTCTTAACAATGAAGTTATTTTATTCTATAGTCTATGTGGAACCAAATTTTCTGTGAGCTTAGGCTGAATAGTGTATCTACAGAGCAATAATAATTTACCTGCATATCTATTTACTATTTTTTTTAATAATTTTTAGACGCATAGTTCTAGCTAGCTGTTATGCAAAATCGGATAGGGTTATTTTTGTTATTTACTCCACAACTCTAATATTCTTGTTTTAGAATATCTATCGTTAATTGATTAATCGGTTAATCCGATCGAGTTGGGCAGGACGATAGAACTAATTTTATCAAATTTTTAGTATAATTAAATTTTCAGGACTCAACATAAAAATATTAATTAAATTAGAATAACCCCCAATCAATTCATCCACATGTTTTGTGGTGAGGCTAATTATTTTTATGAGTGATTCAAGTTTCCCGATACCCCAATAACGTGAACGGGGAAAGTGGAACACTAGCCCATAAATGATAACGCTTAATTTGGGAGTTTAGTGTAAAGGGTTACATGGACCCACATTATGCTTTATAGTTCAGACTCAGAGTGAAGGGATTTACCGAATTGTACTCCCCCTTTTAGCGTACATTTGATTAGATTTTAGTAAAATTTTGAAACTTGAACGGCAAAACACAAACAGGTCCTAAGCCCAAGCATCGAATACCGATTAAAATGTCACTCTTTATCAAGTTTTTTACTTAAATGTCACGCGAACAGTGTTATTTCTCAATCTGTCACGGGGACAAGTTCGCTACCTGGTGTAGTGAACTCGGTTTGGACGTTCCACATTTCTAATTGATAACAAGTACCAAGTTAAAAAAGAAAGTATGAAGTTCGCTATCTCGTGTAGAGAACTTGGTGTCCACTAGAAACGCGACACATCAGCAAACCAAATTCGCTATATCGGGTAGCAAATTTGCTCCCGTGACAGCTTGAAAAATAACACTATTCACGTGACATTCAAATAAAAAACTTGATTTTGGTCATTGTCCTGGCCAAGCATTAAGCATATATCTTTTGGCGAACAAACTTATATTCATATACTGTGTATAAGTTGTGTGGTTTACTATTCACTTGGGTTTTTCTACTGCCTTTTACTGGAGCATCATCTCTGCTCTTTAGTTGACAATTGGTATGCGGGATTCTTCAAGATTCTTGAAAAATTGAATTTTTCTAAATTTTAAATTTACGGATATTATCATAAACTGAATGTAAAAATTATATTTTTAAAAATTGAAATTTTTGACTAAATTTTTTTTTTTTTTACTATACCAAACACATCGTTAATGTGAGACTATATATATGCATTAGTTGACAATCTTTAGGTAGTTGGGTTGTTTCCATGTGAGTGGGGCAAGCTTTTGTCACATCGTCGAAGGTGTTATTCCCCTATATTTTATGTTATAGTTAAGCTACCATTACTTTTTCATGTTATTTTTTAATGCATTATTTCTACAATTTTCGAAGTTTCTAGTGTTGTTGGTTGATTATTTGTTTTTGCGAGTGACGTATATTGCGCCGGATAAGACTAAAGTTTCATTACTCAATCCCATGCTTGTTTGGTACTTTAACATCTTTCATATAATGTACCGGAAAAATTAATTTGTTTTTTGTACTATATTTAATAATTTAATCCTGCCAAGAAACTTTCAGTCTTTTTTAATGAAATCTTGTCGATAAAATTTAAAATAAATTTTGTGGCCAACTAAATGAATGAATTTTCAAGTTGGCTGTCCAAATACAAGCGAGTCAAGCTAAGTGGACAATGAATGTAAAAATGCTTGACATGATCCCTGAGGAAAAACTTACGAGAAGTTAATTTGGCATTGTGAAAAGATATTTATAAGAAGTGAATTTTTTTTTATTTTTTTTTTGGTGTGGTAAGAGGTGAATTTGATTATAATCAATGTAAGAAGACATACACATATATATCTTTAAATGATTTAAAATATATTTACGGATCCATTTTTTAAGTATATTTTCTGATCTTTTCTTCTATATGTTTTGGATTTTGAGAATTGAAAAGAAAGCAAAGAAAACGAATATGAAGTCCCTAGCTTCGCCCCTTTTAATATTTTAATTTATTTTTTGTCTCAAAAGAGCCTCACCACTGCATTTGAGACAAAAATTATATAACTAATGTTCGCCCCATTCAAAATTTATTAAAAAAAATTAGCTATAACCATCATTTTTATTTTTTTTGTCATATAAATAATTATAACTTCGAAGAAAAAATTATATTATAATTTTATTTCACTTCAAAAAAATTTCTGGCTCCCTCATTGGTTAAATATATATTATTACATAATATAAAAGGAATGCATTCTCAGTTTTCCTCACCTTACGAAATTTCCTTGGTTTATGTAAATCAATTATATTTCCTTTTTTTATTTCTCTAGTTAATTTATAAAATTTATCTCTACATAATATAGTATATGCCTTATAATTGAAGAGTAAAAAATGAGAAGAAAATAAATAATCGCAAAGTAATGGGTTGAACATTTTCTACACATAATCAACAAACTGCTACTACAAATAATAATAATGAAAGAATATTAAAATTGTAAGTTTCTTCTAATTATTGAGTTCCAATAATTTAGGTTAACAAGCCAAAAACATATTTCTTCAATTAAAGTCTAAGTATCACGCGCGAACAATAGTTGGAAAACAGAAGTTGAATCATCTCTTGGTATATTCACTCTTGTATCTTGATAAGAATGGATTTTATTTATGCTTATATGAAATATTGAAATCCCAAAATAATATAACAACATAAGAAGTAAACAAAATAATATCAAGACATAATTAACTAAGATTTTACATAGGCCAGACAGTTCAAAATCATCAACTAAAATTTAACCAGAAAACTTATCAAAGCCACTACTATATATATATATATATATATATATATATATATATATATATATATATATATATATTAATTCAAAATAAATATAAAAAATGGTCATAGATCTCCATTAATAGAACCTCACTTAAAAGTTATAGAACTAAAATTCTAAAAATGTTACTTAGTTTAGTACGGACCTAATCACCTAAAATAGAGTGGAGAAACAATGTTATTTATCACACGATAAGCAAACAATGAAGAATATAAAAGCAGGACACAAAATTGCCAAAAAAAAAAAAAAAGCAGGACACGATAATATGACCTATTATAATTTATTTAACATTTCTCACTATTAATTTATAGTCTTAATGTTTTTACCGTGAATATAGATACGTTATCTACATTCACTATTAAAACAATATCATTTTGGGCTCAATATAAATAAATTATCTACATTGACTGAATAAAAAATGAATTCTTTATTTATTGCTTAAGTTACAATAAATAAAAAGAAATAATTTTGATCTCATCTTAAATAAAAAATTAACTAATCTCTTAAAAAAAAAGGCTTAGCAGATCACCCTTCAAATCTTTCTTTAATCTCTTAACGCGTCTCATATTGTCTTTTTCTATTTCTTTCTCCGTTTCACTTACTCTCTTTCTCTATCTCTCTCCATCTCACTCTCTAAAACTTTTCAAAACAAAATTGTTTAGTTGGCTTTTCTGTCAATTTCTTATTTTATTTGGTAAAATATGATTTTATCATGACTCCAATTATATGTTAAAACAAAGGCAATTCTAACAAAAGCAATTGACTAATACACTTCCTGTGTATCTCTATATAATTCATTTCTTAGTGCAGCTATCTACTTAATCATTAATGGGCCCATCAGGTTTTCTCCTTTTGGATTGTGCAAGTGAGGTGGCATATGATGTTTTCTAACTTAAAAGAAGTAAGAAATTAATCATAAATGTGTGAAAATAAGTCATAAATGCAAGTTATATTGATTATTCCTTCTCAATCATTCTCTCACTCAATTTATGTGTTTTAATAGCAGGAAACACCAAAAAAAGAAGTGAATGAGAGAAGTGCAGTTTTTCAGCGGGCGCACTTTGCGCGGGACTTGGCGCAAAGTGCGCCATTTGATCTATTTCGTCCTTGTATCTTGGCGCAAAATGCGCAGGAGGTGGCGCAATGTGCGCGGGCTTGGCGCACTTTGCGCGGGACCTGGCGCAAAGTGCGCCATTTGACAGCTTCCACTCTGTTTTCCCATGCAAATTGCGCCAGAGTTGGTGCAAAGTGCGTAGGCGATACTTTTAATTTTAATTTGACGCGAATTACTCAAAAAGGAAGCCCAATTAGAGGCCAATTGAAAGGAGATTTTCCTAAAACCTAATAAAAGGATCAGAAACAGAGGAATGAGACACTTTTTGACAAGACGGAGAAGAAAGACAACAAAGAGAGAGAATTCTTGGGAGCTTCTTGGAGTTTCAGAGAATCGAACAATTAAGACGGAAGATCTTCATCTTCTTTCTCTTCTTTAGGTTCTGAGTTTTATTCTCTTTTGTATTGATTTTGTCAGACATGAATATGTCTAGCTAGTTTTATTATTGTGGTAAGGGTTACAAACCCTTGATGTGAACCCCTTGTAGTTTGGTTGAAGTTTATGTTTATTTATTTAAATTGAAATTATCTTGCCTTGTTCTTCATTATATAATTCTTTTGGAACTGATCAATCTATTAGGATTGCGAGGGTTAGAGTTTTAAATAGGGATATTAGAATTCTAATTCCTGACAAAGGGTAAGATAACTGTTCATGTATGCACTAGGGATAGGCTACATGAACTGCAAACGTTAAAGATTCATTGATTCTAAAGGTTAACTTGAAAAGTGATTTATAAGGGATTAGGATTCTAATAGAGTTAATAAAGTTAAAGTCACTAAGGGATTATGGCTTAACTAATCAATTAAAAGATGATGAATCGTTTGATCAATTGAATAAGTAAACGTAAATGTAATCCAAGTTGCAGGGTGGGGATCATAAAGGTGTTTGTTTCTCTTTACCGCAATATTTTCTCATCCTTTACTCTTTTATTCTTCAGTTTCTAAAAGAACCTTTGAATTATTCACATTTTCTTGAATTGTTATCATTTATTTCACAAACCATACTTGTCCTTAAATCATCTTTATTAATCCAACAAGAGAAGAATAGTTATAATAAATTCGGTTCCTCAATCCTCGTGGAGACGATACTCTACTCATCATTTTATTACTTGGAACGATTGGTACACTTGTCGATTATTCACAACAAGTTTTTGGCGCCGTTGCCGGGGATTGAATACTCCAAGTTTATTGATAACTTTTGATTTTCTTGATTGGATTTTCTCATTTTGGATTGCGCAAGCAACACATACAAACAACAACTTGTTGATTTCAATATGTTGAATTAAGCCCAAACGAAATAATTTTGCTGTGTGAGAGAGAGAGGTATATGATTCTTCTGAGAGTCATTAGATAAAAAAAGATCAATAGTGTCACATGCTTACAAATTAGAGTCGTTAATCTTTTTTATCTAATGATTTTCAGATGAAGTGTCAAATTTTAAATTTAACACTGGTGTCAAAGCAATGGCGGACCTATATATGTGTAAATGTGTACAAGTGCACACACAGATTTTTTGAGAAAAGAAAAAGAATAAAATATATTTTGGGTCATCAACAAAAAAATACGGGATCCAATTTAATCTCTTAAAAAATAATAATCTCGTGATCCCTCTCAATTCCAAAATAGACCCATGTTAGTCCTTTTGAGGGACTAATATGGGTCTTTTTGAATTTCAGAGGGACCACGATTTTGATTATCTGGGTCTATTTTTGAATTATGAGGAACCACGAGTCGACTTTTCTTTTCTAAGGGATTAATTGGGGCTTGTAATTTTTGTTGAGGACCCAAAATGTTCTATTGTAACAATTCAGTAGACTCTTAATTACTTTTTTTTTATGTTAAGTTAAAGTTTTCTTTTCTTTTATGTTTATATTCTTTTGTATTTTAATATATTTAATTTTTTTTTTCCTTCTTTTATTCTAAGTCTGTAGACATAAATAAAATTTTCTAGGTCTACTATTGTGTCAAAGGATCCTACCTCATATATATATATATATATATATATATATATATATATATATATATATATATATATATATATTTATATAACAGCTAATCTAATTCTAAATATTTATAAATAATATTAAATATTGGGGCAGGATCTTATTATAGCATATAAGAATAATAAATTCTATACTTAATCTTAATAATTGATTTATATACCTCTAATTATTGTAATTTATTTGAAATTAATAATTAATTAATAAGAATAACACAATCAATTACAATTGTTTGATAAACAAAAATCAACAGTTAAAATTGATTATAAAATTTATTATTCTTACACCAATTTAAATTGATCATGTGATCTTGTCCCTTAAATATTTTCTATATTATGTTATTTTTATCAATAATCATTTTAATAATATATCACATATCTCCAAAGAAACCAAGAAATCAAAATAATAACTTTTTTTTGGAGATTACAAGGAATTGAAAACAACACCTGAAGAAATTAAAAAAATTCACAAACATGGCTCGCTATTAGTTTTTTAAACAAATCACACGTGACAAAATTGGTGCCGCTCCAAAACCCATCGAACTTTCAAAGAACCAACATTGAAAAGAATATTTAAGGGAATAACACCACGTTGTTCCATAATCATTTTTTAAATAATACAAATTCTACAAACATAAATACTAGTTGCTATAAATACAGTATTGTAGCATAGTGCTTTCACAGACAGCAAAAAAAAAAGAGAAAAACCATTGTCACCTATTCACCTCCAAAAACATGGCTTCCACCACCATGGATTCAGAGTTCGCATATTTGGAACATATTCAACAATACCTACTTGACAATGATTCTACCATTCTTCCAAGCCCTAATGTGCTCTGCTTCGAGCGTCCCACAGCTGCAGCGGCGGCGCGTGAGGTGAACGCGCCTCCGACATGGAAGCATTTCAGGGGCGTGAGGCGCAGGCCGTGGGGGAAGTTCGCGGCGGAGATAAGAGACCCGAAGAAGAACGGCGCTAGGGTTTGGCTTGGTACTTATGTGACTGAGGAGGAAGCAGCTTTGGCTTATGACAAAGCTGCCTTCAAAATGCGTGGCCCAAAAGCCAAGCTGAATTTTCCTCACCTCATTGGCTCGGATGTGCAGCCGGAGCCGCCGGTGGCGGCTGCGGCGGCGGCGGCATGTAAGCGGAGCTTGCCGGAACCTTCTTCTTCATCTGAGGATAGTTTTGAGTCACAAGGGTCAAAGAGAAGGAAGAGCTTAGCTGATCTACTTAATAAGTTAGCCAAGAATAGAAGCCAAGCCAATGTTGTTAAAATGAGTTCAGAGGGAAATGTTGTTGAGCAATGGTTGAATGATGACTTTAATGATTGTAGTCTCATTTGGTGCTCGTAGTGTACTTGTACTTTTTGTTTGTGCAATTCCTAAGTTTTTTGGTTTTTGCTGTCAATCGTAGTTCCTGATTTTTGCATACCACTATGAAATTCAAGTGGTGATGTTTGTCAACAATTATGAAATAGCTAGCTAAGCATCAATAAAACAATGGCAGTGTTGTTAATATTTCCAATAGAACACTTCTTGGGGTCATATGTTTGTTGAAAAATTGGATTATTAAATAATGTAAGATTTCAGGTATGGAACTCCACGGAGCAAAATTTTTCCTATTAAGTTTCCTTCTTTTGGTATAAATTAATTGGTATTCGATTATTAATGACCGATCAATCCAGATTCGAGTTGGATAGTTTCACCGAAGCAACAATATTTTCTTTGCCAAATTTTCAACACAACTGTGTAATCAATTCAAGATCACTAATGTTCTGTCCTAAGGATAGAGATGCTTAGTCCAATAGACTGGTATATTGATCTTGGATCTAGTGTCCTCTTTAAGGTATCTATGGAAGAGATATCTTTGAGTCAAGCAGATCACTGTGAACAGAATACTACTAACAGCGTTAGCCAATGTGGTGTGTATTTATAGAGGTTACCTGTGATTAGTGTGGATGGACCTTTAGTACCTCTGATAAGGTTCAGGCCTGCTAGCTATGCTGTCGTATTAGGATTAGTATCCTTGATGGATATCTATCCATGATTATATTAGATTTACATCTTAGATAGCTTCTTATTGGACTTGTCATTCTACGAGCCCTTCATACAGGTCCATAACTGTTGAGAAATATAGTCTCACATTGGTTGTATGGGCAACTAATGTGAGGTTTATAAGGCCTTGAGCACTCCCACCCTTTGAGCTAGCTTTTGAGGTGGTGACCTCAAGGTTCTTAACATGGTATCAGAGCGTTCGAAATCTCATCGCCTCCCACTTTCTTTGTAGTGAAATTTCCACATGTAGGTGGGCTTGTATGTTGTCCACCCTTCAAGCTCAGTATACTCTCGTATGAGGGGGCGTGTTGAGAAATATAGTCCCACATTGGTTGTATGAGCAACTAATATGAGGTTTATAAGGCCTTGGGCACTCCCAGCCTTAGAGCTAGCTTTTGGGTGATGACCTCAAGGTTCTTAACATGGTATTAGAGCGTTCGAAATCTCATCGTCTCCCATTTTCTTTGTAGTGGAATTTCCACATGTAGGTGAGCTTGTATGTTATCCTCCCTTCAAGCCCAGTGGGCTCTCGTGTGAAGGGGCGTGTTGAGAAATATAGTTCCACATTGGTCGTATGGACAACTAATGTGAGGTTTATAAGGTCTTGGACACTCCCACCCTTTGAGCTAGTTTTTGGAGTGGTGACCTCAAAGTTCTTAACAATAACAACTAACTAAGCTGAAATAACTCTATGCTGATTAATCCACGTGCTTGGTGGGTTTTCTTATCAAGTTTTTAACACCGCATACATGTTCAGAATTATAACTCATTAAGTGGGAAAACTTACACAAACGGTGGTAAAGTTGTTTTACTTTTGGTTAGTTCAAACTTGGTTCAAGATCATATCCATTTTAAAATTTTAATCCAAAATATAAAAATTAACAGTCACTGTTAAATAGGCAAAATCAAGAGATAAACTAAACAAAGAGTACGCCTACAGAAATTTCAAGGGTTTGCTTAGTAGTAAAAACAAGAATTATAGTATATGGTTAAACACTGTTATGAATTTGAATCTTGACTTTGTAAATTTCTTAGCCTAGGCCCGCAAGAAAATTTTCAAGAGAATTAGTGTTCACTAATCTAACTTCGTAATATTATGTTAAAACTCTATTATCCAAAGTTATTAGCAAGTAGAGATCTAACTTATTCCGAAATTCATGATACAATTGCTATGATTTTTTTTTTTTTTTTTTTTTATGGGAGTTGAACAAATTGCTTTGAGTTTTGTACATTTGGAATTCATTTTATTTTATAACCTCGAATTTTTAAATTTATATTATACATTTGCATGTGTAACCATTATGCTATACCAGGGAATTCTGTTTCCAAAGCCTGAGATGCTTGATGCTTATCCAACCTCTATATATATATATATATATATATATATATGAGAATACGTGTAGATTAGTCACCTAATAATTAATATGCATAAATAAACTCTGCATAATTTGAATTGATTCCCTTTCAGAGAAGTATAAAAAGAAAAGTGCAAATGCACGTGTGCGCTGTTGGTAAGTATATAATGTCATGACCTACCCCCAATAAAATATTCATTCATCTGCTATGTTCCAATAGTTTGTGAGAGCTTTTAGCACATAGAATCTGCACATTAAGATTTGATTCCATTTGTTACTGAGGAAATTAGTGCAACACGACAATTATTGTCTCAGGTTCTCGTCAGCAAATAAAATAAAATAAAGAAAAAGAAAAAGAAAAAAAGAGAGTTACTGTTGATTTAATACTTCTCAATTTCGCTACAGTAAAAACAAATAAATGAAGGGGGGATAAAAATCCAAACAGATATCCAATAGGTGTTATTCTGTTGGAAATTTAGTTAGATTTTAGGGTTTGACCTATTTAAACAATAATGAGTTTGAATTCTGAGAATTGTAATTCCAAAAAAGTATGGAGAAATTAATACAAACCTAAAATTAAAATAGTGGGGTCATTAAAATTTTGGATATCGATTCATATTTTTTTTAAAAAAATCCAAACAGATCACTGTTTTTATCATTGGATTTTCACTTCACAATCCTTTTATGTATATTGAGGAGATTGCTCTACCAAAGTGATTCAAATTATAAAAAATAAATAATAGGATAAAGACATGATGATATCTATATAAAATTAATAAATTTTATATTCAATTTTAATCGTTCATTTAATTTATTTATTAAAAGAGTTTTCTGAAAGCCTCGTATAAAGCAAATGTCATATTTCGAAGAGGATATTGAGATCTACATATCAAAAACTATTGTTTTTAGAGCTATCAGGTTTCTCCACATTTTAAATGAACTGTGTCAATTTTATTGCGTTGCATACTCTTTTTTTTTTTTTGAATACTGTGGTGCATATTCTTACAAACCATAATTATACTTAATATGTTATTTGACACATTTTTAATTTCATATGTTTTTATAAATTAATGGACAATGGTGTATAATGTTAAACTTTAACATTTTATGTACAAATTACAAAATTCACATTTATAAATATTAAATATAGGATTCATTTTTTCTTAAAGTTATTTTAGACAACTTTGTCTAATGTTCACTGAAACGACATCGTTTTGAGAAAAAAAATCATAGTATATTTGTAAATTTAATTTATTTCAAGATTATAATAATTTTTATCATTTTATTTTTTTATTTTTTACTCCAAAATAATGTCATTTCTATGAATATCACAAAAAATTATTTAAAATAATATTAGATACTTTTTCCTATTAAATATTCACAGATATGCATAATTACATATTTCTTTGCAAGATTAAAAATAATATCCTAATAAGGATAGGGATAAGAAGAACGGAGAGTCAGTGAGTATCTACGCGCTTCCTCTCTGCCGCGTTGATTCTTTTGTTTGATTTGCTGAAATCAGATATAATATATCTTCCCAAAAGAGAAAGAAAGATATAATATTATCAAAGGTACCCTTGCCTAGCTGGCCGTGTTTTTATGTATCAAACAATTTTTATATTAATACTCACGGGTTTAGGGGGAGTTGATGATGGGAGGCCATTATAAATGAGTTAAGTTAGATAAATTACATTAAATGAATTTGATATTATCTTATAACTCAAAATTTTAAGATATTAGATTTATATATTTTTTTATTTATATAGATTTCACTTGACTCAATATCAATCAATATGAGATTCTATCACACTTAAATATTCTAACAACTCATTTAATTATATTTTATTACATCAGTTAATTGAATTTTAATTTAATAAAAAGGTATATCTTCAACCAATATTTAAGTAGAAATTATAATTATCTTGATATGATAGTCTTAAAGTTTTGATTGAGTACTGATTAATCTCTGTTACAATTTCTTTTGAATTTGAACGAAAAAAACTTTAATATTATTATTTGCTACAAATAATATTTCAGCTTGAGAGAGGTACTACTAACCAGAGGTAACATATAAATTCCGAAATCATATCACACAAGGCTATCCTTTTAGTATGTATCCTTTTAATTTTTTTTATTCTATGTACTCTCGGTAGTATATAGTTATAACATAAAAAATTAATTTTTTTTTCACTTTTTGTGCTGATGTGACTGAAGAGAGAAAAAAAACTTTTCATATTATAACTATGGGTTCATTTTTTCTGCAATTACTGCAGATAAGTTATCTGCAGTAAACTTAATACGATGTCATTTTAGAGCGAAAATCATGATATTTTTGTAATTTTAATTTATTTCAGGATTATTATAGTCTTTAATTAAAATTATAATTCTTTAATATTTCAATCCCAAAGCGACGTCGTTTTGGGAGTAAATACAAATAACTTATCTGCATTAATTGCAAAAATATTTTTTTGTATAACTATATACTAACGGGAGCACATAGAATAAAAAAAATTAAAAGAACATAAATAAATTACGCACAAATAATTTTCCCATCGCACAAACAAAAAGGTTACGGGCCTTTTCTAAAACTCAACTCAATATTCAAATTAAAAGATCGGCCCTAAATTTGATTTACATTAATGTTTGTTCAACACATGTCAAACATGAAATTAAGTGAAAATGTTCAGTGCAGTGAAGATTACTGAATCTACTTATCAGCAATCATTTCGTGCGTTATATAATTTCATTCATTAAGTATAACCTTATACAATATATATATATACACTAAATATCAGTAGGTTCCTTCATAAGATATCCTAGCAATCGAAATGAAAATTGTTTCAAACATTACGAATTAATTCACTGTCTATTTTTAAGCCTAAAATATTATATTCAAACACATTTAAAAGAATTACAATCATTTCAAATAATAGTTATTCTGATTTTTTTTTATAAAAAAGGTTTTTTTTTTTTTGTAAATAAAAAGGTTTTTTTTTTGGTAGTTAAAGAGGGCTAATAAAGAAAAAAGGTTTAGGAGAAGAGAACTAGAAAGCTACTTAATTCAAAATTAGGCCGTTTGCTACAAGCATTATCAAAAAGGGTTATGTTTATCTCATTTTACATGAGATAAACATCTCTCCTACACACACAAAAAAGGGGTTGGGTCCCACCATTTTTTTTCTCTCTCTCCTCTTACATGTGGGTCCCACTTATACTTTTATCTCTACAACATGAGATAATTCTTTTCCTACAACATAAGAAAAATATATCCCTATCAAAAAAGCTTATAGTAATACTTGGATCTTGCAAAAATCAAACCTAAGCGCTACTAGTAAAATTGAAACAGTTTCAAACATTATGCATTAGCTGTCAATTTTTATATTACAAAATTTAGGATTAAAATTTTAGGGCCAAAATTCTCTTTTTTTCCAAAAATATTTAGAACTAATAATTTTTTTTTTTTCAAATGATATATATTAAACGAGAAAAAGATTAAGTGAAAAGAAACTACTCAATTTGAAGCCTAGAACAAGCTACAATCCTTACAGAAGGCATAAATTAGTATTTACATAAAACCTATAGGCATTTGGTAGCCGGTATTTTTCAGGATTTCCGGAAAACTGAATTTTTCTAAATTTTTAAATCGTAAACTGAATGTTTTTATCATATTTTTGAAAATCGAGATTCCCGGATAAAAAAAAATTTCTCCTCTACCAAACGCCCCTTAAGAGAATACTGTCATAAAAAATCGAACTTAAGCCTTACAAGCAAAGTTCTTCCATCCTTGCCGGTTGAACCAATTATAGAAGGCAAATCCCGGTGCACAAGACTTTTGTGAAAATGGGATGAAAGTCGATTATATGCCATCTTTACCCTCACATTTCTATCCCGTGACCTTTCAGTCATAAACAGCAACTTTATTAACGCTACAAAACTCATCCTCGAGTTGAACCAACTATACTAACAAACAACACTTACTCTTTCCATTCGACTTTAGGGGGCTGTTTGGAAGTCCAGAATTGTTATTGTGAGGAGTTTCAGCAACATCATCATTTATAAGGCAGCCTAGTGCTGCATAATCAGCGCTATGGGCAGAGTTCAGAGAAGGGTCTATAGTAGACATCTTTACTTTGCATTTGCATAAGAGACTGATTACACGAACAGCATCATCCTTTATATTGGCAAAATAGAGAGCAGCTTCCTTTACACATTGTCATGCAGTACACCTGTCAGCAGTAGAACGTATGTTGCTTTTGAGACCATTTGAGATTGGTGCAGCAACAGCATGCTACTGAGTTCTGATGATAACAAATTACCATTTATTGAACAAAAAGACCAAGAGAACAATGATGGCAATGATAGCTCTCTCCATTTCTTTGTAATTCTTGTGGTAGCAGATGCTTATATTTTAGCATTTGTGTATATTGCTGTGGACTAAAAAAATTCTTTGGCGTTGAACCAATATCTGTAGAGAATAACAACTAGGTTACACATACTAACATTGTGTTGAATTGTTTCCGCATATGCAAATCTGCAGAGGGTGGGTGACACTAGGTCATTTAAACAAGCCAAAAGAGAATTCCATTTCTCCATTATTCAATTGGGAAATGCCATTTCCTATATACGAAATGGATTCATAGGGAGAAAATTTGGGAGGACTATCCACATTGTCAAGGTTAACTGTCGAATGTCAAGACTTCTCCATTATATATAAATTTGAACTTCATCAAGAGAATAATATAATAACCTTTCCATTCCAACTTTATTTCAACCAGAGACAACCTTGCTTAGATGCGTCTGAGAGGTAGACAAGCTCATCAAAGGGAACCTTACAAAAAGTGAAATATCATGGACAAACTTAATCCTTGCTATTGTATTTCCTGTCCAGTTATGCAAAAACAATATAAATAAGAAAGGGAAGAAAAAACTAAATGAGAAACTATAAAGGAATGATAAATCAACTAAAAATAAAATTTTGAAATGAACTTCACAAGCTAAAGATTTCAAATATTCCAGAATTTCAATGGGGAGAGGCAAATGTAAGGTTACCAGAGGAGTTACAGAATTGGAAGGCCTTCATGAATCCAGATGTTGATCACATTATCATGATGAAGATTCCACAAATCTCACATCATCTCCAGCAAGTGCAATTATGACCCAAAATACTTCATCAACTACAAAATCTGACTATTTACAGACCCAGATGCAGCAGCCTTTCAAAGAACATCGTAAATTTTGCTATTTAGTGACTTTGATTGCTAAACGATTTTCCTTGTGTATCCTTGCAGTCAAATCAGAAACAAGAGCATACTTATTGCTTTCATAGCATGCAGTCATAAATGCTGCTAATGTTACACGATTTACATGAAGGTCCATGTCTAGTAACTTATGGAAGAACAGTGCTGCCATACCCACTTTCCTCTCACTACATAGCTTCCTGATCAGGGTATTAGCTGTCCTGATCCAGAGTTTTTTTTCCAGCCTTTCAAGAATAACCATAGCAGAGATACAGTCATCTATCTTGCAATACTCATAAGCCAAAGTTACCCGAGTAACTTCACATGGAGTAATTCCCTTTTCTATCATGGTGTCATAGAACCTACGAGCCTCACCCAGCTTTGACTGTTTACAAAGCCCACTTATAAGAGCACCATAAGTAATAGAATCTGGAGCACAACCATGGTCACCCATCCTATTGAAAAACTTCAGCGCCAACTTCAAATTTCCTTCTCGGCAGTAACCACATATCATAGATGTATAAGTTTTGTTTGTAGGGATAAGTCCAAATTTCACAGCTTCCTCAAAAAACATCTCACTCTCCTTCATTCTTTTTTCCCTACAAAAGACTGCAATCAATGTGGTGTATGAATGAATGTCAGGTTGAATACCACTCTTGACCATCTTATTGAATAACACCAATGCTAGCTTAATATCTGCCTGTTTGCAATGTTCAGATATGAGAATAGTATAGGTGACTTTATCAGCTTTCAACCCATTATGAAAGCCATTCTTAAGCATTTTGTAAGCCTCTTGTACCCTTCCCTTTTTACAAAGGCCATCAACAATGGCATTATATGTACACACATTTGGACTGAAACCTTCGTTATTCATTAGATTCATCAAACCATATGCTCTTTCAAAATTTCCTGCTTTGCAGTGCCCATCAATGAGGGTTGTGTATGTGTTGGTGTTCGGGACTAATCCCTGTTCTTTCATTCGGCTGAGTAGCATTTCTGCCCGGTTTAGTTTGTCATCTCTGCAATAACCACTTATCATGGAAGTATATGTAAGGACATTTGGCTTGTGATTCTCACTTCGAACAAGCTTAAGAAACAGTCTGAACGCTTTCTCAGTCCATCCTTTCTTGCAGAGACCATCAATCAATGCTGTATGTGTATACACATTAGGTTTCCAACCTTTACCAACCATCTCCTCTAACATTTCAAATGCTTGCTTGATGCTGCCCTTTTTGCAAAAACCTTCAATCATGGATGTGAAATTAATCAGATTAGGCTTCAAACCCATATCACTAAACTTACGGAAATACCATAATGCTCTGGTTGCAAAGCCCTTTTCAAATAATCTACTGATTATTAATGTAAATGATGCATTATCAACCACAAATCCCCTCTCAAGCATGGAACTCAACCACCTATCGGCCTCCAAAACATTACCCATCTTACAATATGCAACAACCATCACCCTATAGCTAACAGAATCTGGGCGAACGCCTCTCGCACACATTTCCTCAAACAGGTACTCTGCATACTCAACCAAACCCATGTCACTTGTAATCTTGATGACCCAATTCAATGTCCGAGTATTTGGTACTAAACCCTGGTTATGCATTTCAATAACCATTTCAACAGCCTCTTTCAACCTCCCAATCTCAGCAAAATTCTTCACCATACACTGCATCACCTCACGAGCTTTCTCTAAATTCCCATTCCCAATAAGAGATGTTGCACACACTATATAAAGCCGCATAAAGTGTCGAAATTTGGAATACCCAATGGCCCAATTGAAGAAACTCAAGGCCACGATTGAACCAGCATCATCTGCAAGTGAAGCAACAATGGTAATAGCCTGTTCATGGGTCAAGGAATCAGCATCAATGCCAAGATGGAGCCTTGGAGGTGACACTCTCATGTGGGCATGCTGATAGTAAGATTCACACACTAATGAGCAAACCCTTTTGACCATTGACTGGGATGAAGGCACATGAGAAGAAGAAGAAGATGATGATGATGTGGGTAGTGTTGAAGAAGAGCAAAAGCACAGTGCTTTTCTGCTAAGAATGAACACTGAGGTGAATCTGTGTGGAAAGCCATGAGTTCTGAGAATCAGAAAGGACACCATGAAAAGGGTGTTAATGGAATCAAATGGATAAAAGAACAATGGGTTGTTGCGTTATTCGTGAATTTCGTTAGTAGGATATAGGAGTTCTATGTTGTCTAGGAGCTACATCAGTTTTTTCATGATATTGATTGGTTTTATTCAATGATGGATTTTGTACTTTAGCAGTCGCGTTCTAATCTGTGATTTTGAAATCCATTTGTCTGATGTTGTCGTGTTCAATGTGGTTAAAAACGATATTTTACACACACAAAAATTGGGGATAAAAAATTATAAAATGTAAAATTATAACGTACTTTTTTTTTTATATAGAAACATAACAGCACTTAAAATATTGGTAAACAAATTTACAAAAATATAAAAGCATAATAATAAATTGAGATTTTAACTATCATAATCATATTACATTACTTTGTTTAATTTAAAAACTCAAAATTGTGATTCTTTTTGTTTAATTTATTTTTATTTTATTTTTTTATCTTAATTTTTCTTCTATTTTTTGTCTTCGGTATTTTTTTTCATTTGGACTAATTTTAAATTTTTTTAATTTTAGTCTTTTCTGTCACTGTTGTGATTTTTAGTATATTTAATCTTATTTTTTCTTCTATTTTTTTATTTAGACACATTTAATATATTTTTTCTATTTTTTCTTTTAGTCTTTTATTCAATATTCTAAATTTTCATAACATTTGGTCTTATTTTTTTTATCACTTTATTTTCTTCTTCTAAGAAAAGTAAAGTAAGTATACTTAATTAAGTTATTAACTAGTGTTATAGGAATGTTGATGAAAAAAATCACAGGGATAAAATAATTAAAAAATAAAAAATACAAAGGTGTAAGTGATTCAAAGCAATAACTTAGAGAATTTTTGAACTTTTCCCAAAATATAATTTAACAGGAGATTATGGAATATTACCTCGCATTCAGAATCTCAACATGTGTTTATAAAAAAAAAAAATCTCAACATGTAGGTCCTTCGCATTAGCATCTTTCAAGAAAACCAGAGAAGGGATACGAGGAACCATTTCAAAATGTGAATCAATTCCATGTATCTTGAAATAACGAAAACTTTGTTCTTTAGGGAGCGTTTGATACCGGAGAAATTTTTTGAAATCTTGTAATCATAATTACTATGAATATGATAAGAAAGTGAATTATCCGAGAATGTTATAAAAAAGTTGTTTGATATGCAAAAATATTACTGAGATTTTTTGATTAAATTTACTGAGTTTTTGTTTGGTTGATCGTGAAATATTAGTGAGAATGTGAGGTTATTTTACAAAAATAACCCCACCTTCACTTTATTTTTTGAAAAAGTGATAATGAATTTCTTCCTTTCACAGATAAACACGTGATGGTCTGAGCTTCAATTTTGGTCATCATCGTAATATCTTTGAGAATAACAAAAAAAAAAATGCAGACACCAGAGACCCACTCTTCCCCCTTCCCCCCTTTCTTTCTTAGTTGCAACTCTCTTTCCTTGTTCCTTTTCTTTCTGGGGTGATTTGTGCATTTTTTGGTGGCTGGATTCAATTTCTTTTATGCCCTCTCTTTTGCATCCATCTATGAATAATGTTGTTGCCTTATATTCACTACCTCTCCTGCGTGCAGATGGGTTTTGTAGAGAAGAAATGAAGACAACCAAATGGGTCATGTAGAGAAGAAACGACGACAAGGAAATGAAGAAGAAGGGCACATTTGTCCAAAAAATTTGGTGTCCAAATCCCTTAATCCGGTAAACCAAAAATACCACCCCTTTGGTGGTATTTTAACAAATGAAAATCCCTCACAATTTGTACATAACTTGAAATCTAGGATAAATTGGATTGCCGGGTAAATATTGAAAAAACTCTTACCAAACATGATATAATATAAATCCCACTTTCACTTTCCTATCATTCCAAAAAAGTTACTCCTACCAAACAGATTAGAGTTATAACAAATCAAGGCATTGCTAGGATGGAATATCATTAAATCCTCCCTGTCAAGTTACCTTATTGGTCGATACAAACCCCTAGGCCAAATGTTAAGAGAAAAGGTATTAATTACTAGCCCTTTGGTTGGACAACCAGTTGTTGTAATCTAATTTCAACACCCATAGTTTAAAATATAATGATAGCAGTTTATTTTGGTTAGGGAGAGACAATCATGTAATACTCTCAATCTCATGCTTCTATTGATAGGAATGCAAGTATGAATGAAAGGGTGAATTTTTTTTTACATTGGTTAAAAATGACTTAAGTAAACACCATATAAGTGGAAGGATCTATGCACCTAATGCTTTAAAGTTTTGAGTTTGATTGTGATGTTCCAAACCCACTTAATGTTATTGCTCACTTGGTCAATGGTTGGTGGTCTCTTCTCGCTATGAGCTCCCCCTGAACAGTCCAATATGTGGTATCAGAGACAATGGTGGGATTGGCTTGCCTCTGGTGATCGGGGGAAATATGTGGGCCTAAGACTCACACTTGAGGGGAATGTTAAGGAATTCAAGTTTAAATGATTGAATGTAGTCCCACATTGGTTGAAAAAGGACTTAAAAAAGAAAAGGAAAAAGTGTCTAAATAAAAAAAATAGAAAAATATGTCTAAATAAAGGAAATAAAATATCTAATGTTACTTTAGAAAATTTTGTCTAATATTCAATGAAACGACATCTTTTTGAGATTGAAAGATTAAAAAATTAGAATTATGAAGATTATTATAACCATTGAATAAATTAAAATTACAAACACACTATGATTTTCACCCAAAACAATATCGTTTCGGTAAATATTAGACAAAATTTTCTAAAATAATATTAGAAAAAACGAACCCTAAATAAATATGTTTTTCTCATGAAATGTGTGAGTACCAAAAGTTTCTCCCCGGCCACAAGTTCTTCCTGCGGGCCCAACAGTTTTCAAGTGCACGCTTATGAGCTTCAACAAACTAATATGGTGGTAGAACTTTGGATGAAGTTCTCTTTATCAAAATTGAAGCCACCAATAGAACAAGGGATTAGATTTACAATTAGCAAGCCAATGAATAGTTCTATTTACGTAAACACAAAATATGATCATTTATATGGTGCTTAAGTTGGCTTCAATGTTCCACATGTGATACTTTTAAACCAATGTTCTTCCAGTCTTGTAAATACCCAGTGGTTCTCCATGAACTCAAATCAAGAGTGAGTAACTGAGCAACTCTATATATTTCCTCCTCTTCTATTTCCAAATCCAATAACCTCATCACTTTGTACCGGTTAGTCTTTGGGCTAAAGCCAAAACCAAAAACAACAAAGTCGGTTATGAACAATTCTCCTATCTCTTCTCCATTTATGATGAAATAATTTGAATCATCAGGGTCTATAAAGATAAGTTCATATTTATAAACTAGACTTTCGATGAGTTCTATGAAGATTTAAATTTTTGGTTTCTATTTTGAAATATTCTCGAAATGGGCATGTTTTGGGTTGGATTTAAGCTTAAATCATGTTGAGAAAAATGTTTATATCATGATTTTAATGGCGGAAATATGTTGAAAAGTTTGGTTAGACCATATGCATGAATTTTGAAATTTCATGCCTATGTTAGTGTGATTTCTTGCAATGCAAGCAATGCTCCATGTGTTGATGATAAGGCTTGTGTTCCTTTGATTTCTAGAGTGAATTAGTGAGCAAACGATCATTGGATCAACCTATGGAGGTGTGAGTTGAAATTTGAATTATTTCAAGTATAGGTAAGTTGTTAAACAATGTGGAAATGTGTTGACATGTGATGTGTGTCATTATCTTACAATTGAATTGTATTGGTCATTGATTATATGTTCACCTTGTAAATATATGATTGTTAGTAGATAGCTAACTTGTGAGGTATATTCTTGCATATGATCAAGTGAGTGAAGTTGGCTTGTGCTTGGAGCAAAGCTAGAGAGGAAGCTACTACAGGTAAACTTTCGGATCTTAGGATTTATCCCTTTACTATTCCAGCAAGTACCGAGGGGACTGTGGTATATGTAATTGCATGAATTGTGAAATATAGCATTTTATATATGTTATTTTGTGTGCCACACAAGATGGTTGATTCCTTGTGTGAGGCATAAGACGGTTGTTTCCTCATGCATGGTATGTTACACGATGATTGCTTTCTTGCGTAATGCATACATTATAGATCTCTGGCCAGTTCTTTCATATGTGCACGCATTAAATTGATATATGCTTATATGCTTTATTATCATAATGTTATGCTTTTATGCCTCAAGTGAACTTTGGGTGGAGAAATTCTCCAAGAACCCTTAGTTTACCGAGATATATATGTATATCTCACCCCATGTTGTGAGGACCCCCTTTCAGGTACAGATGATGCAGGAATATCCGTTGGCAGTAGGCCACAGTAGACTACATTTGTATATTATGGACTTGCATATGGCATGTTATCTTGGATGACTGTAGCATCATATGTTTATAGAGTTTTATTTTGAACGTATGTGTTGTCGATGCATGGAGGAGGGACTTAGCCTATGGTCATATTTATTAGATATCTTTCATGTTGTTGATGCATGTAAAGGACTTTGATCATATGTTTTGTATTAGTTAAGTTCTTATTTATGTAGTCTGTGGACATTTATATATTTCGATAAAAAATGATGGAAGGCCTTACACGCCTATTAGATAGACTGAGATGATGTCAGTATTTATTGAATTCTTTATCAGTTGAGATACCATATGAGAATTAGCCCTAGATGTCTGAAAAACAAACAGAGCTTGGTCCTTTTTGTTTGAGTGATGTTGGTAGGAGATTATCACCTTGTGTGATTAACTATCATCATTTTCGTGTGAAGCCATGTTGTTTATGAGAACTTCATTGTGGTATAATATGTTTAAGCAATAATAGATGTTTATGCAATTTGTATGAGTTATAATTACAATATGAATTGTTTATAAATACGGAAAGTGTTTTAATCAGAAAATAATATGTTTTCAAAAGAAAAAGTAAAAAGTTTATCCGTGTTTTAATCAACTGTTGTGATTGTAACTGTGCTTAATGTCAAACGTAATGATAACAAATCGGTTATAGAACGAGTGTTACAATAATACTCTGCAAATTGGAATCAGGCCTGATATTGCATTTGCAGTGAAAGTTCTAGCAAGACATAGTTTTTCTCCTTATAAAATTGGAATAATGTTAATCATATTTTGATTATTATCAAGGATTTGTCCATGATATAATATTTTACATTGGTTGAAAATTTTGATGATGACTATATGTCTAATAATCACATATTAGATATGCATCCCTCTGTGGAAGCACTGCAATGTTATACTTATCCTTGAAGGGAGCCATGAAGGTTTATTACTGTACTCTTTTTTTCCTTTTCTAAGTTTTTTCCCAAAGGATTTTTCTTGGCTAAAGGTTTTTAATGTGATAGTTTGTGTAATGCTTTAGTAGAACATATCATGTACTCTTTTTCCTTCACTGGTTTTTTCCATTGAGTTTTTCTAGCAAGTTTTTAACGAGACATGAATATTAGTGCAATGATGCCTATGTGAAATTTTATAAATGGATATTATAGAAAGTTGTAACTATTACTCCATTTCCTTATATCGAGCAGTAGTTATATGGTTTAATTGAGGGGGAGTTATATGCATTGTACTCTTTTTCCTTTTACCAGGTTTTTATCTCACTGGATTTTTTTTAGAAAGATTTTTAATGAGATGGTCTAAGTTAGCGCATAACAAAAGATTGTATATTAATTACGAATATTGTACTATTTTTCCTTCACTAGGGTTTTATCTCACTCGGGTTTTTTTTTTTAGCAAAGTTTTAATGAGGCATATCTATAGTAAATTGTCATCCAATGGGGAGTGTTACAAAATATTGATGGATGACTGATGACTTTTTGTATTCTGATACAACAATTCAATTTATGATTGTACCGCTGGCATTTATCCCCCAATTTATAATTGTTTAATTATCCTTTATGGTTGTAACCCTATATAAATTAATGGTTATTATCATCATGCTAATGATAGAAGTTTTTTTTTTTCTCTCATCTTCTCCTGTATTACTCTCTAACTTTTTTTTTTTTTTTTTGTAATATATTACTCTCTAACTTTTACTTGTTATTCTCATATATACAAATTCCCTTCTCCTCAGCCCCTTTTTCATAACCAAAATAATGTTATAAAGACAGAAATCTAAATTAATTGAAATATGCTTCAAACTAATAATTCAACACTACATTTAATGATACTTAGATATAAGATATAAGTAAATATAGCGAGCACTTATAAACAAATTGTGCTGGATACGGATCTTCATACAGACCACAACAGTTTCCACGAAATTTATTACGAAGTTCTTGTAAATATGACATAGCATTTAATATAAAATAAAAACCACTTAAAAAGTTCCTTGTCAATTACAAAGATGAAATCACAAAGGGAGACATTAACGAAAGACTCGAGCAAGCTTCAGCATCCTTCACTACATATGAGTTTTTGTGAATGCAGAACTGAATGGAGTATTACGTTCCACAATTTTAGAATATTTAGCGGATATAGCCTCTTCATCTTTTTCCACCAGTGCAAAATCATAAAACTCCTTCCAACCATGAAGCCTCACAGAATCCCTAAATCAAACAGCTATGTTAGAACAGCATGCAATCTGAATATAAATAAAATCCCAGAGAGAGAGAAAGATTATTCTATTTTCCTTTGAAGCTCGAAGCCAAGATTGTTACTAGTGGTAACAAAAAAACTTAGAACTAAACAATATATTGCAATTAGTTAGGAAAATATAAGTTATAATGCAGTGAACAATAATATATATTGATCGGTAAAATCAAGTATATAGCAAAATAATGTTTCAAACAAAACATAAAATTTATTATGCAAAATAGAAAAATAAATAAGTGCATATATACAAAAACAAAAAAGAGGCCTAAATAATTAGGGACCTGTTTAGTATATTGCGTAGTAGTTATTCACACACAATCAACTCAAGAAATACTATCGAATCGAAGGAGAGAGATTTAACATGTAAAACAATATCAAAAGCTTATTGATGTCTTTCATAAAGAGTATTCCACAAATCAATTCTAAAAGTAATTGCTAATATAAGGTAATAAAAACATATATATGAGAGTTGGAACAAAAGTGATATTAGAGACTAGCAATTAAGACTTTATGCAAGTTTATATTTTTATGCACTTGATCTACAGAACAACGTAACACAATAATTATATATACACTAGAGGAATATTTCCAAATATATATATATATATATATACACACACACACACTAGATCCACAATATCTAAATAATAAGAAAATATAATTTAATAGGAGATTATCGAATATTACCTCACATTCAAAATCTCAACTTGTGGGTCCTCGACATTTATAACATCTTTCATGGGAACTAGAGAAGGAATGTGAAAAACCATTTCAAAATCTGAATCAATTCCTTGAATCTTGAAATAACGTAAGCTTTGTTCTTTAGGGCTATAGCAAACCAAGGAATTGCTTGGATGAAACATCAACAAATCCCCATTGTCAAGGTACCTTATTGGTTTATACAAACCCGTAGGCCACATCTTACGAACAAGGGTATCAATTACCAGCTCTTTGGTCCAGGACAAAGGATCATTGTAATCTTTCAATACCCATATGTGAAAATGAGCATAATGGGTTGTGTCAGTAAGGTAGAGACAATCATGTAGCACTCCTAATCTCATGTTTCCAATTGCACGCCTATCTCCTTCAATAAACTCCTTAGGTGGAAGGATTTCACGTATGTTCTCATTATCAAAATCAAAGCAACCTATGAACAAGGTAGCATATTTACGATTAGGAAGCCAGTGAACAGCTCCATTCAGGTAAACACAAAATGATCGCTTATAAGGTGCTTCAATGGGAGCCCATGTTTGTCTTTGTAATACTTCTAACCCAATGTTTCTCCATCTTTCCAACGAGCTAACGGTTCTCCATGAACTTGAACCAAGAGTGAGTACTTGAACAGCTATATATCTTTCACTCTCCTCCGTTTCCAAATCCAATAACCTCATCACTTTGTATTGGTTAGTCTTTGGGCTAAAGCCAAAGCCAGAAAAAACAAAGTGCATCATACATAACTCTCCCATTTCGTTTTTATCCATTATGAAATAATCTGTATCATAAGGGTTTCTCTCAGGTTTAGGGAGATTTATATACTCTCCCGTTATGGGATTACAAACATAGATAGGGTTGTTGAATGGGGTTGTGCATACACAAAGCAAGCCATTACATGAGTTCACTATACCAAACTTAGGAATCAATTGCTTACTTGCTACATCAACCAATGGGACTTGAGGGGGTATTAACTTTGAGTGTAGCTTCAATGGGGCAACAAGGTCATTTGGGTTGGTAGCTTCAATTAAATGCAAATCACTAGGCCAAAATCTAGGTTCAAAGGCTCTCAACATTGGGTACATAGCTGCACGATCAAAGTGCATTTTTGAAAAAAATGGCTCCTTAATGAGGCCGTTCCATTCTTTACAAACACATTTAGAGCTTTGAACAGATCTAACTGGGAGCCTCGAGAAGATGTTTAGAAGAACATGATGAGGTAAATCTGTGATACTAGTAGGACAAGTTATCAAAAGTATTTTGCTCCCTCGTTTACCATTTCTTGACACAAATTTCAAAAACATATCTCTATCCACCATATGTTCCCAGAAATCATCAATCACAAGTAGGAATCTTTTTCCTGTTACAGATCTTTCTAGCAAGTAATGTAGGTCACCTGTTTTTATCAAATTATCATCCATGGAAATCCACATCTTAAATTCAAAAAATTCTACCACCTCTTTGTCATTATATATTATATGAGCTTGGTTAGTGTTGAGGGATAGAAATGAAACCTCCCTTGCTGTGTTCATGGACAGTATGAGTTGAATTAATTCCTCATCATTGTTCTTGTTTGCTTCAGAAGAATCTGATTTTGATGAAATAGCTCGGAATTGCTTATTTCTTTCATCCACCAAGATTTCTCTTTGATGTCTTTTCTTGTTGATTGTGTTCATGTTTATGGACCTGTGTTTCACATAACACAAAAACAACAAAAAGTGAAAAAAAGAGGGTTAGGAAATCCAAATTTTTGCATCAAATCTTGCTGATTTTATCAACTACTCTTAAAAAGAATCATATCATGCTAGTAAACATTGAAAACATATATGCTAACAAAAAATTGAGAGTAGGATTTTCATACATTTGATTAGGATTGAAGAGCAGCCTGCGCGTTGTAATTTGATTGTGTGTTGGGTTTTTTAATCTAAAGTTCTTCACATAGTTAAAAGAAATAAAAAAAGAAAAGAAAAAAGAAACGACAGTTATCAAATGATTTTTTTAATAATATATCTTAGTCAAAAGAAACGGATGTTGTCAAATATTTTTTTTTTTACATATTTTATAGTTAAAATATTATTTGTCTTTAATACAAAATTAATTATATGAAATTTGGAGAAGGATCCATCTACAAATTTTTTTACAAATTACACTAGGTATGACCGGTCAAACATAGTGTAATCTGTAAGAGTTTGTAAAAAAAATTTGTAACTATAACCTTCCACATAAAATTTACCTAAACATTTTATGATAAAATAAATTTTAATTAATTTCTTTTTGTGTTGGTTTTATTTTCCTTTTTACTAGAATTCTATACAAAGTAATTTATTAAATAATAATTATGTGCAAAGAATATATATATATATATATATAATTAATTAAATATTATTCTATTGTCGAAGTTTGAATGGTTAGTCATAAAAATATGCAGGACATTTTGTCTAATATTAATTAATTCTCGTATATATATATATATATATATATATATATATATATATATATATATATATATATATATATATATATATATATATATGGGAAAAAAGTTTCCGATGTTACTTTAGACAACTTTGTCTAATGCTCATCGAAACGACGTCGTTTTGGGGTTGAAAAATTAAAAAATTAGAATGATAAAGACTATTATAACCCTGAAATAAATTAAAATTATAAAAAGACCATGATTTCCGTCCCAAAACGACGTCGTTTGGATAACATTAGATAAAGTTATCTAAAGTAACTTTAGAAAAAACAAACCCTATATATATTTGAGGTATGATCCTTTGACACCAGTGTCAAATTTGAAATTTAACATCTAATCTGAGAGTCGTTAGATAAAAAAAGATCAATGGTGTTACATGCTTACAAATCAGAGTACGTAGTTTTTTTTGAACTAATGGTTGTCAGATGATGTGTCAAACTTGAAATTTGACATTGGTGTCAAAGTATCTTACCTATATATATATATATATATATATATATATATATATATATATATATATATATGGGCAGGATATTCTTACACCGGTGTAAGAGTTAGAAGTCTTACACTCAATCTTGACCATTGATCCACTTGTATCCAATGACTCACATTACTAAAAAATTAGAACCCTTAGATATAAGTGGGATCAATGGACAAGATTGAGAGTGTAACTTACACTGGTGTAAAATGATCCTAACCCATATATACATATATATATATATATATATATATATATATATATATATATATAGGGACAGGATCATCTTACACCAGTGTAAGACTTTTACTCTTAACCATTCACCTAACTTCAATCCATCGGTTCTTATCTGTTAAAAGTTAGTGGGCACGTGACTTTCTTTCTCAAACTTATTTCTCGTTGCACCCTCTCCCATGAACATTTCTCCCACACCACATCCACCATCGCGACCTAGCCAGTTCTTCCCCCTCCTCTCTGCCTGTGTCTGCGTTGGTAGCTCCGACTAACCCCAAAGTCTCCAAGCGGTTCTAACATTGAAATAAATCTTGATTTGGAAGAGTTTTCAATTCCTCTCTTCAATCCTCTTTTACCTTTTACTATGCTGTTAATTTCCAATCTTAGGTTTTATTGATTTTGAAGTGTTTTTTTTTTTTTGGGATTTGGTTGGTTCTTATGTCTCTGTTGTTCTTTTTGCTTGATTCCTCATAATTAACTTTGTTACAAGTTCATGTTTTCTTCAACACTTCATGTGCCATTTTTTTTATATTGCATTGGCTTTTATTTAAACTAATTGTAGTTTCAAATTTAATGCTTAAATTGATGTCGCTATCTTGTTTGTTTTTTTAGGCTTTGGTTGCGGCGAGTAATGCTTCGAAGGTGAAGACGCAGGTTTACTACCATGTAGACCTTGAAGGATGGCTTTAGGCATCAGAAAATCATCTTATAAGAAGTTGTGAAAGTGGTTACAAGCAAAATCCTCCTCTAGCTTGGTGGGTTTACCTACTGTTTTCTTTTTTACTTGGAGAAACGGAATAATGAATAGAAACAATATCAGAATTGGTGACTATGGCAAAAGATTGAATAGGAAACTAGGGATTTAACATTCTAAATTTGTGTGAGTTAATACTTACAGCCTATGTCATACATATTTCGTAATTTTTGTGGAGCTTTTGGTAAAGGTAATACTTTTATGGTTGTTCCATTGTTATGATAGCAATGACATTTATCTATTTATTTGTGCCACTTTAATAAGGGAACATGTACATTCCCATAGACAATTGTTTGCTTAGTTCACATCCTCCAACCAGATATGATATATTATGTTTTACACAGGTGGAGGAAAACAATTGAAGTTGTTCTGTCTGAATTCCCAAATGAAGAAAAAGATGTTCCTCTTATGGCTGGTGTCTTCCTTTGAATGGACCTGGAATAATGTGGTTCTTCACCATTATTATAGCCTTATTTTTTTCGTTTGTTGTAAGAAGGCATCCATGTAATCATAGTGAGAGATCAGAGATGCAGGTTGGAAAATTTGTGATCTTTCCCCAATGAAATTGTCAATGGCCTCATTAATTTCAACATATTGAAGCTAGTCCATTCACACGAAGGGAGTTTAACTTATGTTTTTAACATTGTTGGTCTCAGATGAACTCAAGAGAGGGGTGAATTGAGTTTATAAAATAATTCGCTAATTAAAAATTAACTCAAAGCAATAAATCAAGATAAGGGTAGAGAGATATTAACACAATAGTTTTTACGTGGAAAACCCACAAGGGAAGAAAAACCACGGGCCCTAAAATCGAATACTGAAATTCGACGGGCAACTCCACTATGAAACTTGTGTACAAAGAATTCTCTAGTATCCTAGTTTCCTAGTCTACCCCTTACACAAATTTCCCAAAATGGTATCCTAGTTTTCCAGTACGAAACCCTAACCCTTTAGGATTCCGAAACTCTATCACACCAGGGTTCTCAACTTACTCTCAATTTCCAAGAAAAAGAGACATGTTGGTATCCCAGTTTCCCAACACAAGAACTGGTATCCAAGTTTCCCAGTACAGACCTTCAAAAAGGTCAAGAAGAAATTTACAATTAAATGACTTACCTCAGTGCTTCTTTTCCTCAAGCATATAGGTAATCTGAATTCCTATGGAGAAATATCCACTTTGCCAAAGGATGAATGTTCTTGAGAAAGCTCTTCAATTGATGCACAAGAAAGAATCCTAATCTTGAAAAACTAACTCTCTCTTTTCTTTCTTGTATATTTTTCTCTCTTTTCTCTCTTGTACTTTTTTCTCTCTTCTCTCTCTTGTTTTTTTCTCCACACTGGAATAATATGCAATGAGCCCTATTTATAATAATAACATCTTAATCTATTATCCAATGCAATCCTAATCAAATCTTTGGCAAAGAATATTTTATTTCTCTTACATGAAATCTAAAAAGATAAAATCTTTCCTAATCTATACTTGATTCCATGCTTTTATATATCTTCATGATATCTTTCATATCTTCTCCAATCTGCATGCAATCTTTAATTATCTTGGATATTGATCCCATGCTTTTTTCTCTCTTCATGATATCTTCCATATCTTTTTCAATCTTCATGCAATCTTCAATTATCTTGAATACTATTTCAAATCAGAATAAATATTATTCTGAAATCCCAAACAATCAGCTCATTAGTAATTTCAAGACAATAAAATATTATTAATTAAATTAACATTAAATTGATTGTAATCATCAAAACATATTTTAAATCAATTAAACAATTGGGGTATAACAAATATCCAACAAACATTGTTTACTTTTTCTTTCAAGTTTAAAACAATCTTTCAAGTTTACTTGGGTTACTCAGAAGCGTTAGATGAGGATAAAGTTTTTTTTTAAAATGAATTTATCTTTGAAGTAAATAATTTAAAGTATATTTATCTTTGAATTATACACTGCACTTGAAAATTTCAATTTTGAACGAATGGGTTCATTTGGCATGCTTTCAACCTGGTCCCTTTCTCATATTAAACAATCAACTAAACTTTGCAAGTCTACTTCAAGCATACTTGAGTGTGCTAATATCCATGGGAAACATCCTTTTTCATTAATACTTCTAATTTGGCCAATGTTGGCCTTCATAATACTCCATATTTGATAAAAAGACTTCTAAATGATCAAAAGGTAAAATCATTGATGAGTACTCCATAAATTATAACATCATACCGTATGTCAGCCTAATTTCAACTCTTGTCACCAAATGAAGAATTTCTCAGCTTCCAAAGTATACCCATACGTACTCTCCATATGCATCGATGTTGAAAGCATAGCACTCGCCACTCGGATGTCATATTGTCAGCTAGATGAAACCTTTGAAACCACAAAATAATTATCCTTCATAGTCACAGGGTTCTGGCAGTTCCAATTTGAAAAGAAAATAACATTAAAGCAAGGGAGCAATAAACAAGAGGCCAAGATTTCAAAAATTTCAACTAATTGAGCTCCAGAAATTCTGTATGTCGGCAACCCAAAGTGACCTTTGAAGTCTTGACACCAACTTCCTTTGAAAGAGGCTGATGTCGCAACGGAGGCTAGCGGAGAGGTTAAGGAGCTCGACGACTTATGAGGAATGTGGTGTTCCGCTTGCAACGTTGAGCAAAGAATTCGAGGAGGAAGAAAGTAGGGGTCACGTGATTACTAATTCCTAAAAATCATAGTCGTTGATTTAAGTTAAAGTGAATGGATAAGATTAGGTGTACTACTAAAAGTCTTACACTGGTGTAAGATGATCCTTCCCCATACATATATATATAGGGCAGGATATTCTTACACCAGTGTAAGAGTTAGAAGTCTTACACTCAATCTTGACCATTGATCCACTTGTATCTAATGACTCACATTACTAAAAAATTAGAACCCTTAGATATAAATGGGATAAACGGAAAAGATTAAGAGTGTAACTTTCACTGGTGTAAAATGATCCTGACCCATATATATATACTGAGGGGACTTTTTCTCAATTTCTTTGTTCTATCTCATTTTCAAAGTTGAAGTCTCATCATGTTTTTGGAGATGCCTTCTGTTAGTTTCAGGAGCATTTGTTTTCAATGTAGTAATACTTATGCGCTACCCACCATGTTGAATTGGATTTTTATTGATATTTTGTTGGTTCATTGACTCATAATTCTGCATTTAGTTTTCTGATTTCTCTGTATTCAGTCATTTTTAGAGTTTCGAAAATAAAAAGGGTTAAAGAGGAAGTCCAAAGATTTGATTACTAGACATATTATCTTCTCCATAATTTCTTTACACCTAATATTTTATTCTTTACTTCAGTTATGGATGATGAAGTTGAATCTGAAACTCCACTTGAAGTGTCTGAAAGTTTTAGGATAAATAGAAAAGAAATCTCTAGTGTTTGGAAGTATTTTACGAAGATTGGTACAGACAAGGATGGTTTTGAAAAGGCTGCATGTAATTATTGTGCTGCTGAATATGTAGTTGGTAGGCATCCTAAGACCCGAAGTAGCCTTGGAACTTCACATTTGGGTCTTCATATTCTTGGTTGTAAGATTCTTGCAAGGTCTGAATCTAATGAGCAACATGGAAAGTCTAGTACAATACAGATTAATGACGAGGTTCATCGAGAAAAGCTTGCTCGAGCTATAGTTTATCACGATCTACCTTATAATTTTGTTGAGTATGAGATGATTAGGGATTGGAAAATTATATTAGTCCTGGTGTTGTGATGCATTCTAGGAATACCATTGTGTCAGATGTTCAAAAAATGTATGTCAAGGAAAAGGACAAACTTAAGCAAATCATGTCGAGGATTCCTAATAGAGTGTGTCTAACTTCAGATGTTTGGACAACAATTAATAGTGAGGGTTATATTTGTTTAACAGCTCACTTTGTTGATGATAATTGGAGATTAATTAGTAAGATTTTGAACTTCTGTCGAATGAAGCCTCCACATACTAGGGTTGAATTGGAGACTACGTTGTTTGATTGCTTGAAGGAATGGGGTATTGAGAAGAAGGTCTTTTCCATTACACTGGATAATGCTGCTGCGAATGAGCATGCAACTTATATTAATAAATCATCTTCGTTTGCAAAATAATTTGTTGTGTGATGGTGAGTTTTTTCATATACGTTGCTCTGCACATATACTTAATTTATCTGTTCAAGAAGGTTTAAAAGTGGCTGCTGAAGCACTGTATAAAATTAGAGAAAGTGTTAAGTATGTGAAAGTATCAGATGGGAGGATGATTAAATTTCAAGATTGCGTGGAACAAGCTGGTATAGACACAAGCATTGGATTGAGAACAGATGTGTCAACCAGGTGGAGTTCAACATATTTGATGCTAGAAAGTGCGCTTAAGTATGAAAAAGCATTTGAGATTCTCCAAGTGTTAGATAGGAATTATAAACATTGTTTGTCACAAGAAGAATGGAGAAGGGGGGAGAGAATATGTGAATTTTTGGAACCCTTTTATGAGACTACAAACATGATTTCAGGTTCATCTTATCCAACCTCTAACTTGTATTTTATGCAAGTTTGGAAGATTGAGTGCTTATTGGATGAAATATTGGAAGCAGTACAGTGTAGTCCTAGCTTTTGGAGCTATTCTTGACCCACGCTTGAAGCTTGTTTTCTTATAATTTTGTTATACAAAATTGGATCCTTTAACCTCTCATGATAAGGTTAGATATGTGAGAGAAAAGATTGATGAGCTTTATGAAGAATATGCAAGCAATCTCCAAGGATCAAGTTCTTCTCATTCTCTTTCATCCAATAAATCCAGTATCTTGCACAAGTCAAGTGGAGAAGGGAGTAGGTCCAAAAAATCAAAGTTATATATCAAGGTAAGAAGTTCTTTTATGCTAATTTAATATTTTCTTTATTATTATTTCATTTAGATAATTGATATATTATATTTTGTAGGAGTTTGAAATGTTTGAGAGCGAGAGCATGTATGCTGCTGGTAAGACTGAATTAGATCTTTATTTGGATGAACCAAAAGTTAAATTTGGTCAAGGTGAAGATTTTGATGTGCTTAACTATTGGAAGCTAAATGAAAGTAGATTTCCGACACTTAGTATTATGGCACGAGATGTGCTAAGTATCCCGATTGCTACAGTGGCATCAGAATCTGCTTTTCGTATTGGTGGACATGTTCCTACCAAGTATAGAAGTTCAACTCTTCCTGAAAATCTTCAAATATTGATTTGCACTAGGAATTGGTTGCATGGCTTTGCTCTCAATCATAATGGCAACGCTTTGCGTTAATTTTCATTGTCTTTTATACATAAATGTAATATTGATTGGTTATATTGGAATTGATTGTCTAATTAAGTGATTGTCTAATTAAGTGTCTTTTAACAAATGCACTATGTTTTATTCAGATAAAAAAATGTACTAAATGGAGACAATACTCTTGATAGTTTTACCTTTTACCTTTCATGGAAACAGAGATAGTTTTCTTTGTCTCCAAAGTTGAGCCTTTTTGCTTGTCAACTTTTTTAATCAAAACCTTCCTTTGTTTCCCAAAATCAGGTTCGGGTGGATTTATCTTTTTCTCAAAATCAGGTTCAGGTGGAGCTGATTTGGCAAAGGCAGCTGTGTTGAAGTTGGCAACTAAATGGCACAAGTGTTGTTTATCACTTTATCTGTGGAAAAAAGTTTGGAAATTATTGCAGTTCATTTGGTTCTGTAGCAAACAAAGTTTGAAGGAAAGCCATGATCTATTTATTTTTGACACAGCTATATCCATATTTTAGCTTAGTGGAGAAACAGAAACTATCGGTTTTGATATGATTGAACATGGTTTTTGGCATTGGAATTATTAAAGCGGTTTGAAATTTCAACTTGAATTGAAATGAAATCCGATCGGATCATATAACATGCAAAATATCATAACATTTGATTACGTAAAGACCGATAGAAAAATGGTGCAAAATATTTTTTAATGTGGCCCGCGGGCTGGCCCTAACCCGTTGGGTTATATGATTTTTTGGCCTGTGCGGGCTGGTTAATATGTGGGCTGTTTGGCCCTGGCCCACGCGGGCTAGGGCCTAACGGGCCAGGGTGGCCCGTTTTGACAGCTCTACTTAGGCTTATAAAAAAGCTTTTTTAACAAATACGCCATAGGCCAATTTTGTCAAGCCCGACCTAAAGCCTTGTAGGCTGACCTATTTATTTTATTAAAATAAAAGAATATTTATTTTATGTGGCAAAGTACCAATACCAACCCTAATTTTTATGTGCACCGCCGCTTCTCACTCTCGACTTTGTCTTTTCTCTTAGAACCCCTGTGCTTGTAGCCGGCCATTTTCGACAGCCACCTCTGCTTGGAGACTTTATTTCAGCACCCAATAATTGTATTTTTCTTATTTTTCCCATTTCTTTGACTCTATTCCTCTATGATATACATTCTAGAGCTAGGGTATTATGTTGACTCTTTCTTATTTGTAATTTTTTTCTTATTAGAAGTACTAGTGCATGCATGAATGGAACTTTCTTTGCTCTATACAATTATTTTCTTTGCTTAGTATCTACAGTGGGAGGCCTACAAGGCCTATAGGCCATGTCAGGCTTTCTTATTTTTAAAAATAGGTCGGGCTTGGCCTACAAATAAAGTCTTTAATAGGTCAGTAGGTCAGATAGGCTAATTTTTTTTTTACGTAGGCTTGGGCCAGAAAAGCCAAAGCCCGGCCTAGCCCAGCCCATTTACACCCTCCGTAGAGCCACCCTCAAAAGGGTCTGATCGATGCTCGAAAAGAGATTAGTCTGACTCCCGTCGGGGGTGGGGATACCTTTGAGTTTACTAAAAAAAAAAAACAAATTATAAAACTTTTTTTTTTTTGGAATAGTAGACTTTGATTATGGATACAACCCCTAAATGGATTGAAAGTTAATTAAGACTACTATCAGAAAATATTTTTGCTTAAACTTTTTAGTCCGAAAAATAAAATATATGAATTTTGCATGAATTTATGGTCAGCATACAAAAACTGGCGTGTATTATGACATCTTTGAAAAACTGGAATTAGTAACAATTTTCAACACGACTCGCTAACGATACATGAATGAGCATAACATGACAAAATTGTATTCGAGTTGACTCGTTTTTAAATTTATGTCATGTTTGGGTTGGCAAAAATTGACCCCAAAAAATAGGTATCATGTCATATGTCAATATGAAATCTGAAATTGCCTCGCATTAATTTTCTTGCAAGTTATTCTCGTTGTGTCATATTGTAAACAAGTTATCTTCACTTATCATGTTGTGTCAATCCGTATAATAAGTAACAATTTATAATTGATATGTTATTCGCTATATAGTTTCGTGTCAACCCACATAATAATTGATGCATTATATATTTATGCGTTATTCATGTCGTGTTGTGTTACCCGTAAAATAAGCTAATTATGTTTGTATCGAATATTTTAACTCAATTTTAAATTCGTTTGTTGGGTCTGTTGATTTGAATTGCCAACCCTAATTATATGGTTCCAAATTTTTATTTAAAATTTATACAAGATGCATATAATGAATCTAGTTTATGAAAAAATGTTATAAAAAATACGAGATTAAAATGATGTTGAATGTTAGAGAAATAAATTTTTGTCTAAAACATGTTAAGAACATCCAGACATAGCACCACCCAATCTTTGATTTTTTTAAGATTTTATAGATATGTTTTTTTTTTCTTTCATGCATCAAGTTGCATATGAATGTTAAGATATTAAGTTCTACCAAAAAAGAAGGCAGATCTTATCTGACTTTGCAACATTATTTTGACTAAAATATGAATGTTAATATTTTTTTTTCATTTTTCAAATTAAGTTCTACCTTTTATGATATGTGTAACACCTCGTGTGCATCCGGTGTATTATTATCAGAATTGTATTAAGTGTAGCTTAATATTAATTACTTGCATTGGAAATAATGTTAGAATTATTAAGTGGAAATGCGGATAAATTTTTTTCATTCTACAGTCTTTTATAATTATTACTTGTATGTCAAGTTAATAGCATTATGCATTACTTGTTTCCCAATTATCTCATTTACTAATTACATTCATTCTTATTTAAACTACTTGAACTATATGTACTATGAGAGAACCCTCTCCAATGTAATGTCTCAACAAATTACATACACTAGGACATCCAATCAAGTCTAAATTATTTATTTTAGCTACTCTCATTTTCCTTAATATTTATTAAGGTACCACACTCCGTAGAGATAGATTTAAGTCTTCCATATTTAAATTTCATAAGGTACAAGCATTTCATTTAAACGTTTGTTTTTGCTTCTGTTCGCCCAAAATATCCGAATATTTATTGGGAACATATGAATATGCCATATCCGGATATCATATCCGGATACTTGATATCTGGATATTCCATGGTAGTGGCGAAATTGAATATCTCTATTGAAGCTGGAGGTTTAGCATTCAACCCCTTATCCCATATCACTTCATCTTGTATTTAGTTGTCCCCTTACCTAAGACATACAACAAGTGTTGACCATATATATGGTTTTTTTTTTTTTTTTGTGAAAGACCATATATATGGTTTAATTAAGCTATCTAGTACCTTCCTTGACACCTAAATCATCATATCTAAAGGGATTTGATTAAGTGATACATGCATACATCTTGGCACCTAGCAATCTGTTACTTAGGTCATCTCATATACACATCATATTACAACTACAAATATTCAATAACATAAACTTATACATGTTCCGAGACAGAAATAAACAAGCTTGTTCAAGAAGGCATAGACAACACCTATGTTCTTCCCAAATACAAACAACACATAGCATGTAAAAAAGTAATCATATTTCATGGAAGTATATAAACATCAATGCTAGCAATGCATGTCTCATGTCATGCTAGAGTGAGGGACTAAGTTTAGGTTATTTAGGGTAGACTCACTTAACTGAATCGGTATAAACCCATACACCACACTCGCTTAATCCTCTATTTATTTTAAACTATAGTGTCTCATAAATTTTATGATGCATAAATCTATAATTTATTTTCTATATCGGCTATTTCTACCGTGGTATCTGCGGTATCAACATTTTTCATCGAAAATGGCTAAATTCCAATAATTAATACTTCCCACTAATATTACCATAAATATTTTGTTGTCATTTTAATTTAATAAAAGTGATACTTATTAATTTTTTCTTAAATTTCTGGTAATCTTACTCACCGCAGTTTCCGCGAAATACGCAGTATCCTCACTTTTCAAAAAAAATGGTTTTGTTATCAAAAAAAAAAAAAAAAAAAAAATGGTTTAATTTAAATAATTAGATTTTCTATCTAATAATCTTTATTTAATTATTATTAAATTTCTAAAATTTCAATTTAAGAGTACGGATTCTTACCATATGAATATCATACTAGCATCATTCCTTTTATCTTCCTTCGTGTCTAATTGAAATGAGTATCTTTCTTATGTAATTAAATGATTTTTTTTACATAATCAAGTCTTCTATCAAATTCTAGGAGAGGTCCATGACCCTTCATGTTAGAATATAATATTTTCTTAAATAATAAAGTATATAAGCAAAGTTAAACAAATAAATAGATTGATCATTGACAATAAAATTTCAAAATTCTAACTGGAAAATGATTTAAAAACATATCAGCATTATTGGAAAAGTATAAAAATTCTTAGTGTAATTTTTTTTGATTTGGGTTATTGAAAAAGAAATCGACTAAAGGATTATCTAAAAGATTTTAGTTTTATCATGTTTTAGGAGATAAAAATTATCATTTATAAATCTCCAAAGGTAAAGAGTTTGCTCAAACCCTGAGAACAATTAAAAATTCCTTTTACAAATCACTGGCACCCTAATAAGTCATTCTAACATGGAATTAAATTTTAATTTAATAATGATTCAATTCTTCCATGCTCCTAAATCTACTGCCAGTGAAGAACCAGCAAACGCAGCCATGAGAATCAGAGAATGAAGAAAAGCCACCTCGTTTTTGGTAACTGATTTCGTTTTGAATTTTTGTTAAAATTTGATGGTCCGCCTTCTGTGTTTTTTCGGCTCTCAGTTTTCTTCGCAATTTGGTGCTACATTTGATTCTGTTGTCTTTTATTTTGATCTGGTTGTCTTTCTTATAAAGTTTATGTTATGTTAGTGTATTGTCTAGTGGTTAATTTTTTTTCCCCCTTTGATTACATCCAATCAACCTTAATTTTTCTTGTGCCTAAAATCATGGGCAGTTTACGAGGATGCTTGTATGGTTTAAGGGTTTGGAAGCGTTTTTGTCCTATGTTGTGTTTGATAAATTGTGTGAGAGGGATGCCGGGAACTGGATCCCCTGTAGTTGAACAGCATGTGCAGTCATAACCTTTGAAAAATAAAAAAGAGTGTTTTTATGATATAATTTTTTTTTTTTTTAGAGACTAATCTTTTTAGCTTCAAAAGAAAACACAAACTGTTTTTTTAAACTTGTATTTAGTTAAGAAACTTCTTTTTCAAAAAAAAAAAAAGCCTATATGTGAGTCCCACAATTATTATATAAATGTATATGGAACTCACCCCTTGTGTGTCTCTCTCTAACTCCACAAGGAGTTCAACTGAATATCTCTTGTTTAATTGGGTTGGTTTGATAAAAATTAAAAAGTTTTTTGTTATAATGTTCCCTTTTGTTAATATTTTGAAAGCATAAGGCTTGATTCATACGGTTGAATGCTACTTCTTATGTTGAAGTTCATGGTTCCTGTCATTTGGAAGAATATCTATTTATTGCCATTTCAAAATGTGATAGAAATGTGATTATTTTTTCTGATACTTTAGCATGGCAAGCAAAAACGTGTATGATCTTAAAGATGTCTGAAATGAACTTCTCTGGATGCCTATATTGGACATTTGGACTTGTTAGTTTTATGGCCCTTTATCTAAGACACACAACTTCCAACATTCATTGTGCTTGATGCAAAAAATTCTGTGCAGATCTATAAATGGATCGTTGGAGTGGAATTTTGAGAGTCCCTTTGCATCCTAATAGGAGGACATACCATAGAGTTGGTGCATCTCTCTGCCTTTCGCCTGGAACGAGAACACTGAGTGTAAGTTAGTTCCTTCTAGTTCAACCCCTAAGCTTATATAGATAACAGTAGAGCTTTCAAATCAATTATGCAAAGTGGATCAATTTTCTTACTATGAGTATCATAATCTTTTAATTTTATGTTTTAGCTTTGATTTTCTAGCTTACATTTGCTTTTTACAAAAGTAGAATATTGTGCTATGAACTCAATGCAAGTTAAAGTAGAAAACTGTGGTTGAATTTTGTTCATTGGGATTTCCACTATTTGGAAAATGTGAAATTGAACATTTTAATGTGGTTTCAGCTTCAAATTCTGAAGTCGCTGTTGCATAATCTTGGATAAGGATGTTTTTAAACATTTACATCACTTTTGCCTTTTTGCATACGAAGCATTGCTTACTTAAAATTCTTCTGATTCGTTGCAGGTACCTATAGCAAATGCTATCTTTTTTTGTGGTGATCGAGTTGAAGGGACTGGTAACCCAGTGATTGAGAGGCTATCAGATTTACAGAAACTATCTGAAATTGTGGTGTCCAAATTTGGTTCTTTCATCAATGCTTGGGTTATTGAAGCTTCTGATTTTAATGGACCTTTCGCTATCTATAAGGACTTCATACCATCTGTGAATCAATATGGAGAACCAAGGTCATACCTTCCGATTGGATTCCCAGCTTCTACATCAACCGTCTCACTCTTATCTAATTGTCTTAAAGAAGTATGCCCCATTTTTCTCCTTCTTATATGCTACAAATTCCTTCCTTTTTCTATGACTGTAACTATTATACTTCTGGCAGTTATTGGTTCTTGTAAAGAACCTTGAGGTCACCACTCCAAAAGCTAGCTCAAGGGGTGGGAGTGCCCAAGGCTTAGTTGCCCATCTAATCAATGGGGGACTATATATCTCAACATGCCCCCTCACGCAAGAGCCCTTTAGGCTAGAAGCGTGGAAATTGCACAGGCCCATTTTTGGTTTACCTTTTTGTGCTTTTTTTAATTCCACTTTTTAAAGCGGGGGACGGTGAGGCTCTGATACCATGTAAAGAACCTTGAGGTCACCACTCCAAAAGCTAGCTCAAGGGGTGGGAGTGCCCAAGGCCTTATAAAGGCCATATTAGTTGCCCATCTAATCAATGTGGGACTATATATCTCAACAGTTCTAACTTCCAAGTACTGTTTTGGTTCTTAATCCATATTTCAAGAAGCAAAGCAGAAAGATATTTTTGCATTCTATGTAATCAAGGTTTTATTGCTAGGTTTGGATATTCTATGTTATGTCATAAGTTTTAAGGGTACTTTCCTCACTCCTTAGCTTCTCTAAATTAAGTTTTATTTTTATTTTTTTTAATCTCCTCTTATTTATCATTGAGTTCATCTACCATCGATCCCAATTAGCTTGGGTTAAAGGTGCTGTTGATGTTGATGTTGATAAAGACATGACACCAATATGCAACATGAATGCTTTCCCTATTTTAAATTTCTTGTAACTTGTAATCACTGCTTGCTTTGAATGCTTTCCATACTTTGAATTTCTTGTAATGTAGGTTAAAAAAGTCATTTTAGGAAGGCAAGTGAATACACAGTCTGGCTGCACTCCTTCCTCCTGTTTCTATCCACCCAAGACATTCATCATTGGATTTAGCAAAGGTGGAACTGTGCTTAACCAGATAGTTACTGAGCTTGGCTTCTCAGATATTGGATCTAATCTGAATTCACCCAATGTGGGATCTAAGGGGTTTTATATAGTACCTAAAACAAAGGAAAGCTTACTGAACAGCATCACTGAGATTCATTATGTTGATGTTGGTTTGAACTCTCCTGGTGCTTACTTAACTAACCATGATGTGTTTGAGAGAATCTCCAAGAGGCTCATACAAGGAGCTCCTCAACTCCGTTTTATCCTTCATGGAACTCCGAGACAATGGAGTGACAAACGGCGAGACTGGATTCGGAACGAAAAGGACAAAATGCTGCATCTGCTTGAATCTGAAGCCCACAAGAGTGAGGGAAAATTAGAAGTGTGTGCAAGGTATTATTTTGCTGATAAGCCTCCAGATATGCAGATGCACTTTGAAATAATTGAAAGTTTAGACGTAAGTTAATACTTCTTTATACTTGATAGGGCAGGTCCTCTGGAAAATGTCTTACTTATCAGGATGATTGTAAATAGTGTACTGCTGGAATATTCCAAAAAGGAAAAGTGAATGTGACTTTCTCTTATCTAAGCTTGAAGATTATTCAAATCTCACTAGACGTGTCAAAAGCAACATGAAGTGAATATGTAAATTTGGGTGTAAGAACAATTTGATGTATTCTACTAGATATTGATAAAATAATGTACAATGTAAATATTGCACTGAAGTTAACAGGATACGAAAGAAAACGGGTTAGGTGGGCTTTATCTTCGACATCGGAGTTGGCACTACTTTAGTGGCATAGATAAGGGAATTCTCATGCAATCGGAGTTAACTTGGAAAGTTGGGTTTAAAAACATCATCCTTGAGACTCGTTGGATATGGATAAAATTAATAATAATAATAATCACATTTCCTATTAAATCCTCACAGCCCCCTTAACAATCAGTCACCATGTACTCCTCATGGCTCATTAAATAAGTTATAATTTGTTTGATTTATGGCTCATTAAATAAGTTATAATTTGTTTGATAGTAGATAATGGTAGTAATTCTAGAGTTAACAAGTACAATAAATCCCAACTTTTGAAAAAGATACATTTATTGGATAAAAGATCGATCCAGGTTATGTTGTTTTGGAGTGAATTTAATGTGGGCTGGGACTTTAGAAAATTGGGTGGGACTGAGGTGAGAGAAAGATAGAAAAGTTGAGGAGAGAGAATAGAGAAAAAAAAGAAAAAAAATTTAATACAGGTATCAATTTTTGAATGGAAGGATCACGGGTGCATATTAAAAAATTCCATTGTTTTGATGATTCATGAGATTTTATATGGATAATTAAGAAAAAATTTACAGGGACACAAATAAATAGTATTTTGATCCATGGTTCCTTTATCATCTTATGTAGTATTAACGCTAATCGTTAAAATAATTAGATTATTATAGGAAAAAATTATATTTAATTTACAAACTCTTATAAATTATATTATATCTTATTAGTAAAATACTTTTCAGTGAAATTTTACTAGTAAGATATACTAAAAAAAAAAAAAAATTGTCAATATAATCCTCCTCGTTATCATATGGCTTTAAAATTTTAAATTTAAAAATTATTCAGTAAAAAATTAATTTAACCCAAAAACTTAAACTGTTGATTGGAGTTATATTAATGATTTTATATATCTCACCACATTCTAACAAACCGGAACAACTTTTAGTCCTCAGGTCAAACTGGCCCGGTCCATCCGGTTCAAAGGTTGCTAAATCGAAAGCGGTCCAGTCAGGTCCCTCCCTTTTCATGGGGAAAATCGAATACTAGGAACACCGCGTTTTCTTTGGTGGCGCTCACGCTGTCCCTGTCTCTTTATTTGTCTCTGTCTCAGAGCTACACTACTTCACTTTCCTCTCTCTCTCTCTCTCTCTCTCTCTCTCTCTCTCTCTCTCTCTCTCTCTCTCTCTCTCTCATCTTCTGAGTCCTTCTAATGTCTTCTACAAAGGTTGGTTTGCTTCAATTTGTATGCAATTTTCCATATCTACGTCATTCATACTAAAGTCTTGTTTTTTTTTTTTTCCTATCTGGGTTTTGTGTAACTTTGTTTCAGGACGATAATCGATATTCGTTTGGATCAAAAAGGTCTCGGAACGACGGTAAATTATCATTTTATAATGTTTTCTGTTGCAAGTAGCTTCTCTCCCTCTCTTGAAATCTTGTTTCCTTATCTGGGGTTACAATAATGTTCTGGTTTTAGCTATATAAAGAGGATTTAGCACTACCCTTCTGATATATGGCCTGTGTGAATTGCTTCAAATTTTCATGGTGTATGTGTTTTTGGTTAAGCATGTAATGTAGTGTTTTGTGCTGTCTGTAAAAGCATACTAGTCTCTGTAGAGCTGTTTGTTGATCTGGGTCCTCTGGGATATGTTCATGTTACTTTAATTTGTGAATAAATAGTGGGAGATAGGCATGTGTCTCAGAAAGTGCGCTTCTCATTATTTTGCATATCATTTAGAGGTGCAAGCTAGGTTTTGTAGTCATGGGGCAAATCTGGGACCCTGTTTTATTGGTTGTGGTAGCCTTCTTTATATTTGAAAATGAAAGTTTTTGCAAAGGGAAATTTTCTTGACAGCATAGGTCAAAGATGGGTAAAACGTTTGCACTAAAAGGGTTTTTTCTGTGTTGTTTGATGGGTAATTTGATTCTACAGTGATTAAGGGGCATCACAACAATTACAATTCTAAACTACTTTGCTTGATTGAGCTTTAACTTTAACCATTAAATCCCTGTTCATTTTTATTACACTAGGGTACTTAATTTGTTGCTATGGAGCAAAAACAAAAAATAAAAAAGAAACTCTTCGCTAATTCTTTGATTGAGTTTCAACATTGGAATTCTTGTATTATTAATTTTTTTTTGAAGTAAAAGATGATTTTATTACTCATTATGAATATATACTAAGTGCTTTCTAGCTCCAATTGTCTTTATTATTAGCCTCCACCCATGGTAAAATATTGAAAAGTTTTGGCTTCTCTCTCTCTCTCTCTGTGTGTATAATGTGCTATATCATTATCAATTATTCAACATGCACTTATTACGTGCTTATATTAAATAGGGTATTGGAAAATTGTAAAAATCTAAAAACAAACTTAAGAGAAAGGAAGAAAATGCTAAGAGTTTAGAGGATAAAAAATCTTCCTCAAAGAAGATCAAAACACAAGACAAACAAATGAGCACTTAGGCCCTGTTTGAATACTGCTTCTAAAAATAGTTTTTTGGTTTTCAAAAAAAAAAAAAAAAACTTGTTTAATAAGGCCTATTTTGTAAAAAAAACTTTAAAAATTGTAACTTTTTTGTTTTTAGAATTAAATTTAGAGAACATATCTGAGTTGTTTTTGTTTTGTATTTTGACTTTTAACTTTCAAAACAACAAAAAATACTCACAAAAAACACATGTTTCTATAACTATTCTATAAAACAGTTTTAAGAACAAAAAAAATCAGAACATAATCAAACAGACTCTTAATCTTCTGTTTCTTAGCTGCTTTGATGAGCCCTACTTTATATGGGACAGCACCTGTTGCATTGGCCTATTGAAAGACTATTTATCTGAATGCTCCTGGCATGTGAGTTTTCAAAGGTTTATAATTCTAAGAGGTTGTTTGTTTCTCTTGTAATCAGCTTCACGTAAAGATGGAGACTGGACTTGTCCTAATTGCGGGAACTTAAACTTTTCTTTTAGAACTGTTTGCAACCAGGGGCATTGTGGTGCTCCAAGACCATCCCTAACTCCAGTAAGTATATTTGTTTTTAGATCGTCACATGAAATTCTCTGTTTTGGTGAATGGCCAATTTTATTTGAAAAGGCATCCAATGGGCAAACTCCTGTGCACTGCATGTGTACAAGTAGATGACCTATATGACCAAAATAAAAATAAAAATAAAAGATGACCTGAAAGAATCAAGTGTGGACCCTATTTCTTATCATGTTTCTTATTTTCTTCTCATTTTTTGAATTTTTTGTTTGCTGAAACAAATCTATATTTCTTCTTTTTTCTTGCAACTTGAATAGCAAATGGCCCAGAGTTCCGGTAATACTTAATGTAATAGTTTCTGGATGAAAAATCAATGGAATATCTTCATATCAATTTTTTCCTATCTATGATGTTTAAGGTCAAATAAGAAATAGATTAGAAGAGGAATGAGGATCATCTTCATAACATAATAATGCACTCTCAAAAAAATTGGAACATGGATTCTCCTTATTGTATGGAGTTAAGATATGGGGCCTACACGACGGAGCTTATTTATTGTTAAGATTAGTTTAAAGTGACAACAATAAATAAAGAATTTAGATAAATTTTGTTTTATGCCTGATAACTTTTAATTTTGATGTCTGCATAACTGATCGGGATCAGCAGCCTGCCCCAGTTGCAAGCCCATATAGAAACAGTCATCCCTTCTACTATGGTGGTGTTGGCACTCCTCCTCCATCATATGGAATGTCGAGTAGGTTTGGATCCCCGGTACCACATTCTGGTGTACAGTATGATTATGGTCTGTATGCTAGGCCTCATGTACCATTTAGTCTGGTACCCATGTTCCTACCTGGAAGCTTTGGAGGTATTCTCTCAGTAACTCTTACCAGTAATTTCTTGTCAAGCTGCTTTTTTTTTCTCCTCTGGTTCTTTCTTACTAGATAATTCCCCTTAGAATCTGAAGCTTACCAAGAAACCCTTTGAGTGTATGATTCTAATATAGAGAAGGCTGCTATGAAGATATAGGACAATATTATTGTTAAAAACATTACACTTTGATGCAGATATAGTTGATATTTTGTATTCTAGAATGGAATAGAGAGCAAGTAAATTAACTGGTAGTAATTTTTTGTTTTCTTCCCAAAAGAAGGGAAAACATGATGAGGCAAAAACAAGCAAAGACTCTGGTAGAAGTGGGAATATTTTGTTACGTCATGTTTCAAAGAGCATGAAAAGTTTTATTCAGTACACCTAGTCACAGACATAATAATCATTTGACAGAGAAGCCATTTTGTCTTCAAAATTCAAATTTCACAAATCTTATCCTTGAAAATTTTCTGCGTACTCATTTATATTTTATATTATAGTGGAACTGGTGACTGGATTATTTAATTTCTCTAGTATTTTTCTGATGTAATAAACATAAACTTAGTTGAAGTACACAATTTGTCCCTGAATTTTGAGGCAAGCTTCAATAAAGTAATTATTTTTCCTTTGGTTCCTGTTTAGATCTGCAGATTTTAAATATGGAACAAAGTGTAGTTGATATAGAAAAATCTCCTAACTTGAGGCCTGTGTTTCATGTTCAGACTACAGACCTTGCCAATTCGTATTAAAATGACACTCCATTGCTGCAATGTTCCGATTGCACATTAAATTTTTTAACATATGGATGAGCATCTAACTAAAATCAAACATAATACTAAATTAATATGATGCACTAACACTGCAAGAAAAGGAAGCACACTGTATTGGACATCAATACTCTGTGTGATACTATTGCGATCCAATTGTAATGTATGAGACTTAAAGTTCCACATTGGAAACATAGGGTTCTGTGAGGTTTAAATGGACTTTAGGCTCTCCTACCTTATGAGTTAGCTTTTGGGGTGAGGTTCTCCCAAGGTTCATATTAATTGATATCAGAGCCGTCTACTATGTTTCCCAGTTGCAATCGAGCGACGCGGCTGGTGACGCTGGCATTACTGTGTTCACCTAGGGCTAGTAAAGGACTAGCGCAAAGCATAGTTATCAAATGCGGATTGCAGCATGTCGCGGCCAACCCCGAAAAACGCTATAGCGTTATAGCGGATTGCGGTTGCGGAAATAGCGGAATAGATATATGACAGAAATAATGGCAAAAAGAAACAATTTTTTAAAGGCAGAGATAGCAGAAGTGACAGAGAGAGACGCGAATAGATTAAAAAACTCTTAAAAAATTTCTGTTACACATTTAAATTTAGGACAAAACTGACATTTTGCCTTATGACAGCAATGTGGCTGTGATTTGGCCGCAAATGCGATCGCAATGGCAGTTATTGCGTTCTGGTGCGGCGCAACGCGGTTTCTTGCGACAAGGCACCGCAACGCCCATATGGCGCGGCTCGCGGCGCTATTGCGGCGCAATTAACTACTATGGCGCAAAGCCAGCCTGCATGGGCGTCAGGGCTGCAGAGCGTGGTGGAATATTATGATCCAATTGCAAGGTACGGGACTTGGAGTCCCACAACGGAAACATAGGGTTCTAATGTAGAGTTTATATGGCCTTTGGGCTCTCCTACCTTACAAGCTAGCTTTTGGGGTGAGATTCTCCTAAGGTTTATATCAGATACTCTGACATGTCTAAACATTAATATGAATTACTAAAATTGTTATTAATCTGAATGTTTGACAATGTTAAGATGCTGACTAGAAATGTTTAAAATATTCTTATCTTATTTGAGATTGTTGTCGTATATGCTCAGTGCTCTTCCATACTTGTAAATGTCAATAATTAGGTATTTATAGCAGTTGTTTTATAGATATGTGTGTGTGTGTGATGCTGAAAAAGTTGGTAGACAGTTATTTCTAGCAAAATTATGGTTAACGCTTAAAATAGGTTAGAAAGTAGAAACCACTTAAAAATATTAAGAGCTATTTATAGTTTGTACTAGGTTAATTACATAAGTTCTACAAAAAATTAATCCATTAGACATACAAAATCAGCCAGTCTTGCTAGTCTAATATGGTTTTTATGATTTTATCAGTTTCTTTCAATTAGAGTTCAGCAGATTTGAGACTTGGTCACTCCAATCCCAAAACATTACAAAGTCACATTCTAGTCTTGTATTCATGTGATTACATGATACACTAAGAGCCAAGTTAAAACCAAAACAGAAAAGAAAACAGGGAAAAAGTTCAAACAAAAAGAAATAGTTTTGTTCCTGCATCAATATGCCATTTTTCTTTTCCGAATTTCACCGTCATTGTATCTTTGTTATGCGTTGAGCTTTTTCAATTGTCCATGTTTGTGTTTCATAGCTAAATTGAAGTATAGGGATTCATGGTGTATTTTAGGCTAAATTCTTCTAATCAGCACTAGTATTCTGGTAAGATATTGTTAAACTATGTGGAAAGAAAAACTTAAGTAATGTAGGAATAAATAGTGGCAAGTTAGCAACTGGAAAGAACACAAGCTATAGGAAAACTTTTGTGTGGAAACCTGAATGAGGGGTATCATTAATATTCAAAGATATATGTAATATTTTTTTTACCAGGGTTATAATGTCTTAATTTTAAAGAAATCTAGATATTTAGCAGAGTTAAGGTAAATCAAGTGAAACTAAATAACTTAATTCAGGTATAAAGTTATACAAAATTTATGAATACTTCTGCGTCATGCTTTGCTGTGATATTATCCACTGATATCGTTTAATCATTGTGTCAGGCATTTCAATGTGTCAGTGTGATGTAGATAGAAGCGTGCGATTTAGATAATTACATTATTTAATGATTTTACATTATTTTTTTGGAATTTTACAATAATTGTGTTATTTAGTTATCTTTATTTTTTGGATCTTAATTTTTATGTTTTTTGCTTTTAGGACACTAGTTAGTAGTTATTGATTAGGATTTCGTATTTTAATAGGATTTGACTAGGATTTTGACTACTTTATGAATACTTTAAAAGGTTTATTATTGATTTCATGTTATAGGCATCTATGTTTTTCAGCTTTGGTATTGATTAATAAGATTATTAAGTCTTGAATCTGAAGGGTTTTGTTTTGATTCTTGTTGGAACCCCGAGGATACCTGATTCATCTTGGTTCTTCGTTCATTCTACATCAGTGTCTCTTTTGTGCACCTATAATTAAGTTACCATTGACTCAGGTTTTGATTATGGTCCAAGGCCTAGAATCAATGGCTATGGATATGGCTTTCAAAGTCCTCCATGGGCTGAAGGATTAGAAACTGATAATTTTGCATCTCGGAAACGCAGAGGAGGTATTTTCAGGATCTTTTACTTCTTGATTATCTTTTTAGGCAATCTTCCAACATTGAATTATATGTCAAATCTAGTAGTGGTTTATTCTCTTGGTTTCAAATAATAACTACTTATTTTTAGTTTGTTTTAGTTGCTATTGCAAGAAGTGGATCTTCTTGTTAAGTTAGCTTATCATAGTATCTTTGTTTTTGTCCGGTCTCATATATCATTTTGCCTTAAGAATTTGCTTGTTCTTTGATCAGTTGGCCTTTGCAAAAGGTTATCTCAATAGTCTATTAAAATGATTAACTTGGCTTAGTATTTATAACCTAGCTTTTACATAGATTCCTTTAAATAAGTAACATTGAAGATCTTTTCATTTTAAGAAGCAAATTTTGTTCCATAAAATAAAAGAATCAAATTTTCATGAAAATGCTCACCTTTTCACCATATTATATTTAAAAAATTGAAAATGGAATTGTATCCCAATTCCCAAATATGAAAAGAAAAGTGGTTAAGAAATCTGATGAGTGTGAAATTCACTATAATTTGCCTGTATTCCCAGCTAAAACCTTCTAGCCTTTATCTACTATACCTGATTCTCTGTTTAGTGTTTAGAATAGTTCTTATTGTCCATAATGAACTTACAGAACTTTGAGGCTCAAATGTTTATTATAAATATCCAATCAGCGCCCTCTGACATGGTGGGGCAGCAAAGGAAATCAGAAAGTATGTTTTACTTTGCATGTATTGGAGCTTTGCAGTAACATGGTAGCTTAACTGTTTTCCTGCTTTGAGCAAAAGAAAAGAAACATGAAAGAAACGACACCAATCTGTTTTGCATTATCTATGCAGGGCCAGATGGTTTATCTGAAGGGGACTGGATCTGTCCAAAATGTGACAATGTTAACTTTGCCTTTAGAACCACTTGCAACATGAAACACTGTGGAGCTGCAAGACCTGTAAGTGTTTTCATCTGTGTTAATGCTCTAATGATGAATGAATATCGCACATGTAGCCTGTAGGTGATCCTTACTTTTAAGAGCGAGCTTAGTTCTACATGTCATTTTAATCCTATAAGCTTCGAATAAAAAATCCAATTATGAAACCGCTAAATGGATGCCAACGATATTAAAACATGATTTCTGATACCAATAGCTTATTTTCTTAATTTCGTGTCAATTAATAATCCTGTCCTAAAAGCCTAAGACTGTAACTGAAAGCTGAGAGAAAGATTTTTATCTCTAGCATAATCAAAATGCAGAAGCACTTTAGCCTGAGGTTCGGATAAAGTAAAACCTCACCAGCATCTAGCATGGATAGTTCCATCTCATTACATGTATAAGCATTTCATGTTGAACATTCGAATGTTGCTTTTATAACAGGTCATGTAAAGATGAGAGATATTCTTGATTGGTTAGACTAGCTCACTGTTGTACCCTTCAAGTTCTATTTGTTAGTTTGAATGATTTTTCTAGTTAACTACTCTATTTTAACTTTGTAAAATAGTTTTTATCATGCCATCAAACTATGATATATTGTGATTTTTTGCATGTTTCATTGTAGGACTCCAACCAACCAAATAAGGGTATTCCTGAAGGTAGTTGGACTTGTAAAAAATGCGGTAACCTCAACTATCCCTTTCGAAATGTATGCAACCGAAAAGACTGTGGAAGTGAGAAAACAGCTTCTGCCAAGTGACATCACTGTATTTTACATGAGGAGGGTTTAGTCCATCTGTCTCCTTTTGTAAAGGAAAAATTACTCTGGAGTGGATTAGGAACAGAGAACTAGATAGCCTTGACTGACTTTTTGATGGAAGAGTTTCCCTACAGATAATTTTGGCCTCATTGTTGATGACATTTTTTTTGTTATGGCAATTTACATTAAGAAGATACTGAAAATGGTATCATCTGAGATTTGGATTTTCTTGGCATTCATTGTTAGCCTTTGTTCATATCCTTCTTAGTCTCCATGGTGTTATTCTTTTGGTAAGTCATATCATTGTTGATTTCTTTAGTGCTGCCCTGAAAAACAGACTGCATGTGTGCCTTTGTGATTCTCTTTGAACTAAATTTGAAAGATAACGACATACTGATATGAATGGAATTAGGATAATGATATTCTAACACCACTCTCTACCACTTTTACATTGCATGAAAGCAATTTATGAAACATACTAATAATATCTACAGCACGGGTGAGAAAGTTTTATGAATAATAATAAAATTAATTCAAAGCAAATTTGTTATTCGAAGATTTAACTAATTAAATATAAATTTATTCCAAAATACTCTTTCACTTATAATTTCAATTACTTCATAAATATAAAATTTGTATCAATTGACTGGCAAATTATGAAGGTACTAAATACTAGTAATTGTTATATTACAAAGGTTAAAATAAATTTTTGGACTTTATATATACACTCATTTTTAATTTGATATATACGAAAAAAGTTTTAAATTTAGTCTTAATATATGTAATTGTTTTCGATCTAAAATATATTTTTTGACCTTATATGCGATATCCGTTACTAAAATAACATATAATGAAGTGTAGAGACGAAACTAAAAAGGAATGTCACATATCGGAATACAAATGAAATAATTTTGTCAATAACTTTTAATTTAGTCCTTATACTTCACATTAATTTCCTGCCACGTAGGATTTCTACAACAGTCCCATCAACTAAGGTGACGGGATTACTCTCGTCAACACAATAGACGCCATGTGTCTGCGGCCATGTTGGATATCAGCAGTTGTCCCGTCAACAAAGATGGCGGGATTACACTCTGATGTCACTAATCTTGTCAATATAGACGACGACGTAGCAGGATATCACGTCAGGTATTTTGATAGGACTGATCGCGTCATGTTTTCTAACGCGTTTGACTGCTCTAGTTTGGAGATACATTCCAAATATGCTTTGATTTAGAGAAACATTTCAAAAATGTTCTTAGTACGGTCATTTTGCCTCACATTACCACTATGTCGTCATGATGGTGGAGAATGTTAAAATAATTGTATGTATAAGACGTTAAAAAAATAAATATTATGCATAAAGACTAAAATATATTCAAAACTAGTGCATATTATATTCTATTATATAATAAATATAAACATTGTAGAAATATTAGAAGGTTGTGGATAGCTTTGGTGCCAATCAACATGCAAGATATACTTAATTTTCCGATAACTTGTTAGATTGGATAAACAACAATTTGTCTCGGCTCAGCAAGTTTACAGGTGACATTCCTTGGTGCTCTATTTTTGCTACCACATGCTGGCTTGCTAGAAGTGGAGGAATGAAAAGTACCATGGCAAAACAGTTACTGATCAGCATTATAAGGAAATAACAATAGCAGTTAAGGTTCGAGAAAGTCACAAGGCATTTTATAGAACCAACAGGCTTCATCTCTGTAAGCCTCATTCAGATATTCTCATCTATTGGAAATCTTCACATGATAAGGGTACCTCTTGGCAACTTGTGGGGGTGTCATGAGGAATGCAATTGGACATTAGCTTAAAGACTTCTCATACAGAATTGGTATCTGTAATGAAATTAGTGCAGAGTTGTGGGGTATCCTCACGGGGTTGGAGAAGGTTAATAGCTGAAAGTGATTCTACAACAGCAATTGCTTTGCTCACTAATAATGGTGGAGCAGTCCGTGAGTCTCATCTAATGTCTCGTATACGAGTATTGTTTACTAAAGAGTTCAGCTAGTGCATACAAACAGAAAAGACAATTTTTGTGCAGATTGACTTACTAACATCCCATACGTGAATGTTGATACTGATGGTTTGTATATTTTTAACTTTCCTCTCTCTGAAATTGGTCTTTTGTTCGACGCTAATTTAGTGTGTGTTTGTAGAATTCGTCGTATTTTTTTTTGGTGAAAGAAAGGGCTTAACAGCCCAAGAAACAACTAGACAATAAAAACATTCCTAATGCTAGTAACAGCACAAATATCAGCAAAAAATAAACAGCTAAGTCCAGGAAGGACATGACTAAACTCCTTATAGATAGAGTTCTGACTGGGGTAGATCAAATGGTTGGCAAGCCAATCAACAGTTTCAGAAGGAATTGAAAAATAAAAAAATAGAAAGAGAAGAAACAAGCTATTCTGCTTTAAGTCACAAGGAATTCCACGCCAAGAATCGGCCTATTAAAGTTAAAATAATTGATAATATATTATTTGAAGGTCCTTTCCTTTCCTTTAACGGCAAAATTAGAAGTTAACCCGTTTCACCCAAAAATTAAGAGAGATATCGTTAGCCCACTTTCTTATCACCTCCACCTTGTTTTTTTTACGATATTTGTAGAACTCATCATAGTTGATTGCTTTTGTTTTCAAGTATTCACAAAATACAAACGATTATGGGGATGAACACAAGTTACTTGGGAGGAGAAGGTCATTCATTCATTTTCTTTGATTTTATAATACTCATTTGTTTTATACTAATGCTTTGTTATTTTGATTTTGCATCTCAGGACTTTCAACGTCTCAGATGTTGAGTTTGGTAACGAATAAACTTCATACGCGATTTGTTGAGAAAGATATCAAGGAGTTTGATGCATTCAATGTTGCCATTCTAGATACATTCACGTAAGCACATATAATTCAAATGAAAATATAATCTATCGTTAATTTCTTAGCGTTGAATGATAAGGAAAAGGACATATATAAATGAAGATAAAAATTTCGTAAGATGGTGATAAGTAAGACTTTTTTATAATTGTATCTTATAATTTTGTTATACGCAAATTTGATTGGGTACATAACTAGTACTTTTGTATGACTACATGAATCTATAATTTTCATAATCATTAATGGGAAAACAATTTCTTGTGTTGTTGGAGAAATTGTTCAAAAAATTAGTGAATTCCTTTAGTTTTACTTTTATTTTTTATTTTTTTTTAAGTGATGAGTCTTACAACATGATATGTTTGGATGGAGATTAAAAGTTTCTCCGAGAATCTTTAATCCCATCTTTAATTGTGAAAATATTTTACTTTATTTTTTAATTTTTAATTTTTTAACTTTTTGGAAAAGATGTCCTCTTTTTAAAAATCAAATTAAGTTTAGCCATCGCAGAAATAAAATAATAAACTTTCTTTTCGTTTATTTTGCCATGCATTTTCTACACTAAATCATTGAAAATGCAGAAGTATTAGACTATTAGCCAAGGAATCTTGAAAGAAGATTTCGTTTTAAATGGGATACAATGCATAATTTGTGAAGTCTTTCTTGTTGTCCACTCTTTCAGAAGGGTGGTTAATCTTTGTTAAAAATATCCGCAGATTCTCACAATTTGGTTTCACATTATCAGCATATATAGCAACAATTTTAACTCGTACTCGCTAGCTAATACAAGTTTTATGCAGCACTATCAACATGGCCTTACCAGGCAAGCATTATGATGCACCAACACATAATAATGTAAAGGTTAGTTAACTTCTGAAATAACTTACGTCATTTGCATGCATCATGCCAACTTTCTTAAACAGTTAAGTTTCTTTAATTTGCATCAGTTAAGCTTCTTAAACCCAGCACCCTTGTTTCTTATTATTTTCATTCAAACTTTTTATCACTACTTCAGACTAGACTCGCCCTCTTTATTCAAACATTTGCATAAAGCAAAGAAATTTTCAGCTATACTCACATATTGTCATCTTGCACAGGACTTTTACGAGCAATGGAAAGTAGCAAATGAGGAAACCAGAAACAAGATGTTCAGTGAGTTTATGACTAAGAATGTGAATATCAACAAAGTAGATGAATCTATGATAATGACTGCATTAGTGGCACCTCCAGCAGCCATGGTGGCTAAGAGAACAGGACAAACAGTGCCTCAGCTAAAACTTATGAATGCAATTCCTGATGTTTTGTTTGTGCCCTCAGTTACAGTTTTGGCTCTCATTGCTGTCAAGATTCTAAGATTAAGGTTCATTGGACTTAAGACAGAGTCCCAGGAAACTGAACTTGTTCCACAAGCAACTGAACCTGTTCCACAAGCAACTGTACCTGAAACTGAACCTGTTCCACAAGCAACTGAACCTGTAATATTTGAAACTGAACCTGTTCCACAAGCAACTGAACCTGTAATATTGGAAATTGAACCTGTTCCACAAGCTACTGCCCCTTCACATCCACCCCACCAGGACAATACCTGGTGTAAACTTTGCGAAAAATACCATTGAAAAACATTCACATATATACCTGTGCCTCATTATGTATATATGTTATTTTATTGTTATCATTTCATGTTGGAAGAAAATATGTCATCAAAAAAGAAGAAAACGTTACTTCTTCTTTTTTTTATTAACTCTCTTTCATATCATATGGATATTTATAAGTGACTTACATTACCATATTCATTTTACTATGTACGGATAGTCTTGATACCTTGAACATTTATTAGTCACTGGTTATATGTAGTATGTAAGATTAATTTTTAGATATTTCCTATTATTATAATCATAAAACAAAATATCAAAAACCTCCCTCAATATATATGTATATATAGGAATAACAACTTCTCGTGTTGCCGAAAGAGTTGTTATTTTGCAGCTGACACAATAATTAAGAGAGAAAGAAGGAGAAGAAGTGAGAGAAAAAAATTGAAGTGAACTCCACCATTTAACATATCTATAACATAATAAGGCTATTCTTCTTTAAAAGGAGGAGTATAATATATATATATATATATATATATATATATATATATATATATATATATATATATATATATATATTATGCTAATTTTTTTGATTTGCATATCCTATGAAGCAGCGACACTTCAAAATTTTTGATGTGTCGTGTCCGACACTTCTCGACATTCTGACACTCCAATACTCGTTGCAAAGACTCAAAAAAAGTTCAAAAATTATGTTGTGTTTGTTCTGCCCTAGGCAGATGTGTCCAATTAGGATTGGATGATTGATCTATGATTCAAGTGTCTTCTCTGGATACCTATGAGTTAGGTATCTTGAGGACAGCAGATCACACACTATCTGATGGCCTTAGCCTTGGGAGAGGTGTGTGTGTACTATCTAGGCTGCGTACATAGGTAAAAAGAGATTAGGTCATACCTGTAGCGTTTAGCTCCTATTTATAATGCTTACCTGTGGGCCTGTGCTGATCATGGGCCTTACTAACCATGGGCCTTACTAACCATGGGCCTCATTCTGGTCCATAACAGTGTTGCATTTTGAGTTCTAACTATTAGATTTGTTAAATTACGATTACTATTTTATTGAGTTTAATATAAATATTTGGGATATCTTATGTTTCTTTGCAAAATTGATGGGTATTATAAGTTTAGCTTTATTCTTTTGTTAAATTATTGAATATTAAATATAACATACACTACATAAATTAAAAATATTATATAATATCAAAACTTATCATAACGTGTCAAAATTTTAACATTTTTTAAAATTAACGTATCAGAGTGTCGTATCTCGTATCCCGTGACGGTGTCGGTGGAACATAGTGCATATCCTTGCTTGACCTTGCACATCTATTCTCTTTTAAGAACTGATGAATTCTGCGAAATTCGCAAAACGAGTATGAATGCCTGAAGTTTTTATTTAGATTTTTTTTTGGTTTAAATTTCGATTAATTAAGAAATAAAAGAAAGTAGCTTACAAAAAAAAAAAAGCAACTTGTGTCTCTACGCATCTTATTCGTGATGCATTTCAAAAAATTCATTCGTGATATATAGTTGCTCTTCTAATTTTTATCCTTTTTTTTAAGTGGGTGTGTTTGATTGTGTTTTGATTTTTTTGTTTTTAAAATTATTTTGCAGAATAGTAAATAAAACAGGTATTTTTTATTTTGAAACATAAAAGTCAAAATACAAATTAAAAATAATTCGTATATGCTATAAATTTGATTCTAAAAAAATTATTTTTTAATTTTTAATTTTTTTTTTTACAAAGCATGACTTATCAAATGGGGTTTTTTATTTTTTATTTCTGAAAATCAAATTATTTTTCAAAATATATTTCAAACAGGCAATCGTTCCTCTTTTGAAAAACTTGTGTTTCTATAATTTTTGGCTTTTGGACTAACGTGATCCACTCTAATTTTTTTTATATGGACCTAATTACCACGAGTTGACTATCGGGCTAAAAAATTATATTATTATTATTATTTTAATAAAAAATTATGAAAATATAATTATTTTGAACTATTTTACGAATATATTGGAGTGGATTTCGCCCAAATAAGGCAAGACCACTTTCGTCCAATTAAGGCGAGTTTCTCCCTAGGAACTCATCCAAAAAAGGCAATATTGTTATTGTCTAATTTGGACGAGACCCAATGTCATTTACGTTGTGACATGTGGCACAAAAAATTAATAATATGTGACCAAATTCCTTTAATTGAGATGTCATTGTGTAGATCTCAAAAAATTATATTGAATAAAAAAAATACCTGATTAGTACACCCAATTTAAAAGTTATGATCTTCTGAAATTTTATGGTCAAAATACTCATTTTTTATATCACGTGTCACCAGTAACGTCCAGCCGCTTCAAGAAGCGATGACTATCCCCACATACTAATACGAAACTTTTCAGTGTGTTTTTTCCTCACTCGCACACTTTCCAGGAAAACTTCTCAGGAGTCCACTCATCCCAGAATTTCCCCAAGTACGTTTAACTATGGAGTTCTTCCGTTCCGAGCTACCGAAAAGTAGATGCATCTTGTTAGTATAGGTAGTACCAATTAATTCTTATAAGTTATCCCAAACTGTGCAGTCTCACACCTGCACAATCATTAGAATCCCTCTCTTTTGGGTGTCGATTCGATTCATCATGCATGTAACCCCCGCTAGAAGTCTGTCAAGAACAGCTCGTTGTCCGTGCCTCTTTGCACCGGCGATCACTCCTCGCCCTCGTCAACGCTCGGGATGTTACATGTTTGGTCTCGCCCAAATTAAACGAGAGTGATCTAGCTAAAAAAGACGAGTTTGTCAAAAGGAATTCATCCAAATTAGGCAAGACTTACTGTAATAGATTTATAAAATAATTTAAGATAATTATGTTTTTGTAATTTTTTATTGAAATAATAATATATTAATTTTTTTCCCTCCGGACATGCCTACTATAAATCTAGGACTAATCTCTAATAATCTTAATTCGGAACTTGGTTAAAATTCACCGCCCTTCCAAATATCCAAATATATATTTATACCGAAAAAAATATATAATTTTTAAATAAGTGATTGTGATCAAATCATATATCTATATCCATTTTGATTAATTTGAAGGTAACACATTACACATACTTAGTATTTCCGATTAAAACCAACTTACTGATTCACAATTTAAATTGTGATCCGATAACCTTACTTTGAGTTTCAGCCATTATTTTTAGTTAAATAGGTTTATTATGGGTGATGAGTCGCAACCTCAGCGAACCCTGTGGAGCGATGCAGAAAGAAAATGCTTTTACTTGCTTCAAAGGAAGAACAAGAGCATCACCATTCTCCTCCAAGTTCATGCCTTTATGCTCCGAAACTCTATCCACAACAACCTCAACCTTCTCACCAAGTTCATCACTACCTGCGCTTCCCTCGCTGCCTCTGCTTCTGCTTCCCGCCCCAACAACGCTGTTGCCATAGTTCAACACGCTCGTCGCTTCTTCGACCACAGCGCCACCCACAAGCGCGATGAGTTCCTATGCAACTCCATGATCAATACCCACTTCGCCATTCGCCAGTTCGTTGAGCCTTTCACCCTCTACAGGGACCTTTGCAGGGGAAAAACCACTGCTTTCACACCTGGTGGCTACACCTTCACCGCCCTTGCAAAGGGTTGCACCGCCTGCATGGCCACCGGAGAAGGCCTACAGGTTCATGGGGTCGTTGTAAAAAATGGGTTTTGCTTAGATTTGTATGTGGCTACTTCGTTGGTTGATATGTATGTTAAGTTTGGAGTTGTGGGTAGTGCGCGGAAAGTGTTTGATGAAATGTCTGAGAGAAGCAGAGTATCGTGGACAGCGATTATTGTCGGGTATGCTAGGTGTGGTGATGTGAGTGAGGCCAGGAAGCTTTTTGATGAGATGCCTGATAGGGATGCTGCTGCTTTTAATGCTATGATTGATGGGTATGTGAAGTTGGGGTGTATGGGTTATGCTCAGGATTTGTTTGACAAGATGACTGATAAGAATGTAATTTCTTGGACTAGTATGATTTCTGGGTATTGCCATAATGGTGATGTTGGATCTGCTAGGTTGATGTTTGATCTTATGCCTGAAAAGAACTTGTTTACTTGGAATGCAATGATTGGGGGCTATTGCCAAAATAAACGACCCCATGAGGCATTGAAGTTGTATCATGAAATGCAGTCGAGTGCGTCCGTGGAACCAAATGAAGTGACTGTTGTGAGTGTTCTTCCTGCTATAGCTGATTTGGGTGCTTTGGATTTGGGCCGTTGGGTTCACAAGTTTGCCCAAAGGAAGAAGCTTGATGGATCTGTTCGTGTCTGTACTGCCCTGATTGATATGTATGCAAAATGTGGTGAAATTAATAAAGCAAAATTGCTTTTTGAGGAGATGCCTGAAAAAGAAATAGCTTCCTGGAATGCTTTGATAAATGGTTTTGCAGTCAATGGCTGTGCAAAGGAAGCGTTGGAGGTATTTGCAATGATGATACAGGAAGGGTTTAAACCAAATGAGATAACAATGATTGGTGCATTATCTGCTTGCAACCATTGTGGTTTGGTAGAGGAAGGAAGACAATGCTTCAAAGCAATGGAGAAGTTTGGAATTGTACCTCAGGTTGAGCATTATGGTTGTATGGTTGACCTTCTAGGAAGGGCTGGATGCTTAGATGAGGCTGAAAAATTGATTCAGACCATGCCTTACAATCCTAATGGGATAATACTGAGTTCTTTTTTATTTGCTTGTGGTTACTTCAAAGATGTTTCAAGGGCTGAAAGAGTGCTAAAAGAGGCGGTGAAAATGGAGAAGGAATGTGTTGGAGACTATGTGATGTTGAGAAATCTGTATGCTACAGAACAAAGGTGGACAGATGTGGAGGATGTTAAACAAATGATGAAGAAAAGAGAATCAAGTAAAGAGGTTGCTTGCAGTGTTGTTGAGGTTGATGGTAGCTTTAGAGAGTTTGTGGCTGGTGATTACTTGCATTCGTATAGGGAGGTTATTCAGTTAACCTTGGAGCAGTTATGGAAGCACATGAATGTTGAAATAATATATTGAATTTTGAAACACGAGAGTTGAAAGAGGGAGGGGTCTAGAGGAAGTGAAAATTGGAAAAATTACAAGAACATGTGTATTTCTGTATCCCTTTAAAATTTTAGGTCCATTCAAGATCATGGCTCCTAACTCAACCAGAAATCTTTGGTCATAGACTGGCAGGTAAACGGTGACAAGATTTGAAAACAAATCTGGAAGTTTACCTTGTTAACTAGAGCCGGCACCCAAATTACATGTTAGTTGCGGGACTTATATGGCTATGCTAGAATTATGACTCTTCATTCATTCCTACTTACTATGTCTTCACTTGAGTTACACAGGGTTCCTTTTTTATTTTCTAGTGGACTCCGTAGGAAGTTAGAACCATACACTGATACTATCTTCTTTATAGACCCTTTCCTTCTACAATGCAATATGTATTGAGCTTATGATAGCTTTTTGTGATGAAGTATTTACTGACAAAATGCAAAACATAATGGGAATGCTCGTGAATTTCATTCATTGGCTTCTTGTTTTTGCACTTTATTGCATTACTATTTTAATTGAGTCAGATTTGAGTGGGCCTCACATGTTGGTCTTATTTTGTTTATTCCTAAGATGCATCTTTACTAAACATATATCCAGGCTCTATAGAGGAGTCGAGGGCTCAGTCTCAACAATGAGTTCAGAGAAAAGAACACGATCATTCTTGTCAAGATGCATAAAGGATATGTAGTGACTATATGGAGCAAAAAGAAAAAACATTCATTATCCCCAAGATAATCATGAAACATTATTCCCTTGAATAAGAATCCTCGAATAAACTAGCTTCCTATGAAGACAGAGCATCCTACGTATATTCACGTCATGGAAAATTGGACTCATTTCTTGATGTAAGAAAAAGTACTCATGACATAACCAGAATTTACACATTACTATGCTGCAGCATTTTTTTTATATAAATTTTAAGTTCCTCCAGCTGTCTCCAGAAATAATCATTACCTCCGGCTCCAACTTGGGCCAGAATTCTTCCTTCCCCTCCTTGTGTTCCTAGGAAAATTTGACCTCGATGTAGAACATGCTTTCAAAGTAGAATGTGTGTTATGTGCAGCATTCTCAGTGAACAAGTCAGGTTCTGAAACTTGTGCAGGGGAAATGGATTTCAGATCTTCAACTGATTCCTCGGCTTCCTCCACAAGCTGATTTCCAACATATTCAAAATCATGAGGCTCTTCCTTAGCTGCCTGATTTTGCATACAAGAAAAGGACAACATTACAAATTTACAATGTTTCTAATGATCTTAAAACACAGAGACTCAGAGATTGATCAAAGTTTGCCCTTCCAACATACAACCTTAGTAGATGGATGTCTGGATCCATGAATTTTAAATTTCTTGTTATCAACTCAAAATTTCAAATAAAAATAGACATCAAAGAACATAGCATTAACAAGTGTTATCCTGCAATAGGAAATGAGGACTGCAATTTTGTACCAAAAAGTACTTCCAAGAAGCACGCACACGCACACGCACGCACGCACACGCACATATATATATTAGGCACATGACATGGCAGAACTAGGAGGATATATAATCCTTGAAATACAACACGGCAGGGATACAGCAAATCAAGCGTGTTCAGATACAAACATTTTACCATTACATGCATAAGAAAATTTTAAAATCAACCACCAAGGACATTCATTTGAAAGGTTAAAAAAAAAAGTTATACACCTCAATTTTCTGTTGTGAATTGGATAACAAGAAATGAAAACAACCATAAGCTGCACTATAAAAGTTCATTGGCATCTCAATTCTTGTGACCAACTTTCCTTCTTGGATAGATCATGTAACCGAAACTCAAATAAATGGCACTACCAATTGCAAAACCAAGAGCATGATGCAAGCAGTGAAAAATTCCATTGTTAAAAAGGTAGAAAACATCAAGCATAACCACATATACTTGTTCATAATTATCATAAATTTACACAAGCAAAATAGAAGATACAATACATTCAAGTTGAAATTACTTTCGTATAAAAAAGCTTACATTTCCCCATGGAACTTCACGCAGCGGCCTATTGGTGGTTTCAATAAAGGGAGTTATCCCTTCCCGAGTTGATAGTGTATTTTCAGTCGTAAGCACATCTTCCATGTATGGCTCAGATTTAAGCTGGGATGAAGCATGGACAAAACTAACTGGCATTGTGTTTCCATTACCAGCAAAAGTAGCAGAATTATGACCAAAATGATTAAATCCATTAGATGGCCTAATCATGCTCAATTGAGTTACAGAACAGAACTTTCCTGGGTTTTCACTAACCACATTATCAACCCGAGTTTTCAATTTCTGAACTTGTGACATCACTGCTTCAATTGTTTCAATGATGTCATCCAAGGATTTGTTATCTTCATGATCTACCGAAGACCACAAAGCCTTGAACTGGAACTCATCTAAATTATCGGCATTATCTCCTGATTTCACTGACACAAAATGTAGAATTAAAAATTTAGAATCTCATGGAAAGTGGAAACAATTGATTAAAACCTGTTTGGTAAAAATGGTTTATACTCATATACTTAAAAGTTAACACATTAAAATAATGATGAAAACTTGTTTATGTAATTGTTTCACCTTATTCAATTCACAATTTAAAAATGAGACAAATTTCACTAGTCAGGTGATCAACAAAAACACCATTATGTACATTACTGTTACTCACTCGTGGCAACACCACCAAAATCTTCCAAACAAGCACCATGAGCACGGTCTTTGTTCTCTGGACAATGAAAGAAGAGAGAAAAAAAATTATTATATAGGAGAAATACATTGGCAAAAATTAATATAACCAACAAAGAAACGTCATACCATAGTAGGAGAATATACTATGGTTTGACAAGTACGATGATAAATCACACTCTTCATCTCTCTTCCTTTTCTTTCTCTTCATAACTTTATCCGTACAAAAACCATCAGATATAGGTACTGACTTGACACCACATCCATCTACTGTGAACTTCGAAAACTCGAGCTTCTTTCTATAATCATATGCCGCAAGCTCTTTATTATATTTCTGTGCTTGAGAGTTCAGTCTCTTCAGTTGCAATTCTAACCACTTACAGCGCCACCTAATTGGCTGAATGAACCTCCTCCAATGATCTGTCACCTTTTTCTTTCTGAATGGTCAACAGTGTAAGTTGTTATACACACAAGCAATTGATATTCCAATCAAACACATAGCAACCAACCCAAAGTAATTTGGAATACAAACATAAGTTACATAACACACATCAAAACTTTAATCATGACAACAAAAATAGCCGATACATTTAAAATTTTTATTTTTGAGCAGACTGCATTACATAATATTAATAAAAAAAGTATATTTAAAACATGATTCTTCTGTAATGCCTATTAGAAATTATCCCAAACAAGAGTTGAGTCAGGGCTTCAGAGATGCATTTTATTATGGAAAAAACATGGAAATTGATAGCAGGAAAGATCTAATGATAACTGTAATGTACATTCACATTTCTTCTGCATGGTGTGAGTTCTTTTTCCATTTTTTTTGTTAAGTCTGTTTTCTTGCTTTCTACAGGCAATACAGGAAGAATTGAAACTGAGTTTGAAACACACCTCGATTGAAGTGGCACATCAAACATTGGCAATTCATCTTCGGCATTGCTGAATGCCGAGCCTGAGGCATTCTCCACGTCAGAACCTGTATCAGTATCACCAAAAGAACTGTAACTGGAAGACTCATTCTCACTGAAATCATCACAGGCATCTTCCACCACCTTGCCACCAGAGCTTATGCACCCACTCCCAACAATATTAACTTGCACATCCTCCTCATTCCCACAGGACACAGGAGTTTGTTCAATTCCCTTACAGTTAGTTCCAGGCCGCAGAACCACCTTTTGTTCTTCTGATTCTGAAAACGCGGTGGCAGGGACAGCTATATTCTCTTTTTCTAGGGCAGCTTCTTCTGACTTGTCATTCATCTCCAAGTCTGAGCCCATTTTTCCAAAATCATGCAATCTTCCCTGTTCAGAGATCATAGCATTGAACAGACCACAACGTTATGATTGGAATTGCAAGCATATGAATCCCCTACCCAGTTTACTGAAAAATCAGCATGCCCCACAAACACATAAGAAGAAATTGCATGCTACAAGTTGTAAAATTTATTAATAATTTCCCCAAAAAAAAAAAACTAGTAAAATCTTCATAGAACTGGGTTAGTGCAAGAAAAAAAATTTATCTTATCTTAAAGGGGTTCTTATTACCGACAAAAAATTCAAACTTCTCCCCCAAATTCAACACAAACCCACGAATCAATCGAGTAAATGTAACCACCGGACACAGAGAGAGAGAAAAAAACACTTACAAGAGAAGAGAGAAGGGTGAGTGAGGTTGATTTTCCTTAGCCAAGTAGGATTGTTCTTCAATGAGCTGCGACTGCGTAGTATTCACAACACAAACACTCTGCGTCAGCCGTCAGGCCTTGTTTGTACTATGTTCCCTACGTTTCTTTTGACCAGATATTATATATATATATATATATATATATATATATATATATGGGAAAGGTTATATTTACTACCTTTTTTTCTTACTACTTCTTACTACCAAATCTTAACCGTTGATTTCCTTCAATCTAACGGTTATAATTTATTGGATTACATTTATTAATTAATTATTAATTTTCAATAAATTATAACCGTTAGATCAACGGAAATCAACGGTTAGGATTTGGTAGTAAGAAGTAGTAAAAAAAAAGGTAGTAAGTATAACATTTCCCTATATATATATATATATATATATATATATATATTGGGATATTATAATTATTATATATATATATATTATCATTATTATATATTGTAATTAATAATTATAATATATATAATTATTATCTCTTTTTCTTATTATCTCTTATATCAAATCTTAATCGTTAATTTTCGTCAATTTAATTGTTATAGTTTATTAAAAATTATTAATTAATTAATAAGTATGACCCAATAAATTACAACCTTTAGATTGACAGAAATCAACGGTTAAGATTTGGTAATAAGAGATAGTAAAAAAAAGAAGTAATAATTATAACCTCCCCTCGTATATATAATATGAAAAGTTATTATCTTAGTCAACTCAAAACGATGTCGTTTTAAAAGCAAAAGATTTAAAAATTATAATAATAAAAATTAAATAATTATAGAATAAATTAGATTATAAAAATAATTTTTTTTTTCAATCTCAAAATATCATCGTTTCACTTCAATAGAAATAAATTATCTAAGATATATTAAACTCGTATAATATATAATATAATATACATCACAATATCGGGCTTAATTTTTGTGCTCTCTTTTCAAACATAGGAGGAAAATGATTGATTAAAAATTTAAAAGGAACGAGGAGTATAAATAAAGGAAAAAGTGTTTGTCATTCTAATTGAGATAACATTATGTCCTTTTAAGAGAGAGATATACGCAGAAAAAAAATTATTTAAATTTTAAATTAAAAAAAAAAACTACTCACTTTCTCTCTTCCGTGATTTCCATTTTTCTGTGTCTATCTCTTTCTTAAAATGACATAACTTATGTCATTTAAAATGACATACATCAAACCCATAAATAAGAAAATATTTTTTTTTTATAAAGGATCACAAACCTGTATTTTGCTCATGGAGCACATTAAAAAAATCCATAGTAAGTAGTAACAATAATATATTATACTTAAAAAAAATTAAAATTATTAATTTATTAAAATGTACTTATATGAGCCTACCTATTTTTATATGTGTATAGAGATGCCTAAAAGGAAGAGTTATTATATTGGGTTTGTTTTTTCTGATGTTACTTTAGATAACTTTATCTAATGTTCATCAAAACGACGTCGTTTTGGGACGGAAATCATGGTATTTTTGTAATTTTAATTTATTTCAGGGTTATAATAGTCTTTATCACTCTAATTTTTTAATTTTTCAACCCAAAACAACGTCGTTTCGATGAACATTAGATAAAGTTATCTAAAGTAGCATCGGAAACTTTTTTCCCTATTATATTTCCAATGTCACATTTATCGGCATAATATTTTTACAATAAGTTGGGGATAATTTATAAAAATAATAAGGGATAAGTTATTGTGTCTACTCTTATGTTTCCTATCTTTACCTACCTCTCTCAACACCATTAGATTACAATCTCATCCAACAGTAGAGAGTTTCATATTAAAATAAATTATTTTTCTCTTTCTTTCTCTTCATTGTCTCCCACATTTTTTCTCTCTCCTCCCCTTTCTCTCTATCGATTTACATAATTTACAACCTGAATTTATATTTGAATCTAAATCTATGCAATGATTAATGGCATGATAGTTCTGTTAGATAAATACAATTTTCAAAATTTCCTGAATCTGATATAATTGAACACAGCAGAAACTACAAAATTACAAAAAAACGAAAATTACGAATAACCCTTCATTTGAATTAATCCACGATTACCGTGACGTTTCTACTTTGTTGTTGAAATTTGAAACGAATCAACTTATCTCGTTCTTCTTATCTTGTTTTTCACCTTGAAGTGGAAAAAGAATTTCTATTCTATCTATGTTATGCCCAACAACATATCTACCTAGTTCCATCACATATTTGTACTCTAGAGTAGTAAGGATCGTTAATATCATTACAGCTTGAATGTATTTCTGCATATATGCCTTGAACATCCTGAATATATATCAAGAAAATAAAAAATAAAAAAATAATGTCATCAGAACCAAAAAGTTTTATTACTTATTATAAACATATCAATAACAATTATGTAATTAAGATATAATTATGCATACAATTCAAGAACAATTGTATACAAGAGCCTTTTTTAAGTATAACTACCATCATTTCATATATGGGATGAATTATTCTACCTACAATTTTTTCTACCTACCTTTGCCTACCACTTTCTAATACCATTAAATCAGAATCTTAAGAAAAGAAAAAAAATATTAGTTAAGATTCTGATCTAACAGTGTTGGAGAGTGGTAGACAAAGGTAGGTAGAATAACTTACCCCTTCATATATAGCACAAAAAGAAAAATATATTAGACAATTTAGGGCGAGTACAACAATTATTTAGTACACATATTATTCGTTTTCTATTTTGTCAATTCAAATAACAAACAAGACTCTTTCAAGCTAACAAATTATTTGTATCGTGTTAAGTTAACTTGCCAAATGAGCATGTCATGTTCGTGTCCAAAGTCTCGACACAAATAACAATTATTGTCATATTCAAGTTAAGTGTACTCATATTCTTGTTACACATTGACACACTACAAATATGATCCACGAGACACGAATTGCCACCCTTATCTCTAAGCACCATCTAGAATTTTCTTCTTTTCTTTCATAAAATATTTTTTGGTAATAATTTCTCTAAAAGAATGTTTGGTCAGCTTCTTCAATTTAGGAGAGTCCAAACGGTTAGTAATGATTTATGTTGCACCGACACTGACACGCGATACGAGATATGACACGACACATGACACACCAACACGTTAATTTTAAAAAATGTTAGATTTCGACACGTTAAGACACATTTTGATATTAAATAATATTTTTAATATATTAAATATAATAATATATATAGCAGCTCATAATAAGTCATATAATCAATTAAATATTCAAATTTCATAACATAAATATAAAATAAAAATAATTTTTCATGCCTTGTCAAATTTCATAACAAAAAATATTTGATATATAAATTAATTTTTTATGTTTAGGTAAAAAAATAAAATAAAATAAAATATAGATTTGTATGAATGTTGACCGTGTGTCGAAAAATGTTAACTGCGTGTCAGAAAATGTTGACTGCGTATTAAAAAATGTAAATCGTGTGTCAGAACATTGATCATATATTTCAAAATATTAACCACATTTTGGACAAGTGTCCGTACGTGTCCCACACATTATTTTTTTCAAATGTGTGTGTGAGTGATTATGAGGTAATGATAGTTAGCTCTATATAATTATTTATACAATAATAAAAGAGGTAGATTACAGTTATAATTTTTTTTTTCTTTGCAACCATTTTGTTATCGTTACATCAAAATCCAATTGTTAGCTATCGTTTGATATCATATTGTAATTGTTAATTTTATTTTGGTACAACAATAATAAAACTTAGTTGTGAGAGACTGTAAAGAAAAAAAAAAGAATATAACCACCTTGATAAAAAAAAAAACCATCTTAAAAAATTATCCAAAAGTATATTTCTATCCCTTTGTCTCTTTTTTTTTTTTATTCCGCAATCACACACAAAGGTGGGCAAAATTAGAATAATTACTTTAGGGAATTAATTTTTGAAAATAAGGGCAGCCAATGAGAGTAAGGAATTGGGGACAGAAGGATACGATCCAAACCGAAAGTCAAAGGAGACTCGCAGGTGGTAACGAGTGATGTCAATTTTTCAATTTCCAGTGGTTGTTGTCTTATAAAATAACGCCATCGAACAAATCGAATAATCGACCCACAAAAACCATAAAATCTTGAACATTGGATTTCAGTCATTGGTTGTGTCACTTTGGATTAAAATGGGTAACCCAACAAGAGTGCTGTTTGTGCTCTTCTTTATCGCATTCATCACAGTGGCACAATCTGTTCCCTTCATTGTTTTGCACGGTACGCCTTTTTTTCTTCTTCTTCCTCAACCTCTATTTCTTCTCTTCAGCAAACAAAAAATTTGTCTAGATTTGTCAGAAGTGGTGGACAATGAGATAATGGGTTTCAAACTTTAAATTCCTGACTGTAGATTCAGTTGATGCCTGATTTTGTTATCATACTGAAATGAGCATTTAGTTACTGATTTCCAATGGATTTGTGTAACCTTTTCTCCACTGTCGTAAACCTTTTGCTTCCAGAGTTCATATGGATTAGGATATTTGAATTTATGACATTAGACTGCATGTTGCTTAGGCTGTTGCATATTTTACTGCTTTTGATATTCTGTGAAAAAGACGTCATGTTTTACTTTTATCCTTTTGAAAATAAATTCTAAGAAAAGGTTTACTATTTATGTTAACGAATTAATAGTGGGAGAGAATATGGATGTGAAGTTTTCTAATGGGAAAGGATTCTTGTTCAAGTTTGATTCCTGGGAAGGGGGTTACATGGGTGGGGCCGAACATATCTTGAAAAGAAGTAATCAAGGAAATGAACCTAGGAAAGAGTAATCAAGAAATGGTGTTTTTTTGTATAAGCCAAGAGAGAGAAGTATTTACAGTTCAATGCATGTTTTAGCAAGAACGAATCTATCTACACAAATTTGTTGTATACTCTGCCATAATACATTGATTTTGTGTTTGAACTTTGTGTCAGGTATTGGAGATAAATGCAAGAATCGAGGAATCCAAAACTTCGTTAAGCTTTTAAGTGACTGGTCCGGTTCTCAAGGATATTGCTTGTATGGTATTGCTAAATTTCTTGATATTTATTATACTCATTTGAGCATTATTTACTGTTTGGTTGTAAATCCTTATCCTAAAGCATAATCCAAGGGCCAAGTAATCTTGGTTCCAATCTGCTATAGGTGGAGGCAGTTGTGCAAAATCTTTTGCAGTATGCCTGAAAATCATTGAGATAGAGGGTTTGTTGCAGATGTTACCCCTTTTTGTTCTTTCATAACCTGAGAAATAGATATTTTACATATGGATTTCTTTCACAAACACCCCTCCACACACCCCCCCCCCCCCCCCCCCCCCCCCCACACACACACACACACACACACAAAAAAAGAATTTAGGGATGTAATAAATCCTTAATTCGTTATATGTGCTTGATCTATCTGTAGAGAAATCGGAAATGGATCATGGGATTCTTTTACGATGCCCCTATTAAAACAGGTGACTATTGAAGGAAGTGCTTCCATTTTTCAGATGTGTGGTGTTTGAAATTTAGTAACCATTTATTTACTCTATATCCTTGCAGACAGCTATTGCCTGTGAGAAGGTGGTGAAGATGTTTGGTAATTTTTTTGTCCCGATAGTTTATTCATAATTTCTTTTTGCTTCAAGTGTTTGTTTCTATCTATAGGTGAAGAAGATGAGTGATCTAAGTCAGGGTTACAACATTGTTGGACTTTCTCAGGTGAGTACATTCCATGCAAAAAAAAAAAAACATCTTGTAAGATGCCATATTGCATATGTTTTTTGCTCATATATGTATGTGGAACATTCAAAGCTTGCAAGAATGTAACATTTACAGATTAAATGCATAGATCTATGTATATATTTATGTATCTATATGTAGACCTTTGTAGACCTTGCAGATTCTTATGTGTATTTGTTTTGTATAAACAATTGTATAAATAATTAACAATTAATTTTGGGATAAAGGTGTTGTTGATGTTGATGTTGATGTTGAATTAACAGTTGAAATAAATGGTAGTTATGTAAAGGAAGATGAGCTATGAAATCCTTTTGTAATACGATAGGCATAGTTATTAAACCTGGTCTGACCTTCTGATTACTGCTAACTAGTGATGCAGACCTTTGATCAGGCCAGTTCACCCTATTGGGTCAGAGTTGCAATCAAACTGGCAAGATATGGAAGTTTTTTTCCATCTCATTCAACCTTCATGTTCTAATATTTCCTGGGTATTTTTTTTTCAAGAAATAAAATGATAGTGATAGGAACCTGGAATTAGAGTAGAAATAATGGAGATCTAGCTCCATACCAGCAGAAGTAGCCCTTTGTTGGGACTGAAAGCACATAGAAAATGCAAGAAAGGAAAGAAAATAACAAGGGAAGTTCTGCAGTCACCGAGAATATCCCATCCCTTCCAAAACCTCTCTACCATGCTCAATTCTTGCCTAATTGTCTCTTCCTTGCCCCCCTTTTATCCTTACTCCTCACCAATTTCCTCCTTTTCCCACACTCCTTGCCACATAGGCAAGGTTGTTAGAGCCCTTTACAGTCCAAATCCCCCTTCTGTCCCGCTCTCACGTTTCCCTCAAAGTAGTACTCATCTATTAGAATATACGAAAAATATCTCAAATATCTTCATTGCACCTCATAATATTTTGATATTCCTCCTCCTGTATGATTTTCTTCTGTTTGTTTTAATATTGTCTTCCTGAACTTTCAGTTTTTGACTTACTTTGATTGTCTTAACAACATATCAGTTCTTTTGGTTCTCAGGGAAACTTGGTTGGTAGAGGGATTATTGAATTTTGTGATGGAGGACCTCCTGTAAGAATTAACTTTATGATCTATGATATTGTACTTTCATTACCTGTAAAGGAAAATGAAATCCTGACATTGAATTTGAATGTTTGATTATTTTTGTGCGCATCTGTTTCCTTGAACATGTTCTTTTAGCTCTTATTATTTATTCTACTTGTAACAATATTTTAATGTAGAGTATTATACTTTTATTTTTTGTATGTGATGCAGGTTAAGAATTTTGTATCAGTGGGAGGTCCACATGCTGGAACCGCTTCCATTCCACTCTGTGGAGTATGTGCTTATTTTACTTACTGCGCTTAGAAAGTCTCTGTTATTCCTCTGGATACTATTTGTCTTTTGTTAATGTTAAGATCGGTAAACTTTGTAGATGAACTTGAACTTGATCCACCTGATGTTGGCTTTCTATATAGAAGTGCAAATACTAATGAAACATTCTTTGGGCAAAATGCTTTGCCTTTACTGAAGGTGTAATAAACATATTTTCCTCATCAGATAAATAAATAGCAATTGCCAAATTATTTTATTTGTTGTAGACATTGCAATGAATCAGGAAATTGCTAGTTTAGATCTGGTCTCAATGATAATGCATGCAGTGACAGAGAGAATGGGAAGATATACTTGTTTTGAAGGTCCTTTGGAAGGATCAAATCAAATCATGATTATAGAACAATAAAAAGACTAGAGTAAAGTTTGAGTCTGTGCATGAGTCCGGATCCTCTTGATTTTTGTTGAGCTGCATTTCTTCGATTCTGCAGTTGCTTAGGTTATTGCCACCTGCACCGTACAAACCCTTTTCCCGTAAACCAGGGGAACCAAACCCTTTGAAGCTAGTTTCTCATAGCCTGCCCATTCTCTAGTGCCTCAATTTTTCTGTCCAAAGTTGTACCACCTTGGTTCCTAATCCACTGGAACACCAAAGTCCATCCACACATCTCACTGCCTTTCTTTAATTAGGCTGCAAAGGATCTCCCATCTTGATTCATGATAGAAAACTGGAAAACAGAGCATTGTTTAATTGATAACACTACTGGAATCTCTTCCCTTATACTGATATTAAGGTGATATCCTTATCAGAGGGAGATTTTTGACTGATGAAAAACACACACAAAAACAGAAAAGAAAATAAAGGCACTGCAGACACTTCAAGAGGTCTCCATACTCCCTTTCCTCCGCTCACTGAATACTTGCTTACCCTTCTCCTGTCCCTGCTCCTCTCAACTCACTCCTTCATTCCAGCCAATTCTTTTCCTGCCATGTTTGCGGGTTGTTACTTGGAAATCCCCCCATGATGATTATCTCTCACATTTCCCTCACTGCCCATGTGAACTCGTAATTTCTTGTCCCTCCCTTTCTTCATATCATATACCCTAGTGATAAGTGGGCATCTAACAATTCAATTCCTTTATTAAATCATTCAAACTTTTAGTCATGAACCAACTCTCCCAAAAAATTTAAGTTGTTAGGTGAAGGCACATGAATGATTTTATTATATCACTTGCACGCCTCTTCATTCACGAACCCTTTGAGCTTTGAAGCGTGGATAATGCACAAACCTATTTTATCTAGTGCTGAAATTTAACTTTTTATTAGAAGAATGGAAATGGGTGGCAAAAAGGATCGAACTCTAGACCACTTGATCGAAGAAGCTCTGATTTGATGTAACGAACCAACTCTCCCAAAAGTTCAAGTTGTCTGGTGAAGGAACATAAATGGTTTGATTATATCCCTAAGTGATAAACATTATCATTTTATTATAGTATGCCAATAAATAATAAGTATATGCCCTAGCCATTGGTTGGTATAACACTCTCATTATCAAAATTATTTTATTTACATGTGGCAGACCATGAGACCTTGATCCTGAACGTTTAACATGTCATATCTGTGATTTGAGTTAAAACATTTAAATAATTAAGCTGCTAATTTATCTGTTATTTTGTTATAAAGAGTTGTCTTAGTATGGTGTAACATTATTTTTATTTTTTTATTTTTTCAGTCTGAGTTGGTATGCACCCTTGTTGATGATATAATCAAATTTGAGGTCTACAGCAGCCTTGTCCAGGTTTTGACTTTGACTTTTCACTCTTTTTATTGTTTTGAGATGATAACTATTGGTCATTTACAAAATGGATGTTGGCATGTCCCTATTTAAGTCTTACTTTCATTTTGAAAATATTTTCCTTCTGCAATCCATTCCTAAAACAGATGGCTTACTTCCCTTATTTCTTTGCCCAATGCGTTGGTGCAGGAACATCTGGCTCCCAGTGGATATGTTAAAATACCAATAGTGAGTATGATCTTGGTTTTTTTCTCATGTACTTCTGTTTTGGATGATATTTTCATCGAGATTGCTTTTTCAATATTCAAACAATTTCAGCCATGCATATAGGGAGATTTTGGAGATGCAATTCTTTATACTGGATCACAATGCAGTCTTGACCTGCCTTTGTCAATTGCATTCACTTTACCGAAGTATCATTTGATATAAGTTGCCTTTTGCTTGTCTAATCGCATGTGACACATTAATAAACTATTTCGGTTGCAGCAAATCCATCAAATACACATGGCTTTCAAATTAGATGAAAGGAAACATAATCTGTTCTTGTATCTTTTTCAGGATATTGCTGACTACATTAAGGGGTGTAGGTTCCTTCCTAAGCTTAATAATGAAATTATCAATAAGAGGAATTCTACCTACAAGCAACGATTTGCTAGCTTACAGAATTTGGTACTTATCATGGTGCGTTAGAACTATATAATCTTCCTCTAATCTCTCTTGTTAAATTTGGATTTGTCCAATTTACAACTATTGTGTCAATCTGGTTGATCCATCTTGCTCTGTCTCGTCTGCAATGAAACCAGTTTGAGCAAGATACAATTTTAATACCAAAAGAAACATCCTGGTTTGGTTATTATCCAGATGGGGCCTTCCATCCTGTTTTGCCAGTACAACAGGTAATTTAAGAATTCCATATCTGTAGTTTATTCTTGCAAGATGATATGTGTGCCTTGTATTTATTGTTTTTCAATTGGTTCATCGGAACCTAACTAGTGCGGCTCAAGCACTGTCAAACCCATGTAAAGTGAGGCTCTCCCAATACCATTTTCTACATTCTTAGGATTCAAACTCGAGCTCTCTGGTTAAGAAAAACAAATTCATTCCCACTTGAACCAATATTGTTGGTAAACTAAAGTTCTTTTGCCTTAGCTACTAGTACATATTTTACCTGAAGGTCATGATGCTTAGAAGCAGTAATAGGATGATCACATGAGTAATTTCTTACCAAGTGATTGAATTACATTATCATCCATCTATTTGTCATGGTATATATTGAGGCAGTTAATTATTTTTCAATTTTAGTGCATTCCACCAAGCCGATTTTATCGTTTCACATATATTTGTTATATCATTTTTCATATTCAGGTATTTGATATCAATAGCATGCTTTATTTCATGCAGACTAAGCTCTACACTGAAGACTGGATTGGCTTAAAAACTCTAGATGAAGCTGGGAAAGTTAAATACGTTAGCGTGTCAGGAGATCATCTTGATATCTCTCGTAATGAAATGAAAACTTATATAGTGCCATACTTGAAGGACCAGACATCAAGAGTTACAAGGCCTAAAATAGAAGAACCTTCTTCTGATGGTTGGGAATGGTTGGTCTCAATGAAGTAGAATAGTTATTAACCTGTGGAATACTGTTCTATTCTTGGTATTTTTGGGTGTATTTGACCAAACGAGCTTTTGGTTGCTCAAACACGCTTTTGCCTATTTTTTTTCTTGTTTGTTAGGTACAGTTTCCAAACTTGATTCTTGCCTTAAAAAGCCCGTTTGGTCTCAAGTGAATTTTTCTTGCTTTGGCATTCAACGTTATTATCCACTCCTATCTTTAGTTTACTTGTTATTTTTTACTTTTCCTTTATAGAAATTTTAATTCAATTTTTTATAATTTATATTTTTTAGATTACATCCGAATTAATTATATATATATATATATACCTCATTTATAATTTTAAAATTTATTTATCTCAAATATTTTTTATTTTATTTATACTATTTAAATTTTACTTAATTGTAAAAATATTTGTACAATATATGAGATACTAATTTTCAAACAAATTACTTCACTACAGAAATGCTTTCGAGCAACTCTACAAAAATACTAATAAATATTTTGCTACTAGTCTAGGGAGACCCACCCACGCACATAGACTTCCATGCTCCGAGAAACTTGCGTTTAAAATTCTTCAGGGTTGACGCTAAGTCAAGCAATGGCGTAACATACAAGTAGGCTCAGTCAACGTGGCAATGCCTCAAATCCTACGTTGACGCGTGTTGTACAAGTCAAGCGGGGTGTGACTGAGAATAAAAGAGTCACCACCAACCAACGAGCAGTTTAGTCAGTCACATAACATTCAAGTTTAGTTTGTGATACATAAACACAATAATAACTGATAAACAAAGTTGGAGTTGGTTGTGTCTTACTTATAAAAGTAGGAGTTTAAACATTTAGGTGTCTGTGCAAATTAAAGCAAACACAATGCATGGGCAAGAAATATGGACAGCCTTTTTTCTTATTATTTGTGGTGTGAGTGTGAGTGTGAGTGTGAGTGTGAGTGTGACTCCTATGTTTACTCCATTATTCGAGTTAGGAGGATCTGCTATGTTTACTCCTATGTTTACTTCAATTATTTGAAGGGTCCAATTCCAGATGGCTTCAAACCTGATGCGCTAACAGGCAACAAGGATGCATGTAGCGACATTCCGAATTACCAATTGGCATTCAAATTTCAACCTTGTCTGTCTGAAACAAGCATAAAGGTAAAACATCATCTGCTCATAGTTCTTCCCATCCTTCCTCCCGTAATCGTTGCCCTCTTACTGCTTGTGTATCTGAAACTGCATAAAGTACGTGCTACAAACAACAAACATGCAAACACAGCAGCAACTAAGAATGGTGATTTCTTCTGTATATGGAATTATGATGGAAGCATGGCATGTGAAGACTTAATTAGAGCTACAGAGGACTTTGACATGAAGTATTGCATTGGAACTGGAGGGTATGTGAGTGTTTACAAAGCACAATTACCTGGTGGCAAGGTTGTTGCCTTGAAAAAACTTCATGGTTTTGAAGCAGAGGTTCCGGCTTTTGATGAGAGTTTTAGAAATGAAGTGAGAGTGTTATCAGAAATAAAGCATCGACATATTGTGAAGCTTCATGGATTCTGCTTGCACAAAAGAATCATGTTTTTGATCTATCAGTACATGGAGAAAGGAAGCTTGTTTTCTGTGCTGTATGATGACGTTGAAGCAATGGAATTGGATTGGAGAAAGAGGGTTAACATTGTTAAAGGCATTGCAAATGCTCTTTCATATCTTCATCATGATCGTTCCCCTCCAATAGTACATAGAGACATGAGTAGCAGCAATGTCTTACTGAATTCGGAGTGGCAGCCCAGTGTTTCTGACTTTGGCACGGCCAGACTCCTCCAACATGAGTCATCCTATCGAACTATAGTTGCTGGAACCATTGGGTATATAGCTCCATGTAAATTATTCATAGCTTTCTTACCATTTTTGTTTCTTTTTAGTTCCATTTCCTTTTTTCCCTAGGCCCTTGTGTTTACTTGATTCGAAGCCTATTATATACATATAACAGGCAGCTGGACTAATTTGTAATGCTGTGTTGGTTTGGTTCTCTGCTTTTTGAGGCCAAACCCATTTTCCTTAAGCAAGTCACTTACACGGATTACAAGTCACTTAAAAGGGGGCGAACCGCAACAGTGGTAAAATTGTTCCTTCATGACTGAAAGGTCATGGGTTCGAATCCAAGAAACAGTCTCTTTGCAATTATCCAAGGGTAAGGCTGCGTACAAACAGAGGCGGATCCAGGTTGTTGAGAAGGGGGGCAAGTGCCCACCCTTAAATCTGATCCAAAAATAGGAAAATGTCATTTTCTTAAAATTTAAGTTTTTCAATTTAATTTTTCTACTTCTATTTTATTTTTTTTCAGGGAGTATTTTTTTCTCCTCCACCTTCGTTTGCATCTACATATTAATTTATCTCCTCTCAAACCTCAATTTCCATTATTGGAAGTTGGAACATTTGTTTCTTCTTCCATCATCGATCCAGTTGAGTCGCAATCTGTTCAGATCTAGATCTAAACAAGACACAGTTAGTAAGCAGCTGCTCGCAAGTCGCGTTCAGATCCAAATTTATATATACGGAACTTATTAAGTGCCCACCCTTCATTAATTTTCTGGATCCGCCACTGCGTACAAGGATTTCCTCCACTCCACACTCGTTAATTGGGTTTGACGGGGAGTGGTTTTAAGTCACTTACATGATTTGATTATTCTCATCGTAATTTTTTTAGTTGAGGAGATCTTGTGTTTATGTTTTCTGCCCAATTTTGATTTTTGTTACCGTATTTGCTATTATTATTATTCCAGGGGAAGTTTCGTTGTTTATGAGTTATTATCATGCTGATGAGTTTATAGAAATCAAAGATTTTTATTTAAACCAGTCAAATTTCAACTATTCTCTTTTCTTTTTCTGTTTGATCCTTTAACATGCTTTATGTTCATCTGATCAATGCAGAGCTTGCCTATAGTATGGTTGTGAATGAAAAATGTGATGTCTATAGCTTTGGAATGGTGGCACTTGAAACTTTAGTGGGAAGTCATCCTAAGGAAATACTGTCGTCAATTCAATCAGCATCTACTCATGCCATCACATTTTGTGAAGTACTGGATCAACGCCTTCCACAACCAGATATGGAAGTTTTACCAGACGTAGTTCGTGTTGCCATTACAGCATTTGCATGCTTAAATCCCAATCCTTGCTCTCGGCCAACAATGAAATACGTGTCTCAATGTTTTCTAACTCAGCCAAAACCATTAAGCATTCCTTTGGGTGAAATCTCATTGCAGCAGCTCATGAATGAAGAGTTCAAGAATTATTTATAGTTGTCAATTGCAGAAAGCAAAATTCAAGATGAAGTTGATGCTGCCACCATTTGGTAAAGACTTTGTCCAAGTTGGATTGCATGAATTGTGAGAAAACTTCATAAAATTTTGTTTCTGAGGCATCTAAAATGTATGTATGTATAAACTTCTTAAACTCAATTCGGACCAGTGTTGCTGGATCAATTGTGTTTTAATGTTTTGGATAGAATCGTGATGATTTTTTTGTTCCGGTGTTTATAATGTTCACTGAATTAAAATTTCTAAGTAATATTATGAAGCATCTATTTGTGATCACTTTTGTTATCACAAGAAGTAGACGCACATATTCTCTTTCTACATGTATTTGTGTTTCCTAGATAGCTGATTTAAATTTCGTTTGTATGTTTATTTCATTTTATAGACTATGTTTATTTATTTACGGAAAATGTTTTTTTTTATTTATGACATATATTCTTGCAATTGATATATATTTTGCCTCTCTGTAAGTGGGTCATATGCCTCTTCCACTTAAAAAATGGTTGACTCTACGTCGTACCCACGAACAATGTGCGAAAAGGAAATTCCTGGTTCCTTCGAATGGCAAGAATGATTTTATGACAAAACAGAATACCAGCACTGCTATTTGTTGGGTATGGTTCATACTTCGCATGTTGATGAAGGCTCTAATTATCAGGGTCAGCAGAAAGGCAACTGGGGTTCCGCTCTTAGGTGAGCGGGCGGGGGTCCGGGGGGCAGCGCCCCAGGCCTGTAGAGGCTAGGTACTGTTGTGGGCTTCTGTTTTATTGTAATTTTCTTAGCAGTTTGGGCTTGGGTCCATGAATAGCAGTTTTGTAATCTTATTTATATTTGTCTTGTAAACCAAGAGACTTGTAACGAGTGGCGGTGAGGTGAATATAGTACAGACAAGCTGGACGTAGCCTAAATTGGGTGAACCAGGGTAAATCGTTGTGTCTATTCTCTCTCTTTTTTCTTTTCCGTTTTCGATTTGTGTGTTGTCAATTTCCTACACTATTTACACTCACACTGCTTCTTGCGCTCTCTTGACAAAGTAGTGAACAAGTTTACTATATGTATGCGTGACGATAGCACTGATTGACATTTCTCGTGATCTCTTGAAGATGCTATTTACGCATTCAAACAATTATTTATCCTATGACTGTATCGACAACTGTCCACTTCATACGCACAAATTACATACAAAATAAAGTGTTGAGATACATAGCATACTCAATTTTTTATACAATCAGAATTAGTGAAAATTTAAGGGATTACATTTGGTCATGTAACATAACTAGAGCATTTTGTCATGTTGAGACACAAAAGTGGGCTCCATACATTTAAAAAACAATAAAATTAAACAGAAAGAAAGCGCATAGTTCGATGTCTGTGCAGGAAACAAAATTTTTTTCCTGCGACAGCACAGATACATTTTCCAAAATTTAATTACATACCTAGTCTCTTCAAGTCCTCCTTCAATTTGATATTCTTGAAATTTTATTTTATTTTTTTAAAGTTGCTTGTAGAATAGTGGAGGAAAAAAGACATGATACACGTTTGGGGGTTGCTAGCCAAGGTGAATATTTTTAAACACCGATAAGATGCTCAAATGTTGATCAGAAATAAGATATATACTTTTTCTATGTGACAAATAGACATATGGAAACCAAAAAATATTCCCAAACTTTCAAGGTCCAATCTTCTACAATAGCAAAAGCCGGTGGCAGGACCTCATCGTTTTCATTGTGTAATGTAATGATCCATAATGTCCCTTTATATTTGCTATATAGGTGGGTGTAATGCCATTAACGTGCATTACTGGCTTGTAGAAGTTAAATGCGTCACAACACTGCTTGAAAGTTTATATGTGTGTGTATAAGTTACTTTTATTTCCTACATATGAGAGACATTTTTTTTTAATTGATGAGCCCCACAACTTTTAAAATTTATCCAATAACAAGAGAAACTTATACTCATATTTATTTATTTTTGGTAAACTATACCGCATATATTTATCAGCTTAATGTTTCTCCGATAAATTGAAGATAATTTATAAAAGTAGTAAACGTATGTGGATTTCACTTTTTTACTTTGTCTCTCTTCTTTATACAGGTTCGTATGAGAAATATTAATCTCTTTATTATTATTTATTTAGATTTATGTTACAAGTTTAAAAAGCATACATAATATAAATTAAGGGAGAGAGAAGGACAAAATTTAAGAGATTATTTGATATTCTCTATTAAGTTCAACTCATCAATTATTTAAAAATATGTAAAATAATATAATTAAAATTTTTCTTTATAAATAATCCATAATTTTTTTTCATATCTTCTTAACAATTACTAATTAATATTTGCTTATCTGTCTACTTATTACAAATATAAATAGATAAATTATTTTTGTACTTATAACTCATTTATTTAAAAGGAACATTTGTGATTATATATCGTTAATTATTAATGGTATCAATAAACTCATAAAAATTAAAAGTATCAATGATTTTTCCTAATATATTAAAATCTGTAAGTAATTTTACATGAAGCATGATAAAATAAAATAAAAAGTAAGAATAAAATTCAAAATAATGTAATTAATTACTTAAACTTTTTATATATATTATTAGTAAATTCGAAAGTGTCACACTATTATGGTAATTATAATATTTCCCCTCATAATTAATGTTTTTCCACGGTCTTCACAATAGATATTTCAAATAGAGCAAATTATATAAAACCACCTTCTATTTAGGGTCTTTTTCAAAAGACCACCCACACTTTCAAACAAAACAATTAACCCCCTCCTCTCCCACTATGAAATAACAACAATTAAATATATTTCATAATTTTGAGAGAAAAAATCCCATTCTTCTTGCCCCTAGACCAGCCCTATTATCCTATGGACACAGTCTTCTCACTCGAATATCATAGAGCAACATGAAGGGATTTTTTTAATATGCTCCAGGCCTACAACATTATTCTAGGGTCCTTTACTTAAAAAGGAAAATTTTCTTTCATTTATACTCTTTTTTTTTTTTCTAAATTCCATCTAAATCCAAAAAAAATTCTACTTTTAACATGGGAGTTTATGCTCCCGGATCATATTAAACGGGTTCAGCATGAAGATGTAAAGCTATAGACCCCATGCCCATGTGGGTTAATGTGATTTAGGTAGAAATCATGGAGTAGCAGGGAACATGTTGAATGTATTTGTACTCTGTTGAAGGTATTTGTACTCTAAAGTAGTAAAGGATAAAAGCTACTAAGATTGATCTAGTAGAGGGGTTGGGATAATTTGCATAAAGTTATAGATTTAAATCTCAGTGTCATCATTGTATCAAAATAAAATAAAAAAATTAAGGATAATTAATAACATTAAACAGTGGCAGAGCCACGTCTAGCGTGGGTGTGACTTCGGCTCGGGTTAAATTTTAACAAATTATACTTATTATATATAATTATATAATTAATTATAATTTGGCCCGGATTAAAATTGTAATTTGGTCCGGACTACAATTTGTACTTTGGCTCTGTGTAAAATTTAAAATATTTTTAGTGAAAGATTTGGATAAGTTATGTTAGGTTATGTGTCTAATTTTCACTTGTATAAAAAAATACACATAATTTTTTAACCCGGGTTCAAATTAGAGTCTAGCTCCGCCCACTGACATTAAACATCTTGAATATATTTTTGCATATCTGCCTTAAACATCAAGTAAATAAAAAAAAAATTGTCTACATCAGAACTGAAAAGCTTTATTACTTATTATAAACATATCGATAATAATTATGTAATTAAGATAGAATTACGTTAGCAATGGCATGAAGATGAAAAATTAGTACTCATGCCTTGAAGCTATTATACAAAGTGACCCGGAACTACACGTAAATCTTAAGATTCAAGTTGGATAAATTGGAAAAATGCTTTAAGTGTTATTTGATAACAACTTAGGCTTTTTCACCCTTTTGCCCCTTATTAATTAATTAATAACCATTTTGCCCCTGATTCGAAACTATCTACCAATCTGCCCCTCTTTAATCGACTACCTTGCATTTTTAATCGACTAAACGGTTGTTGGGAGATCTAATCGACTAAATCTCTATACTTAATCGATTAAAATCATACTGTCTTATTTTTTTTTTTGTAAAATATGAAGATTTAGTCGACTAAATAGGGAGATTTAGTCGACTAAATAGGGAGATTTAGTCGACTAAATCTCCCAGCAGCCATTTTTTTGTCTGTTTTGGCCATTTAGTCGATTAAAAATGCAAAGTAGTCGACTAAAGAGGGGCAGATTGATAAATAGTTTCGAATCAGGGGCAAAATGGTTATTAATTAATTAATAAGGGGTAAAAGGGTGAAAAAGCCTAACAACTTATCTTTCAAACTTAAAAAGGAAGATTTTTTTTTTTTTTTGATATAAGGAGGAATTGAATGCATAACCTAATAGAAACTATTAGGAATGTTTGCGGTTTGGATTGGATCGATTTTGGAAGCAAAAATTATCTGATCCAATCCTTTCGGTTTGGATTTTTTTTTTTCAAATTCGATTCAATCCAAAAAATTTCGGTTTGGATTGGATTGGATTGATTTTTATTTTTTTGAAAAGTTTAAAATTTGTTTAATGATTATTGTGCAAATAACATATCTTTTGTATATATTGGCTTTATAAAGTTTTTTTTTTTTTCAAATACAAAAGTATTAGCAAACGATACTATAGTTTTTTTATGGACAATGAGATATGAAGTTATACACAGATGAAATTTTGTTAATGAGATGTGACTAGGTTTTTTATTGGATTTAGTTGATGGGTATTGAGTCTTGGGTTTAAAATTTTTTGGGCTATGATTGGAGAAATGCTAAGTAGGTAGAGAAAAATTAATATATTGGATCAATTTTCATTAACTAAATCGAAAATTAATCCAATTCAATTAAAATTTGCGATTTTATTTTTATTTATTTATTTTCAGTTTTTGATTTATTTGATTATTGATTTTTCGATTCAAACACCAGGAGTTAAATTAGTTTTGATCGGTTGATAAATATCCCTACAACCTGCCCAAACCACCACTTATATAGTAAAAACCCTGTAAGATCGACCGGTAAGATGGTAAGCGTAAGCTACGTATTGTAGGCAAGAATATAGTAGTTGGTTCAAGGATAGTTATTGAATAAATCAAAGTAGTTGATACCGCTCATTTATCCAGAAGTAACCAACAGTAATATGATATTATAATTTTAAGAGAGAAATAAGGAAAGGAATGAAATTGGGATAGATTGTCATGTAAGAATAAAAAAATTTATGTTCATTCTTAGTTATTAACCTATTTGTATCTAATGACTTACATAAATAAAAAATTAAAAGTTAGTTATAAGTTAAATCAACATATAAGATAAAGAATATAACTTATACGTATATAAAATAATTCTGACCCAATAAATTTTTTACAAAACATGAAACTCTATATAAAATTTTATTTTATTTTTCACTTCCCTTTTTCGTGCAGTATATATAACAAATGTAACTTGGGTTATTTTAAGTGGCCAAAAAAAAAAAGGAAATGGATCTTTTAGAATTCTTGGGCTTTGGAAAAAAATGCTAAGCAGCAATTACTCATGAATAAAAATCAAATAGATAGTTTTTATATGTATTTATATTTCTCATACAAATATTTCATTGAAATAATATTTTTGTTTTTGATTTTGTTCCTCCAAAACCGTTCCCATTACTTTCGGAGGGTTATGAAAAGAAAACAACAATCTCCATCAAAAGACATTTAAAGTCGTTCCTCCTACATTAAAGTTCTTTGAATAGTGATTTTGTTGATCTACAGTTACAAATGATCCCTTCAACAAATTTGGAATAAAAAATAATGTGGATATTGATGAATATCAATCATTAACTTAAGTTTGTACAAAGCTACTTTATTGAGTTGTTTCTTTATATATCTATAATGTGATAGGAACAAAAAAATTTATCCTGCGACACAAGCATAGAAGAGAAAGAAAGTGAAAATAAGAAGAAAAAAAAATCAATGACTCCCATCCAAATTTATGTTTGCAAGAAAAAAAAAAGTTTTATTCATGTAACATGATAAATACATATCCCTTTTTTTATATATGCATATATGATATATGGGGAGAGTGACCATTTTGCCACACCTGACAAAATTTTTTACCAAACTGTCACGCCAACAGTAAATTTTGTCAAAATGTCACGCGGCATATTTCGCTACACTGTGTAACGAAATATGTTTGCATATAATTCGCTACACAGTGTAGCGAAATATGCCATGTCAGGCTGCACAGTCAGAAAAAATGACACGTGTCAAGCAGGCAGAAATTCGTTACACTGTGTAGCGAATTATGCTTGGATTCTACCTACTTGAGACGTGTCATTTTTGCTGACTGTGTAGCCTGACATGGCATATTGCGCTATACCGTGTAGCGAATTATATGCAAACATATTTTGCTATACAGTGTAGCGAAATATATCGCATGGTATTTTAATAAAATTTAATGTTACCATCACAGTGTCATAAATCTTTTTGCCAGAAAAAAATAGCCACTCTTCCTGATATATGGCTAAACTTTGTTACTTGTTGTAAACGGAATTGAAATTTTGGTCCTGCTTTTATAGCGAAAGTTACATATTTTCTTGGAGTTTACGGGAGGCACATCAGCAAAATGGTTTTTTGTCCCTCAATATAATATAATCGAAGCATTATTGGATGGCTGCAAAGAATCAAACATCCAAAGATTTAGGTTGGCAATGACACCCTAATCTGTTATTGTCTGCCACTAAGGGATTCAATTATGGCAACAAGTCGTCTAGTCGTACATCAAAATCTTTATAATTTCCTGAGTAGAAGAATCAAGAACCGATATTCATTTATTTATTTTTTCTTTTTAAGGTGATTTGAGACCTGTAACATATCTAGAAGCTCAGATCTTTTGAAAAATGAAGTGGCGTATAATGGAAAGGTTCTTGCCAATTAGTTATTCAAATTAATACTCTTTGTATAATGGATACCACAATTTCAATATCTTAATTCTTAACTACCATGATTTGATTTACTGTTTCAAAGATCCTCCATGCAATATTTCTTAGATTTTTTATTTTTTTAGATTATCCTTCACTAATTTCGTAAGTTTTTTATGAACTAATTTAGAGTTTGGGACAAGTTCATGTTAAGACTTTAAACCCTTTTAAAATAATATTAAGAAAAAATTAAATACATGCTCTCATCTTTAACGGCTCAACTCTTATGTTCCATTTAGACTATGAATTAATAGATTTGTACCCTAAAATAATAGGTATAGTTAATATCATTACATCTTGAATATATTTCAAGTAAATTAAAAATAAAAAAATAACGTCTCTAACTGAAAAGCTTTATTACTTATTATAAACATATCAATAACAATTATGTAATTAAAAAAATGGAAAAATATGTGTCATTTTAAATGACACACCTTACATCATTTCACTCTTACAAAGAGATGATACTCACATCTTTAAAAAAAATTCCCATTCTCTCTTTCATGATTTATCTCTTTCTCTGACTTAAAATGATACTTTGAATACACCATCCCAAAAACTAGCTCAAAGAATGAGAGTGCCCAAGGCCTTGTAAACTCCACAGTAGTTGCTTATACCACCAATGTGAGACTATATATCTCAACACGACCCCTCGCACGAGAGCCCCTTGGGCTTGAAGAGTGGATGATGCAATAGGTTCAGCCTACCTGTGCTAAGAAATTCCACAAGAGAAAGTGGGAGGCGGTGATGATTGAACCCGGGACACGAGGCTTTGATACCATGTAAAAAAACCTTGGAATAAAAAACTGTCTCTTTTACAATGATATACACTTTTCTTTAACAAAAAATGTTATATTTAGTATCATTTTTATTTTTTTACTACCAGTTAGGTTGTTTTCTTATAAAATAATGACATCGAACAAATCGAATAATCGATCCACAAAAAACCATAAAATCTTGAACATTGGGTTTCTGTCAGTCTGGTTGTGTCACTTTGGATTAAAATGGGTAACCCGAGAGTGCTGCTTGTTCTCTTCTTTATCGCATTCATCACAGTGGCACAATCTATTCCCTTCATTGTTTTGCACGGTACGCTTTTTTTTTCCTTCTTCCTCAACCTTTATTTCTGCTCTTCAGCACACAAAAAATTTGTCTAGATTTGTCAGAAGTGGTGGACAATGAGATAATGAGTTTAAAACTTTAAATTCCTAATTGTAGATTCGGTTGATGCCTGATTTTATAGCTAAAACTAGAAGGACAAATAGATCGTTTGGCTAGATTCTGTTTACTTACTAATGAACTACCAATAATATTTATCACATTCTGTTTTGTTTTTGTTTCCAGCCTTTTGTTTTCCTTAAATTTAATTTTTAGTCTTCTTTGGAATTTTTGCAAATACCTCTACTGGTGGTGTTGCCACCATATGTAACTAGTAAATATTAGGTAAAACCCACCAATAACGTAAGGGTTGTTACAACTTTACCAATGGTCTTGAGCTTACGCAGCTATGTTAAAAACTTGATAAGGTGAGCTTTGCCGCCCTTGTGTTGTGGTCCTCCCCTGTTCGACCGGATTAGTTGATTAATCGATGAACCAGTGGAGAAATCTCCAAAAATGTAAATGTTAGGTAAAACTGCTTAATAGGTCTGACCCTTTCGTGGATCTGCAGTAGCATACGGGAAGCTTTATATTACCAGCTTGCCCTTTAGAATACAAGGTGTTCAAAATCACAGCAATAATGTATGTTAGTGTAATATCTTTCTGTAGACACTAGAATGGAGCATAATATCTGCTACATTTCTCCATATTTTCCTGTCTTCAGAATAGCAGAATGTTGTGTGATAGTATAGTTCCTTACTGCATGAAGTGCAGACACTAGATAGGAAATAGGAAGTCTATGTCTCCTACTAAGCTATGTCTCAGAAATGGTGGGCAATAGCATACTGCTTTTCTTTAATTTGTCGAAAAACACCATATGTTAATTGCTCAATCTTTTTAGGTTTGATCATTTTGTTATCATACTGAAATGGGCATTTTGTTCACTACGTGAACAAGAAATGGATTCAGGAAATTCTGCTGTTGAATGGTCATTATTATTAGTTGTCACTTCTTGCGACCCCTTTGAAACAATCTGCCTCATACTCACTAATTTGATCATTTTGTTATCATACTGAAATGGGCATTTAGTTACTGATTTCCAATGGATTTGTGTAACCTTTTCTCCACTGTCGTAAAAATGTTGCTTCTAGAGTTCATATGGATTAGGATATTTCAATTTATGATGTTAGAATGCTTGTTGCTTAGGCTTCTGCATATTTTACTGCTTTTGAAATTCAGAGAAAAAGATGTCAGGGTTTATCCTTTTGAAAATAAGTTCTAACAAAAGATTAATGATTTATGTCAACGAATTAAAAGTGGGAGAGAGTATGGATGTGAAGTTTTCTTATGGGGAAGGGGGTTACATGGGTGGGCCGAAAATATCTTGAAATGAAGTAATTAAGGAAATGCACCTAGGAAAGAGTAATTAAGAAATGGTGTTTTTTGTAGGGGTGTTCGCGGTCTGGATCGATTTTGAAGCAATAATTATCTGATCCAATCCCTTCGGTTTGATCATGTAATCATCCATTCAGTTTGGATTTTTTTTTTAAATGCAATCCAATCCAATCAATTTTATTCAGTTTGGATTGAATCGGTTTTTGATTTTTCGAAATACCTAAAATTTTAGCATACAATTCACTAGCTATATCAAAATAAAGCCATACAAAATTACAAACCACTAGAAAATTCAAGTTTTCAAATTAAAACAAGTCTTGAAATTCATGAAGAGTTAAAATAGATTAATAGACAACAAGATTCGAAGATAAAAAATAAAACAAGATAGTTTGCTATCAATAACATCTAATATTCAAAGTCATCATTTTTCAAAAATAATAAATACATAATACATTGGATCGGTTTGGATTGGATCTGTTTTCACCAATCAAACCGAAAACTAATTCGATTATTGGTTTTTCGGTTCGGTTACTGCGGTTTGAATTGATTTGGATCGGTTGATGAACACCCCTAGTTTTTTGTATAAGCAAAGAGAGAAGTATTTATTGTCGTAAGAGGTACAAAAAAATAAATTATCTTCGTCAATGTAACATAGGCTGAAGATCTGAGATTGGTGTCAATGTTTCTTTATTGTACAGTTGAATGCATGTTTTAGCTAGAACGAGTCTATATACACAAAATTATTGGATACTTAGCCATAATATACTGATTTTGTGTTTGAACTTTGTGTCAGGTATTTATAATAAATGCAAGAGTCGAGGAATCCAAAACTTCGTTAAGCTTTTAAGTGACTGGTCTGGTTCTCAAGGATATTGCTTGTATGCTATTGCTAAATTTCTTGAAATTTATTATACTCATTTGAGCATAATTTACTGTATGGTCGTAAATCCTTATCCTATAGCGTAATCCAAGGGCCAAGTAATCTTGGTTCCAATCTGCTATAGGTGGAGGCAGTTGTGCAAAATCTTTTGCAGTATGCCTGAAAGACATTGAGATAGAGTGTTTGTTGCATATGTTACCCCTTTTTGTTCTTTCATAGCCTGAGAAATAGATATTTTACTTGGAGATTTCTTTTACCCAAAATAAAAATTAAAATTTGGGATGTAATAAATCCTTAATTATTATATGTGCTTGATCCATCTGTAGAGAAATTGGAAATGGATCATGGGATTCTTGGACCAAGCCCCTATTAAAACAGGTGACTATTGAAGCAAGTGCGTCCATTTTTCAGATGTGTGGTGTTTGATAATTTAGTAACCATTTATTACTCTATATCCTTGCAGACAGCTATTGCCTGTGAGAAGGTGGTGAAGATGTTTGGTAGTTTTTTTGTCCCGGTAGTTTATTCCTAATTTCTTTTTGCTTCAAGTGTTTGTTTCTATCTATAGGTGAAGAAGATGAGTGATCTAAGTCAGGGTTACAACATTGTTGGACTTTCTCAGGTGACTAAGTGCCTGTTTGGATCCTTTCTTTTTTAAGCTAGAAGCTACTTATAAGCAAAAGTTAAGCCAAACAGGTTTTGAGAAAAGCTCTTATAATGAAAAGCTCTTTTTTTTATAATGAAGAAAAAAGTGAAAAGCCAAAAAAGCTCCTGGGAGGAGCTTTATTTAAGCTCTTATCGGATTTTCTTGAATTGTGTGCTTTTTTTTGAAATGAAGAGCTATAGAGATAGAGAGAGAGTTTTCTTGAAATATGTGCTTTTAAGTCAAAAAATTTATGTAATCACCAAACAGCTTTTAGCTTTTTTTTTAGCTTTAGCTTATAAGTAGATTCTAGCTTAAAAAAGAGAAGATCCAAACAGGCTCTAAATTCCATGCAATAGTTTTTTTTAGACTTTTTTTTTTTCGCATTCAATACTATGACTGTGTTGATCTTCGATGTTTCTGTAACCGATCCAATTTTGTTTGAGAACTTTGTAAAGAAAGACATCTTGTAAGATGCCATATTGCATATGGTTTTTTGCTCATATATGTATGGGGAACATTCAAAGCTTGCAAGAATGTAACATTTACAGATTAAATGCACAGATCTATGTATATATTTATGTTTCTATATGTAGACCTTTCAGATTATGTGTTTTTGTTTTGTATAAATAATTAACAGTTGAAATAAATGGTAGCTATGTAAACGAAGATGAGCTGCAAAATCCTGTTGTAATATAATAGGCATGGGTATTAAATCTGGACTGGCCTTCTGATTACTGCTAACTAGTGACACAGACCTTTGATCAGGCCAGTTCACCCTATTGGGTCATAGTTACAATTAAACTGGCAAAATATGGAAGCTCTTTTCCATCTCATTCAACCTTCATGTTCTAATATTTCCAGGGCATTTTTTTTTTGTCAAGAAATAAAATGAAAGCGATAGGAACCTGGAATTAGATTAGAAATAATGGAAGATCAAGTTCCATGCAAGCCCAAGTAGCCCGCTGATGGGACTGAAATCACATAGAAAATGCAGGAAAGGAAAGAAATAACAAGGGGAGTTCTGCAGTCACACAGAATATCCCATCCCTTCCTAAACCTCTCTACCTCGCTCAATTCTTGCCTAACTCTCTGTCTTCCTTCCCCCCTCCCCCCCCCCCTCCCCCTCTTTTATCCTTATTCCTAACCAATTCCCTCCTTTTTCAACATTCCTTGCCACACAGGCAAGGCAAGGTTGTTAGAGCCCTTTACAGTCCCAATTCCCCTTCTGCCCCGCTCTCACATTGACCTCAAAGTAGTACTCGTGTATAAGGCCTATTAGAATATATGAAAAATTTCTCATAATTATCTTGATTGCATTTCCTCCTGTACGATTTTCTTCTGTTTGTTTTAATATTGTCTTGCTGAACTTTCAGTTTTTGACTTACTTCATTGGTCTTATATTAACAACGTATTAGTTCTTTTGGTTCTCAGGGAAGCTTGATTGGTAGAGGGATTATTGAATTTTGTGATGGAGGACCTCCCGTAAGAGTTAACGTTATGATCAATGATATTGCACTTTTGTTACTTATAAAGGAAAAAGAAATCCTGATATTGCATTTAAATGTTTGATTCTGAGTACTCTGTTTCCTTGGACATGTTCTTAAAGTTCTTTTAGCTCTTACTATTTATTCTACTTGTAACAATATTTTAATGTATTGTATTATACTTTTATTCTTTGTATGTGATGCAGGTTAAGAATTTTATATCAGTGGGAGGTCCACATGCTGGTACCGCTTCTATTCCTCTCTGTGGAGTATGTGCTTATTTTACTACTGCGCTTAGAAAGTCTCTGTTATTCCTCTAGATACTAATTATCTTTTGCTAATGTTAAGATGGGTAAACTTTGTATATGAACTTGATCCACTTGATGTTGGCTTTCTATATAGAAGTGCAGATACTAACTAAACATTCTTTGGGCAAAATGCTTTACTAAAAAGTGTAATAAATATAGTTTCCTCATCAGATAAATAAATAGCAATTGCCAAATTATTTTATTTTTTGTAGACATTGCAATGAATCAGGAAATTGCTAGTTTGGACCTGCTCTCGATGATTACGCATTCAGCCCCACAGAGAATGAGAGGATATACTTGTTTTGAAGGTCTTTTGGAAGGATCAAATCAAATCATGATTACTGAACAATAAAAAGACAAGAGTGAAGTTTGAGTCTGTGCATGAGTCTGGATCCTCTAGATTTTTGTTGAACTGCATTTCTTCGAATCTGCAGTTGCTTATGTTATTGCCCACTTGCACCATATAGACCTTTACTTTGTTTTCCCCCTAAGCCAGGGGAACCAAACCCTTTGAAGCTAGTTTCTCATAGTCTGCCAACTCTCTAGGCCTCATTTTTTCTGTCCAAAGTTGTCCCACCTTGGTTCCTAATCCACTGGAACACCAAAGTCCATCCACACATCTCACAGCCTTACTTTAATTAGGCTGCAAAGGATCTCCCATCTGGATTCATGATAGAAAACTGGAAAACAGAGTGTTGTTTATTGAAAACACTACTGGAATATCTTCCCTTATACTGATATTAAGGTAATATCCTTATCAGAGGGGAGATTTGTAACTGATGAAAAACACTCACAAAAACAGAAAAGAAAATAAAGGCACTGCAGACACTTCTCCTCTCACTCAATACTTGCTTACCCTTCTCCTGTCCCTGCTCCTCTCAACTCATTCCTTCATTCCAGCCAATTCTTTCCTTTCCATGTGTGAAGGTTGTTACATTGCAAATCCCCGTGATGATTATCTCTCACATTTCCCTCCCTGCTATGTGAACTCCTGATTACTTGTCCCTCCCTTTCTTCGTAACATATACCTATGTGATAAGTGGGCATCTAACAATTCAATTCCTTTAATAAATCATTCAATCTACTCAACAAGATCCAACTCTCCCAAAAACTATTATGAACATAAATACAAGAGCAATACCCGAAGGCAGTCAGTTGAATTAGTTAAGGCTGTTATTAGGAGCTTGAATTAGTTAGTTAGTAAAGGTTAGTTAGTAGGAGGCTTGTCACAATAGTCCACTTGCATGTATATAAGGGGATATACCCCTCTTTGAGGAGCAGCTTTTTGACAAATATTGAGTTAGGGTGAGAGTGCTCAGTTGAAGGGGAATGCCCCTTGGTAAGAGAAGTGTCTCTTGAGTGTACATTCCATTTTCTTGTGAAGAAACAGATTTTTCCTCCCATTTCCATTCTTTTCTTTCATTCTTCATTTCTGTAATATCAATTCTTTTTTCTAAACAACCAGTGCTGGAAAAAAAACTTAAGTTGTTGGGTGAAGGTACCTGAATGATTTTATTATATCTCTAACATGCCCTCTCATACAGGAACCTTTTGGGATTTGAAGTGTAGATAATGCATAAGTCTAATTTGCCTTGTGCTGAAATTTAACTTTTTATTAGAAGAATGGCAATGGGTGGCGGCAAAAATTGAACTAGACCACTTGATCATAGAAGCTCTTATTTGATGTCACGAACCAACTCTCCCAAAAATTTAAGTTGTAAGGAACATGAATAGTTTTATAATATCTCTAAGTGATAAACATGATCATTTTATTATAGTATGCCAATAAATAATAAGCATACGCCCTAGCCATTGGTTGTTACAACACTCTCATTATCAAAATTATTTTATTTACTACATTTGGCAGACCATGAGATCTTGATCCTAAACGTTGAACATGTCATATTTTTGGATCGAGTATAAACATTCAAATAATTAAGCTGCTAATTTATCTGTAACTTTGTTATAGAGCATTGTCTTAGTATGGTCTAACATGAGTTGTTTTTCCAGTCTGAGTTGATATGCACACTTGTTGATGATATACTCAAATTTGTGATCTACAGCAGCCTTGTCCAGGTTTTGACTTTGACTTTCCACTCTTTTTATTGTTTTGAGATAATGACTATGGTCATTTACAAAATGTATGTCGGATTATACCTATTTAAGTCTTACTTTCATTTTGAAAATATTTTCCTTCTGAAATCCATTCCTAAAACAGATAGCTTAGTTTTCTTATTTCTTTGCCCAATGCGCTGGTGCAGGAACATCTGACTCTCAGTGGATATGTTAAAATACCAATAGTGAGTATGATCTTGGTTTTTTTCTCGTATACTTCTGTTTTGGATGATATTTTCATCAAGATTGCTTTTTCAATATTCAAACAATTTCAGCCATGCATGTAGGGAGATTTTGGAGATGCAATTCTCTATACTGGATCACAATGCAGTCTTGACCTGCCTTTGTCAATTGCATTCACTTTACCGAAGTATTGTTAGATATAAGTTGCCTTTTGCTTGTCTAATCGCATGTGACACATTAATAAACTATTTTGGTTGCAGCATGTTAGAGAATAATATAAACTGTAAAGAACTTTGGGATACACCACCCCAAAAGCTAGCTCAAAGGGTGAGAGTGCCCAAGGCCTTATAAAGGCCACATTAGGTTCTCATACAACCAATATTAGACTATATATCTTAACACGCCCCCTCACACAAGAGCCCATTGGGCTTAAAGAGTGGACAATGCAACAGGCCCAGCCTATCTGTGCTAAGAAATTCCACAAGAGAAAATGGGAGGCGGCGAGATTTTGAACCCGGGATACGAGGCTCTGATACCATGTAAAGAACATTGGGATACACCACCCCAAAAGCTAGCTCAAAGGGTGGGAGGTGCCCAAGGCCTTATAAAGGCCACATTAGGTTCTTATACAACCAATGTGGGACTATATATCTCAACATAAACCATTAAAACGGCCCTCATCAAACATCTTAAGGTTTTGGGTTGAATTGGTTCTTTACATAGCAAATTCATCAAATATACCTACGGGCTTTCAAATTAGATGAAAGGAAACATAACCTGTTCTTGTATCTTTTTCAGGATATTGCTGGCTACATAAAGGGGTGTAGGTTCCTTCCTAAGCTTAATAATGAAATTATTAATAAGAGGAATTCTACCTACAAGCAACGATTTGCTAGCTTACAGAATTTGGTACTTATCATGGTGCGTTAGAACTATCTAATCTTTCTCTGATCTCTCTTGTTAATTTGGATTTGTCCAATTTACAACTATTGTATCAATCTGGTTGATCCATCTTGCTCTGTCTCGTCTGCAATGAAACCAGTTTGAGCAAGATAAAATTTTAATACCAAAAGAAACATCCTGGTTTGGTTATTATCCAGCTGGGGCCTTCCATCCTGTTTTGCCAGTACAACAGGTAATTTAAGAATTCCATATCTGTAGTTTATTCTTGCAAGATGATATGTGTGGCTTGTATTTATTGTTTTTCAATTGGTTCATCGGAACCTAACTAGTCCGGTTCAAGCACTATCAAATCCATGTAAAGAGAGGCTCTCCCGATACCATTTTCTCCATTCTTAGGGTTCAAACTAGAGCTCTCTGGTTAAGAAAAACAAATTCATTTCCACTTGAACCAGTATTGTTGGTAAACTAAAGTTCTTTTGCCTTAGCTAGTAGTACGTATTTTACCTGAAGGCCTTTTATGCCAATTATTGTGCATGATGCTTAGAAGCAGTAATAGGATGATCACATGAGTAATTTCTTACCAAGTGATTGAATTACATTATCATCCATCTATTTGTCATGGTATATATTGAGGCAGTTAATTATTTTTCAATTTTAGTGCATTCCACCAAGCCGATTTTATCGTTTCACATATATTTGTTATATCATTTTTCATATTCAGGTATTTGATATCAATAGCATGTTTTATTTCATGCAGACTAAGCTATACACTGAAGACTGGATTGGCTTAAAAACTCTAGATGAAGCTGGGAAAGTTAAATTCGTTAACGTGTCAGGGGATCATGCTGATATCTCTTGTAGTGAAATGAAAACTTATATAGTGCCATACTTGAAGGACCAGACATCAAGAGTTACAAGGCCTAAAATACAAGAACCTTCTTCTGATTGTTGAAACTGTTGGGCTCAATGAAGTGAGAATAGCTATTAACCAGTGGAATACTGTTCTATTCTTGGTGTATGTTTGGGTGTATTTGGCCAAACGGGCTTTTGGTTGCTCAAACAGGCTTTTGCCTAATTTTTTATTGTTCGGTTTGATGTTTGTAATTGGTATCAGTTTCCAAACTTGATTGTTGCCTTAAAAAGCCCCGATTGGTCTTAAGTGAATTTTTTCTTGCTTTGGCATTCAACATTATTATCCACTCCAATATATTAAATTACAATATATTCTAACTTAATCTTGAGTTTACCTGTTATTTTTAACTTTTTCCTTTTTAGAAATTTTAATTCAATTTTTTTATAGGTTTATACTTTGATATAATTTAAATTTTTTAGATTCTATCCGAATTAATTCTATATACCTCATTTATAATTTAAAAATTTATTTCACTTAAATATTTTTTTTTCATTTAGTTTTTACTTAAATTTAAAAATACTTGTGCAATATATGAGATACTAATTTTCAAACAAATTACTTAATTACAAACATGCTTTCGAGCAACTCTAGTTCTTTTAAATTTAGGCTGTGTTTAGAATCAATTAAAATTGGAAATGATTTGACTTAATTTAATATCAATTTACTTTGATTAGATCTAGATATCAAATTTTATGTTTGGAATTGATTAACTAAAAATGGATTTGAGTGTAGTAATTAATTCTTTTCTTGGTACGAGAGGTAAAACAAAAAAAGTTATATTTAATATCAAAATTAAATTTTAACAAATTTGATTGGATTCCTAAATCTACATCATTGAAATTCCTGGGCTTTGAAAAATAAATATTTATTTATGTTTTTAACACTTCAAACATAAGATTTGATTTATCAATCAAATCAAATCTCATTTCATATTGCGCTAATTGTATAGGGATTAAGCTCATATGACAATACGGATTGTGGAAAAGAATAATTGAATGAATATTGATAGAGATTCACAGTGTAAAGAAACTTTTTGGTTTTTATGTTCAGAAGGTTTATTATGGAAGCAATTTACTCTTTGCAAAATTTGGAGAGGTACCGAAGAAAATAAAAAGATCTATAGAAGGTTATCATTCACTTGGAAAAAGTTTATGATAAGGAGTTTGTATTTCCTAATCTATGAACGATGATGGAGTCACAGAGACTATAGGATTACACTCATTATCATTGACTCTAAGGTGTTATCTTTTTACTTTAATTTTAAACGAACTTATTTAACAAATGCAAGAGCCCGTGCCTTAATGCATGTTTTTTCTAATGATATAATCCCATTAAAAAAAGTTGAGAGAAAGGGATAAATGATAAATTAGAATAGTGGAGAAAAGTTTGGAAACATATAATTTCGAATTAAGTAGAAGAAAAAAGCAGTATATGAAATGCAAGTTTAACAAGAAACATTACCAATGGCTTGAAGATGTAAATTAGTACTCATAACATACCATAAATCACACAGCTTAAGTATCTTGAGACTATTATACAAAGTGACCCAGAACTATATGTAAATCTTAAGATTCAAGTAATGGAGAAATGCTTTTAAGTGTTACTTGTGATCATAATTTATCCTTAAAACTAAAGGGAATATTTTACTAAAAAAACTGTTAGACCAGCTAGATGGTAAGAGTAAGCTAAGTATTGTAGGGCGAGAATATAGCAGTTAATTCGAGTGGTTATTGAATAAATCAAAGTAGTTGATACCACTCATTTATCCAACAGTAAGTAACACTAATATGACATTATAATTTTAAGAGAGAAATAAGGAGAATAATAAAATTGAAGTCTGTTATTGATTTACTTGTATCTAATGACTTGCATTATTAAAAAAATTAGAACAATTAAATATAAGTAAATAATTAAAAATATAATTTATACGTATGTAAAATCATCCTTACCCAATAAAATTTGTACAAAAACATGGGGGAAAAAAGTTGCACTTCCCTCTTTTGTGCAGTATATATAACAAATGTAACTCCGGATATTTTAACTGGCAAAAAAAAAAAAAAGATATGAATCTTTTAGAATTCGTGGCCTTTAAAAAAAAAATGCTAAGCGACAATTACTAATGAAAAAAAAAATCAAATAGAAGGTTGCTATTTATATTTCATTATATAAATATTTAATGATATAAACTTTTAATTTATTAATGAGTAAACACCCTTTTTAGTCCCTGGCAATATCTACGAAGTCCTTTTCAGTCCCTGACAACAAAAAAGGACCAAATTGGTCCCTGAAAATACAAGAAAAGGGCCACTCTACATATTTGGGAGTTGACATAAGGATTAACATGACCCTTTTTTTGTAATTTCAGGGACCAATTTGGTCCTTTTTTATTTCCAGGGACTAAAAAGGACTTCGTAGATATTGACAGGGACTAAAAATGGTGTTTACTCTTTATTAATTTATTCATCTAGAAAACACTAAAATGAAAAGATATATATTATCACTGACTGATGACGACTTTGTTTTCGATTTTGTTCCTCCACAAGTTAAAATATTAAAAGGTCATATTTAAATGCTTTTTTAAAATTAACAACAAATTTTTGAATTGTATAATTAATTATTCTAATATTTCTTAATAAGAAATATTTTTTCCTTTTTTCTTTTTATTTTTTGTACTAGAAATCATTTTGAAACCATCCACACAAACAACGCAGTTTGACTTGGTACATAACAAAACTGTTCCCATTGCTTTCGGAGAGTTATGAAAACAAAAATCTCCATCAAATAACATTAAAGTTCTTCCACCTACATGTGATTTTGGAATAGTTTCTTTCATTTAGGTAAGAAATTGATGTTATGTTTCTTCAAACTTTATTCTCATTTTATACATGTGTAACGCTAATGAACAATACAAATTGAAGCTCACAATCATATATACCAAGTTCTTTGAATATTGATTTTGTTGACCTACAGTTACAATGGATCCCTTCAAAGGACAAGGAGGCATTCAGATGCTACTAACTGCTGAACAAGAAGCCCAACACATTGTTTCTAATGCAAGAAACTGTAAGATCCAATAGCTCTTTTTATCATTTTATTGTTATATATAAAGTTAGGGCTTTGATTTTCTCATGTTACATGAGAATTGTTTTCTCATGTTGCATGAGAATTGTTTTCTCGTGTTGTGATTCAACTAGTGATGGGTCTTATACTTATTAAAAAAATAAAAAAAATTACAGGCAAATCGAAGAATCACAATATGAGAAAATACTTTTCATAGAAGTGTTTTTCCCATAAAGTTATCATCATTTACAAATGTGAAATGAATCAATGATGTGTTCAAATTCTCAGTGAGAACCCAAAGGTTGAAGCAGGCAAAAGATGAGGCTGAGAAGGAGGCAGCACAATACAGATCTCACATGGAAGATGAATATCAAAAGTCAATTTCAGAGGTATAAAAACGATATATTTATGGTATGATAGTTCAAAATTTAAATATTACACATTTTTCATTTGATTAATAATATTACTTTGTTTTGCTATTGGGTTGAGTTTCCTTAGACCACTGGGAGCTCTGGATCTAATGTAAAAAGGCTTGACCAGGAGACAGAGGTTAAGATTAAAAATTTAAAGAAATCAGGTTCAAAGGTTTCAACAGAAGTTGTTGACATGCTACTCAAGTATGTTACAAATATTAAAACATAATGGCCAAAGGTTAGTAAGTTAATTCCTCTTTTTCCCTTTTTCTTTTTAGTTTCCTATCCGGTTCATTGTTTATTCGACTAGTCTTTTAACCTGTATTTGGAATGTTTCTTCCAAAATTATTTTTTTCGTTTAGAACTAGAGACCTGTAGCTAAGATAAACAAGTTATTTACCACTTAATGTAGCAATTATTGGTTGCTAATTTGTTTTTATAAATATTTTATTTCAGAGAGCTTATTGAGTGGTTGTACATTTATCTTGCTCCTCAGTTATCTCTTTCATTTTATCTGCTTAACCAATAATTTTGTAATTGTTATCAAAAAAAAAAAAAAAAAATTTGTACTTAGCAATAAATGAAATTTGTCTCCTTTTCTTCACTTTTATATAGGTTGGGGAGTTTTGGTCAATAAATTAAAGAAAATATTGTTTCTAAGTATATGGCAGGAAATTCCCTAGTCCCCCTCTCTTTCCTCTTTCTTCCTCTCTCCTCTCCTTTCTCTCTATGAGGGACCAATGGTTCTGGACCACTACATATCTGCTCCAGGAAGAGAGTAAATCAAAGAGAGAAACTCATAAAGAGAGAAACTAATTAAATTATGGACCCACTTTATTTTTACTCTTTGTGGTAAAAAAAAAAAAAATTTACCACAGATGCAGAAATAATATTCCCTAAATAAAATCTGAAAACTATAGTTTAGGAAGTTGAAGAATAGGAAAAAACTTCAACCCTTTTTCTTTTGTTGTCTAAGAATAGACACCAATTCTAAAAAGGGTTGTAAGATGGAAAATGCACAACCATTTCACGTGGAAACGTAGAGAAACATTAGTTATCGACATGGAAAAAATCACATATACTCGAGTCTTTCTGAATATAAAAGTGATGAAACTAAAATTTTCATTCTTCTTCTAAAGTAATTTCCATCAATCTTAGAATGCTTATAATGTTGAAGTCAGGTTCTGTTTACAATACAAACCATCATATCATTTTATGTGATTGGTTAGAAGTATATGATCATTATGTAATAAAATTAGTTGTTCTTTGAATATCTCTATACCCAAAAAAGTATAAGACTAATAATCTCTTCTGGTATAGAAAGATACATATATAGGCCCTAAGGCTTGAACTTTCCTTCTTCGTTTTCGCGCAACTCTTGAAGTGGCAAACATTTTGTAAGTTCAAAACAAGTGTATACACAATATAATTTGTGAATATAAATTTCGTACACTTCTAGATCTTTTGATGATTATATTATATAATAAAAGTCTAGATAAAACTACCATGAAATACAAAGAAACAGTCATAAACAATGGCATGATGATCACCTATAACATTATTTACGGATGACATATCTTTCAAATTAGTCTTTGTTGATTATAATGTTTAATAATATATATTTTTGTGTTTGTGTGTTTTCTTATGATTCAGTGATTGCTGAAAACGCTGAAAGAAGGAGCCATCACCTACAATAAAACAGGCAAAGCTAGGAAGATGCTTCTAAAGATTGGGTTGCCATTGCATAAAGACTTCGCTACAAAACTCTTGCCTTAAACAACTATCACTTGTTGCAAAGTGAACAATATCAA